GTTGATAATTCTATATAAATATTGACAAGAATTCTTCAAAATATTTTTATTTCCTTATTATCTCGTTAAAATCAATGCCGCTGGTATCCGTTGCGGTGGTCTGGTCAGGTATAAAAAAGCGAATAATAAACAGCAGGCATGCCTTCCACCAGCATCACACTAAATTTTACCGTTTTCATTAAGAAAACAATTTTTACTCATTCAGAACAAGGAAATGCGGGCGACCTGACCACTCCAACGTACAATCTCCAAACATCTTTAATTCTAATTTGCATATATTAAACGCATTAAAAAATTAAATGCAAAAATTTAACACGCGCATCATTTAGCATGGTCAATGTGTATCATAAATTTCGCGTGCAACTCTAGATGGTCATGCTTTCATATTTATTCAAATTTTTACAACCTGCAAGATGGTGCTGTAGATTTAAACTGCTTCACCACTTGCGTGTAATTGCAATTTCTTGGTGCGAGTGTGAATGAATGCAACTTGCCGCACTTGAAATTAATGCAAATGCGCGCATTTTTCCTCTTGACACACTTCTTCAAGTGCCTCGTTTCCCTGCAACGATTTTCGTTACGTGAAAAGTCCGTCTTAAAGCATAGCAAATAAAGCAGTATCAGATAATTTAATTTTTCCCCAGACCATTAAAAAGTAAGTGTCGAAAAAAGTAAACGAATTGCATGATTTCTAAAATTTAGTAAAATCATATTTCAATAGCAAACACGCATGCAAAAATTTAATTTGGGAATTAACCTGGGGAAAAACAAATTTTATAAATATTTTGTTTATTTTAAAATTTCATTGAGAGGAATAATAAATCCATGTTAAATTTATATTATAATATTTTAAAATTTATGTACAGTTCATAAATTTTTTAACGTAGTAAATTTTATAATGAATTATTTATTATATAATAACAAAAGTTTAACCGCAATTATGTGTATGTATTAAATAATGCAATTATGTGTAGTTGTATTAAGATTTGCGTAAGATGATAAATATCTATATTTCTATAGAAATTAAAAATTTATGATAAATTCTTGTCTGGAGCTTGATATGGTTTATTCAAATTTTGAGTTTTCGGTAATGTTATAGTACGCGCGACGTGTTTTTTCATAAGTTGGCAGCACTTATGCTCCCTAAAAGTATCACGTCGCGCGTTCGATAGTGGTTTTACGTCGCGCATACAATAATGGTTTTACGTCGCGCGTACAATACTGGTGGCGGTGTAATTTTTAAGGAAACCGATTTAATATCCCGATTACCACGGAAACCTCTATAGCACGCGCGACGCAATTCTTTTCCTACAATCTTAATTAAGGGGACTGCTAGGAAGAATAGGGGCCCTTGGGATGGGTTCAGAATGGGGCAAGACGACCTCTGGAGGGCCGTGCGCACCCTTATAGCAGGCGCGACGTATCACTATGAGACGCGCGACGGTCGAAAAGCGAACTCCGGAGGGCGCTTTTCACCATCGTCAGAGGCGCGACGCATGGTTATAGTACGCGCGACGTATGCTTATAGAACGCGCGACGCACGGTTATAGTACGCGCGACGCATGCTTATAGTACGCGCGACGCACGACTAATTAATTATTATAAAAGGTGTTGCACGCGGCCGGAGTTGTGGGCACCCCACGAACCGGCAACTCGGAGTTGGGCAACCCCCAAGATTAATTTTTGCAGAAGCCGCGAGCGAGGGGTGGAGGCGCAGCGAGGTCGAGGACGTGGGGAAGGCCGTGCGGAGGGCGAGGACAAAAGGGCGGCTGTGTTCGTGGGGGGGCTCCGCAGGAGCCCCCTCACGATCCCCGCCCTTTTGTCCCGCCCGGAGCCGGCCTTCACCACGTTCTCGGGTGAGCGCGCCTCCAGCCCGAAGCTCGCAAACCCACAACGGAGTTGCCCACAAAAGGTGTTGTCTGCAAAGGGAGTTGTGGGCACCACACTTTTTGCTTTCTAAGCCCTTTTTGCAGACAATTCCTTTTGTAAGCAACTCCGTTGTGGGTTTGCGAGCTTCGGGCTGGAGGCGCGCTCGCCCGAGAACGTGGTGAAGGCCGGCTCCGGGCGGGACAAAAGGGCGGGGATCGTGAGGGGGCTCCTGCGGAGCCCCCCCACGAACACAGCCGCCCTTTTGTCCTCGCCCTCCGCACGGCCTTCCCCACGTCCTCGACCTCGCTGCGCCTCCACCCCTCGCTCGCGGCTTCTGCAAAAATTAATCTTGGGGGTTGCCCAACTCCGAGTTGCCGGTTCGTGGGGTGCCCACAACTCCGGCCGCGTGCAACACCTTTTATAATAATTAATTAGTCGTGCGTCGCGCGTACTATAAGCATGCGTCGCGCGTACTATAACCGTGCGTCGCGCATTCTATAAGCATGCGTCGCGCGTACTATAACCGTGCGTCGCGCGTTCTATAAGCATACGTCGCGCGTACTATAACCATGCGTCGCGCCTCTGACGATGGTGAAAAGCGCCCTCCGGAGTTCGCTTTTCGACCGTCGCGCGTCTCATAGTGATACGTCGCGCCTACTATAAGGGTGCGCACGGCCCTCCAGAGGTCGTCTTGCCCCATTCTGAACCCATCCCAAGGGCCCCTATTCTTCCTAGCAGTCCCCTTAATTAAGATTGTAGGAAAAGAATTGCGTCGCGCGAATAATCGGTTTCCTTAACAATTTCACCGCCACCAGTATTGAGCGCGCGACGTAAAACCATTATTGTATGCGCGACGTAAAACCACTATTAAACGCGCGACGTAATGCAAGTGATGCCAACTGAAATCAGGGATTTTGGGAAACACGTCGCGCGTACTATAACATTACCGAGTTTTCAATTATCTTTATATATCTATATAAAATTGCAATCGCAGCCTGAAAATATTTCCAACTGAAAGTAAAATTAATCATTCATTTAAATCCTCTCTTATGAGCGCGTATAGCGAAAAACAATTCTCAAGAGGCGGCGCATCATGATGCAAAAAGGGTCTCTCGCGGAACACGCACTCCGCTCAAATTCTCTTGACATGACACAAGTAGTGTGTCGGTGCATTATTAAAAAGGACGATTCAAGCCCGGCTTTGGCGCAGAGTGCCCTTCCAAGTGAGAGCGTCGACGCGCGCGGCGACCAGATAAGCATAATGCAAAGGGTTAAACAATAAACTCACTTGCTCGCCGCAGCAGATATAACAGGGGTCACGCTCGGATGCCAACATATTATATTCGCAAGGGGTGCTGATGAGAATGGAGCCAATGTCGTTTAGGGCAATAATAATTGAGGTGCAAAATAGACGCGCTTGGTCGCGCACCGCCGAGCTGCGGCAGATGGCTCGCGCTTCTCGTTGTTCGTCTGCCCCTGTCTGATGAGCGCAGCGCACCTAGAGCTTGTATGTAATCATTATTACAGTACTCGTACATGCATCAATTGCGCCTGCACCGACGCGGAACATGAATAGTTAGATAAGATAAAGAGCAGATGGGCATCGGCAAAATATAGATGTCATGCTTAATTAATTGGAACCGCAACTCACGAAATATAACTACGGAATTTTTAGTGTTCAATTGTTCAATTTTTGCAGTGTAGCTCAGTAAGTTGCCAATAATTACTAAAAACTAATTTTTTTTTAATAATTTTGATTTAGACGAAGATTGGAAATAAGAAAAAAATTCTTTGACGTAATTGAAGAAGAGAAAATTTGCAAACAGTTTCATCTAATTTTAATTAAAAATAATGTGATGTTAAACTTTTTTTATTATTAAAGTTTGTTGTCTTTTTGCAAATTTTTAATTGTATTTCTTTATAACATTTTTCTGCAACAAACTGTAGTTACAAAATTCAGCCGAATTCCGCCAACAATAATTGAAATTTAAAAATTTTCTTTCCCTATATTATCATTATTATATTAATTTATTTTAGGCAAAAAAAAGTATGCAATTTGAAGATCAAGCTGTTTTATGTGGACTTAAGCAGAAGTTCTCTTTGCAAACCGTAAAACCATTAAATAGGAATCTTCTTGGGTCTCTACAACTCCGACGCACGCGACCGCAACGGCTAATGGTCTCGACGTGCAGTACGTTGAATCCGCAAATTAAGCGCATATGCAGCGGCGCCGGCCGCAGAAGCACAAGTTTGTAATTCGCCAAACAGCAGAGGCAAGTGGTCCGCCGGTGCCAGGGCGAACAGCACTCGCGGGAACTCCCAACATGATGTATAGCACCATGTTCTCCGGGCTGCATTTGTGCCTTTTATACCCGTCACCATGTGCTGCTGGCTGTGCATGTAATGTCGCGTGTGCTGGTCGGGCTGCTGCGGAAAGCCGGGATTTGAACAGAAATGAACTCGGCAAAGCGGCGGCGGCGGGCGCACCTGACTTTTGATTAATTCACCATCTGTATTCGCGCGAATTATTCACACGCGCGCCTAATGGCCTCTCGTGTCGTCCGCCCACAACCCTTTTGTGTTTTCGCCGCCCAGTCTGCAGGAGGAGGTTGACAGCAAATCGAGTTTCATTGGCACCATTCCCACCTTACAAAAGTGTCAGCCACGTGAAAAATTCATTCTGAAAAGGCTTAGAAATCTCATCAACTTCAACGTCATTTGAAGCCAATTCTCTTGTTATAATGTATAGGGGTAGATTGTATTCTGGTGTCCCACAACTGTCCAGTTGATAAATCTGCGCTAATGGCATAATTCCTACAACCTTCAATCGATTTCTGAGGTCGAAATTGACACCTATGAGCAAATTAATGTATTTTCGAACAAAAAGAGAGCTACTGGTATTTTTATCAGTTTATCCTCCATGAATTGCACCACAATTTCTTGCTTAAATTTAATCAATTTATTGGGTGATTTTTACTTTCAAAATAAGCAACAGAGCGCAGCATCAAATTTTGCATCATGTTTTTTTTTTTAATATAATTTTTCTCTTATGAAAAAACATACTTCAATTTTGTCATTAAAATTGGTAAAGTCAAGCATGAAATAAAATCTCCGTTAATTTTTATTTTTTATCTATATTTCGCAGTTTATTTTAATTATTTGCATTTTTGACCAATCATATAATAGCAATTTACAAATATCTATGTTAAAAAACTTCTCTTCAAATTCACACCAAAGCATGTGTAGCAACATTCAGTCCTTTATTGAGACGTAATACTTAGAAAAATAATACAGCAGCAATGGTGGTGAGTGGCGGCTCGTTCAAACGAAATCATCGTAAAAGCTAACATGTATTCACTTTAAAATTACATTCAGTCATAAATAATTAATGCTAAAAACGTACAAACTACAAGTGGATTTGCACTCTCTATATATGCGCTGAGTGAAAGAGAGCAGAGACAACAACTTTCTATAATATAGTATTAATGCTTTGTGAGACGCTCGCTAAACCTATTGAGGATTCGCCCGAAGCACTCTCGACTTGCGACTACAAGACACAATTCAGCTCGGCTACTTTGCATTCTCGCTTGCGCACACTGAACTTTGTTTAACACTCAATTTAAGGCTGATTAAACATTCATATTTTGTTAAATTTACTCTTGGTGATAAGCTCATTATTTGTTAACTCCTATTGATAAATTAATTAAGAGAATGATTCAAGCCAAATTGGAAAAAGTCGGTGTGTTGCAGTTTTAAACGCTAGTGGGATTGACTTAAGAGAATTCTAAGGATATAATTTTGCATCTGATTAAATTTTTTATTTTAGTTGATCTCATAAATTTCCAGAGCTGGTTGGAATCACTCTCGTCTGTTTCAAAGGACCAAAATTTGCAGTTAAAAACTTGTGCAAAAGTAGCAGCCTTCTTTGGCCGCAAACGAGGCGCGTGGACAGTTTTTTTAAAAGCGACAGGTTGGTTGGTTAACATAAATCAAAGTTGATATGACTCAAGGATCAATCAAATATAATTGAGTGAGTGACTAGAGGAGAGCTTGATTTTGGGGATTCTGCTTTACCGCTCGTGGCGCTGGTTGTTTTTGTTGGCGACACAGCCGGCTCTCCGTCGCACCTTCATCTCGCTCCAGGCGACGGCGATCCACTCGTTCCTCGAGCCGTCGAACCACGTCAGGCCGAGGCTGTAGCGGCCGTTCAGGTTGACGTGCTGGCAGTGCGAGAACCACCAGCCGCCCTCGTAGTTGGCGGCGCAGTGCGTGTTGCTGATGTCCCTGTCCGAGTCGATGGTGCTGAACTGCATGTGGTTTTGGTACTCGAACGCGTCGCTCGCGTTGCCCTGGTACCCATTCACCCACAGCCGGTAGCCGTCCGCCTCCGAACCCACGCTGAACTCGGTGTACTCGGCGAACCAGTTTTGGCCGTAGATGTCGTGGATGTCCACGCGCAGCGACGAGCAATTGTCCGCCGTCAGCCGACGCAGAGCCGCGTTGCCCAGCCAGAATTCACCTGCAAACACAAAAACAGAACAAATTTTTAGAAATTTTTTTGATTAAACTAAAAAAAAGTTAAAAGTTATAAATTTTGTAGAGCTAAGAAAATTGTTATTGCTGTTATAAATTTTCTCTCAAGTTTCAAAAGCACATTATTCAAAATTTTGTTTCAATGGAAAAAAAAATAAAAATAGGCGCATTAAATAAATATAATTGAATTGGAATTCTGCTTTTAAAAAATTATAAAGAATGAATATTTTACAGAAGAAAACAAAAATTATAAATATTTAACTTTTTAATTTTTCTTTGCAATTAAAAATGTTTATATATATTCAAAAGCTGACAGATTTTTAATCAAATTACAGAAGATTTAAATTTTTTTATAAAAAGGTCCTCAAATTTAAGGAATTATTATAAATAGATTTTTTTTTGAAAATAATGTAAAAATAATGTGAGAAGCTCATTTTTTGTCACAATTGAGCGAATATGAGAAGTTAACAATTTTCTGGTTGGCCGGCAATATCCTCACTGCACCAGTAAATTTCTTGAGCTTCAGCAAAGAGAAATGAGGCACAAAAATCTCCACGCAGATCATTTTTCCGCGCTTTCATTCGATATGCGATTTCCTCTCAGAGACAAATTGCTCGAGGTAAAAACTTAATACCCCACGAAAGTGCTCATTAACGCTTTTTCTCCGAGCTTTGTAATCCATTATGTAAAAAGTTGGTTCTCACAACATTCTTCAAAGAGAGGCCAGCACGAGGGCTGCTTTAATACGGCCTCTCCGCTGGCTACGTGTGGGTGGGTAGGAGGTATGTGTTTGTTTGTACTCACCACCTGGTGAACCGAAGCCTGTGCGGTACTCGGCCCAATCACGGTTGAACTCCTGAGTGCCGTCGGTGCGGCGCTGAATCACAGTCCAGCCGCCGGCGCCGCTTTTCTGGTCGCACGACGCCAAAATCGGCGTCTCGAACTGCGTCTCGATCGCGTTTTCCACGGCCAGCGCGCGTTCCTCCGGGGCCAACGGGGGTGCGATCAAGTATTGACCACTCGGCCCAGACACCGCCTCGCAATCTGCAACACCAAAATTCACCTCGGTCAATTCCAATCCTTGCGTGCTGCGCCAATCACGCGTGAATCATTAATGAGGCGAAAAATTTATATACACTCATATAAACCCGATCCCCGCGAAAAAAAAAATCGGATCGAGTTGAGTCTGGCTCTATCGGATTACGGACCGTAAACTATGTAACGTGCAGTGTGGAGCAAGATAGGAAAAATTCGCACGCACTTGTATGGAAAAAGAGGCAAAGAGAGCTGAAATTCGACCTTTCGGAGATAAATAGTTAAAATATAGTTGATGGGTGACTCGCGTGTAATTGAATTTTTGGCCCTTTGCCGCGCGTCGGTGCCGAGAGAGCAAAATTTCCGCTTGGCATGGCGAAAAGCAACAAGCGCATAGACACAAAAAACGATGAGTTTTGTCCGCTTTTGTAAAAAAATTTGAGCTTAATGGCTTCGGCTAAATTTTGACTGGGCTGAAAATGGACTTTATGATTTATTTTAAATTTTAAGTTATTTATCTCTCTCGCAAAACCAAAATCCAACGTAGAGAAAATTATAATTAACTTTTTTTTAATTGAATTAAATTAAATGTTTTTATAATTTTTTTAAATGCAAAATAATTGTAATAAATTAAAATTAAAATTTATTTAAAAATTGCAATTTTTAATTGCACTATCTATATGCATTATCTATTTATCTGCAATAAATATTTACATACTTTTTTGCGTTTTTATTATATTTAGGCTCATTAATTCATTGGAAAAAAAAACAGAAAATGAACAAATTCTCTCACCTCTAGGCAGTGTTTGCACGATATGCCAAAATTCCTTCTCGATGCGGCTGATGTCTCGAACCACTCTTTTGACGGATCTGTCCGCGGACTGCTCCGAATTTGGCTCGTCCATCTGCAACAATAAAAGACGCACTTTAGTAAAATTGCCTTCCACAAAATGCAAGCGTTCGTTAAGTCGGCAGCGCCGACTAAGTGGCGGCTCATTTGCAATTTAACCACCCGCACATTTGAGTGCAGAGAGCGTTTTAAGGAGATTAGTTTTTAATTAGGCAGAAAGGCGGGCGGCCGAGTCTAATTCGGCTGCTTGCGCGAGAGAGCCCTTTGAAATTCCTCTCAGCGGCTCAATTTGGCAGTTTCTTCTTTGAGATGCAGCACAACAATAACGACCGAGAATGAAATATATATATCCCTCTGTGCTAATGAGAGGCGAGGCAAAAAATTAGAGCCCTAACGACGGGAGATGTGCTATAAAAATTATTATTATGTTCCATTCCAACGAGAAGCAGCGTCTAAAAAAAGTATACAGAGCGCTTTGCCTGCCGACAAATGGCGTAAGCGAGACGATGATAAGAATACGCCCGACGAATTGCGCGCCGATCTCATCAAGAGTTTATTACGTGCTCTTTCCAAGCCATGGCAAACGTACAAAAGGGAAAATGCTGGACCATCACACAAACACAACCGCTCGTTTCAAGCAGCCATGTAATGAAGTTATTTTTCCACACAGCGATGCAATAAAAATAATTTTACGGCCTAACAAGCCCAAACTCCTGCCATTTTCCGCGCTAAAAAAAGTCGTAAAATCTGCATAATTTTTAAATCTCGTGAGGTAATTAAAAATGAAACGAAAACTACAACCAAGCGAGAAAATAACAAGCTGTACGTACTATAAGCCAAAAGAAAAGATCAGAATCAATTTAATATTTTATTAATTATCTCTTGACAATTATTAGAGTTTAAGAAAAAATGGATGTTTACTCAGCAAAATCTTATAATGTAATTTATAATATAATATTATTTAAAAAAAAATCATGTAATAATAATTTTTCTGAAGTTTTTCTTCTACTGATGTGAAATAATTCATAACTCATTTACTTGACTAAATGCATTTTGAATTAAAATCAATGACGCGTGCCTGATTAGTGAATGGCAAAACTCTGCTTGATCGCAAACAAGGTAACGCGCGTGAATGACGAACCGGCTCCGAATTGATTTCCTGCTGTGGAGCGACTCTGCAAGCCTCTCATTAAGCAAAGGAGCGCACGTGTCAGCTGCTGCTGGGTTTGTAATGTATGATATTTTTAATACAAGTGAACAGGTCTATGAATTCCTTAACAAGGTCGGAGGCTGCGAGTGTTGGGACGTGGCCGGCGGGCGCAAACTGTCGCTAATTGGCCCTCGGCCTTGGATTCGCGAATAATGCGAAAAACAAAGCCATCGCTCTTTTTCGAAACACCTGCTACGCGATTATGTGGAGAGGTTGTTAAATCTGTGTGTGTATGTGTACTCACGAGAGAAGATGCTGACGAAGACAGCGCGCCGTGTTTAAGCACCGAGATGAGAGCGCGATTTTCATCCAAGCCGTCTTGCAGGCCCGACACCAAATCCATTAGGTTTTTTAAGCTCTTGCTCTGCACCTCCTGCAAAACAAACACACATTTCCATGAGAATAAAGCCCGCAAATATTTGCCGCGCATGATATATTCGCTCACCGTTTCTTACGAGATTAAGTGATTAATTAAAATGCGCCCGAGAGCAGCAAAAAGCGCTGAACATGCAAACTCACTCTCTTCCGCGGCCCACTTGAAAAGCCATTATGCGCACCCGGCTAAAATATTAAAGGGTAGATTGCTGCCGAAAAGCTCAGACAAAGTATTTTTTAGCCTCAATGCTGTTTGCTCAAAAACTCGAGACGAAAATTATTCATTATTTTAGGAGAGCAAATCAAACTTCTAAAATTAACTCTTCTTGTTGCTAAAAGTTTGAACCTTTCAAATCATCAGGTTTTTATTAGCGTGCTTTTGACTAAATTTTTTCCACCCAAAGTTATTATCTTTATTGATTTTATCTAAACAAAGGGGAAATGAAATTATGAAAGGTAAAAAATATCAAGAAACACTGACCTGATTGTCCTTGGCCACCTGCGCATTGGACGAGGTCTGCGCCAGTTCAAACTCCATCTTGGTGACCTCCTTCTGCAGTTCGGGAATGGCCGTGTCCAGTCTGCTCTCCAGCAGGGCCATCTGTTCCTTCAACTGGGCATTGCTCTTCTGCACTTTGTCGATGGCTGCCAGGTCGCGGCTGACGTTGAAGAACTTGCGGGCGTTGGTCCTGCTGCCACTCTCGAGCTGGGACACCCGTTCCAGCAACTCCTTGTGCTCGGACTCGCGACTCGCAGACTTGGCGTGCGACCACATGGCCGTCTTCAAGTGCTTCTCCACCCGCCGCAGCCGACGCTCCACGTCCTTAGGCGCGTGCTCGACCACACTCTCAGCTCTGTTTTCGGTGGACTGCGGTTGAAGTTGCTTTGGAGACATTTTCAAAACGGAGCTCCATTCCGACTGAGCAGTTTCGAGCTGAAACAGAGAAATACACATTTTTAATAATTTTATTTTTGAAAAATTATTTTAAATTGCAACCAACAATTAAACAAGACCAATTATTCATCACTAATTTATTTCATTATTTTAATTTTAATTATTAAACATAATAATCATCACTTTTTCTTCCAATCGTAGCAATACAATTAACAAAAAGTTATGCTCCTAGTTTTCAAGCAAGTTTGCTTTCCTTCTCTGACAGCCAATAATTCGCTCTTATAATAATCCTTGCATCATCATGGAGCCTTCAAAGTCGGCCAACGGTGTGATTGAATGCAGTGAGTGTGTTTGGTTCACATTCCCTCTCCTGCAGCAAGCAGACCTTTCTCAACCCCAATCATCTCAAATCCCTCGCTCTGCACCGACAGAGCTCACCAAGTTTCACAAACTTTGATGGTGTGCATCTATCTCCCTCAGCACTCATCATTTATTCACCAATATCGTTGCTATTTTATTACAATTTCCATCTATCCATCCACCTGATGATAAATATTGCAACGGCAAAGGCGCCTGCAATGCTTTGATGCGCTGTCGGTCGCGCGGTGCAGCTGCTTCAATCAATAATTCCATCGTTAGCAGCTCTTTTCCAGCACACGCTGCGATGCACCAAGTGAAATAATATTCTGGGAAAAGTGTCTCTTCGTCAAATTAATGGCAGCTTTTTTACTTCAGCTTCATTATTCAATGATGAAAAAAGTGGACCACCGTATTGGATTGTAATTAAATGATGTAATCTCCATTAAAGGTTAGCAAAAAAGTAAAGGAGCGTTTTTGCCTTTTGTGCTGTACTGCCGCCGCTTTCTGAATTACGAACAATGAGTCGGTGAGTTGAATCCCATTTCGGTCTTTTTTTATTCCACTCCCCCCGGCGGGATTCACAGGCACAGTAGTCAGCATAGTCGGCGATGGACATTTTGATATTTAAAACAATGAGTTTCGTTTTTACAAAAGCAGAAAGATGGCTGCTGGGCAGCGTCCGACAGAGGGAACAAAGCTCGGCTGAGGTATATAAAGTTTTATTCTCCGGCGGCCTCACAGAAAACAAAAACGAGACGAGAAAGAGAGAGGATATCCAGCCAGCCAGCGCTCTTTTCATTTTACGACCTCGCCTTTGTTCTGCATGCTTCGACACAAGCCTTTCTGCAATTCCGGTAATTATTCAAATCTGTGAGAGACTCATCGGCCTAATAGAGAAGCCTTTTCCTTTTTTTTTTTGTTAGACAAAAGGAAGGCGCGCGGCGCCGTTTGGCATCCATCGCTCAACTCGGAACAGCATCATGCCGTCACATCAATATCGAAAATGTGCACCGCTTGCACTTTTCGTTTTGTACAACCAGCACTCTCCGGCGAGTATCATTTGTATCCTTCCTTCACAGAGCGCCGAACCGCGATGATCAATACTCAAAATAACGAGAGGGAAGCTGGACTGTGATATATACGCACACTTGTTTCTATATATAACTTTTTTATGCGTTCTATTCATCAGTTTTTCCACAATACGCATCAGAAAAAATTGAATTATGAAATTTTGGAATATGCCTTTAATGATGATTAATCTCAGATTTTATGTGTTTGAATTCTAAATTAATTTTAAAATTGGCCGAAATTTTAAGAGATGATTCCAACTTTTTACTTTTTCGTTCTGATTTTAAAATAAAAATATTGAAGTTTTCTTTATTAATAATAATTATGACTGTCTTAAATGTGAATTTTGAACCTCTAGAAAGGTGTCTTTTTTAGAGTCTTGATTAATGCAAAATTTTTCATTGCAATCAAAATTTCAAAATTTGAGCATTCCATTCTATTCACAAGTCGATTTTGTCAGGTTTAATAATTTAGAATTGCGTCTTCAGCAACCATAGTTGATGACACAATGAAATTTAACTACTTGAAAGTATACAGAGTTTGTGGCGGGTCTTGAAAGCCGCCCGTGCCGGAAAATTTAATAAAGGAGCGTCTTTGAGCGGCAAATTTATTAAGGAGAGCGTTTCTCGCAATAAATTCTCATTGCGACGATATTGGCGCAGATTCCTTAGCGCATTCGTAAAATAAATTCGGCTTTCCCCGCGCATGTTTCGGGACTAATTCAGATCTAATTTATTATTTTCATGCCTCGTTTCCATATCTTATATCGCGAGAGTGCCGCGCTTTTATTGCATTTCGAGTCATAAATTATGGGACGGGGAGCTTGCAGCGCCTTAACTCTGTCGACGGCTTTAAATTTATAATATTCCGTGCCGCCGCCTTCCTCTTTATGCGAATGAGCGGAGGAGACTTGTGTGTGTGTGTATATTTTCCAGCGCAGCTGTAGGGTCGGTTGTGTGGCGCAGTGTGGTGCACACGCAAAGATTTAATAAAATATCACTAGCTGCATCGCATGGCACCGCCTGGCTGCCTGTTTGCCCGACAAACGCAAATGCTATTATTTATTGCAAAATACCTCCACAACACATCACGTGCTTGGAACCAGTTGCCCTATTTTTTACATTTAAAAATAATAAAAAAAAGCTCTGGATGATAAATTGCAAACGAGCTTTCAGAGTGGAATTTTTTCATTTGAACAAGACGTCTGACATGATAATGGATTCTCGCCGGGCGGAAGTTCAGCTTTATTGCACTACTTGTTGAATGCTAAAAAATTTCATACACTGTGTCAGCTTTATATATAAGGTTTCCAAATTCAAGCCTTTTTCGCGTGAAAAATAAATCGCGAGGCAAAAGTATAAAACTTTAACATTCTTCTTTTTTGAGGCGAAAGCCAAAAATTTCAAAATAAAAAGCGACTGCGTTGAATATATTAAAAGGGCATGTGGGAAAAGCAGGTGTCCGTTGTTTGCCCAAAGTATAAAACTCGCATTAGAGCGGCCGGATGTGAGAGACTTGGACGAAACTCCAGCGTGTGGGTGTTGGTAGAGAGAGAGAGACGGCCTATTTTCGGGAATTTTTCATCAGGACGGTGCCCTGGGGGATAAAAGTGGTGCTGTTTTCAGCTCGTAAATTTTGCGAGTCAAAATCAACGAGGGCGATTCGAAACTTTAATGGACTGTAGAGGAAGCCATTAAACTTTCCTTATTAATTTTTTAATCAAACGTTTTACGCAGTTTGCTACAACCCCCGCAACAAAAATACTAAAATCACGGAAAACTGCTTGACTTTCTGTCATGTTGGGTTGAATTTTAGGTATATGGATGTGAAAGTAAAAATTAGTATTTTTTAAGAGTTTGTTTTTGATGAACTTTGGAACCGATATTGTAGCTTCCGGTCAAATTTAATCAAAACATTGCCAGCGAGATCAAACGCAGGCAGGTTCCATTATTCAAAATCATTAAACACGTATATGTCAGTTCAGCGTATGCTCATTAATTCACATTGCACGGTAAACTCGATTGGAGCGTATGAATTAGCTTAATTATGTGTAATTCGTGATGGTTTTGTTGCCGCGAACTCGAGAGCACATATTTGCCTTTCAGCGAGAGAGCTCTCGAGCCGCGCATTAGGGTGCAGCAAGAGCTCTCTCTCTCTCTCTCTCTCTTTGATTCATTAACTGCCTGCTCGGCGAAAAGTCACTTGCGGAGCAGCAACTTTGCTCGCGCGCCAGGAAAGATGGATCGTCGGTGGGAATTTCATCAGCATGCAAAGCGGCGAGTCGTCGGCTCACGGAGAGCAATAAAAGAGAATTAAGCGGCGGCACAGCGAAATAATGCCATTATCGCGGCAGATTTGTACCCGGTCGACGAGGAGGTCACACTGCAGGGCGCGCAATGTGGGACACGTCAAAGGCAGGAAATTGCTTCCGACCTCCAGCGATATGTGGACAAAACACAACAAGATGCGTCCCTCAGCTAGGCGGCTCGTTAATTTCACTGGCGGCCGCTTAGGCAAAATAAATTTTCGCTACATATATCACAAATCTGCGCGAATGCGAAGCTCGGAAAAAAAGAAAACAGCTGAATTGCAGGGCTAATTGGACTGCTCGTTAGAGGCAATGCGCACCGAGAGGGCTAATTAATTAAACTAGAGGCTCGTCAAAGGGCGGCTCGTTTGATCGGCGCGAGACGCAGTTTTAATTGAAGTCTCGTCTGCAGACTCTTTTTGAGCGTCAAAGAAGATTTTCACAAAAATCTGAACCACTGCGAGTAAAAAAGTTTAATATTTTGCGTCTGCCAGAGAAGATAATTAAATGAAAATCGAGAAAGTTTTGAACACAGAAATTATCTAAAGACAAGTTTGATGCCATGAATTGATTAATGAGACCAAAGTTTTGTTTCTGCTTATAAATATATTTTTTGCTTTTACATTTTTGCTCAGATTTGAAATTTAGAAACACCTATAGACATAGACACTTTTTTTAATCTTTGAAATTTCCATACTTATTTTTGCTGGGCGCTTTTTTCCCCCCAATCAATTTCCATCCATTTTTTCTTGCATAAAATTTTTGAAGCATCTTGTCAACAGCCAAAATTAGCAGCCGGCAGCCAGAATTTTAAGGGGCCATAAAGGCGGCAGATTGATTGGTTGTGCGCGGAGCGAGACGGTACGGCGGGAGGATGCCACCTGCCTGCGAGAAAGATGTAGTTTAATAAGCCGCGCTCTTCTTCCCTGGGTAGCTTCGTCTCGGAACGTAATTTTAACAAGTTGCCATCAACGTTGCCACGTGAGCCGCTTCAGAATTATTGTGCGTGCGCAAAGGAGGCGACGCTAATGAGGTTTTTAATGAAATTCCGCACTTTCGCGCCACTACGTGTGCGACGTTAATGAAGCTGGATGATCTTTCGCTGCGAGAACACGATTGCGAAACTTTCTTGCGCTTTGTTGATTCGAGTGTGTTTGCCCTAGTTCGCGGAAAATCGCGCCGTGATTGTCGCCGTATAAAACCGGCTGAGAATATTAACCCCGTTTGGGATTTACATAAGCAGCAGACGTGAAAATTCACGTCGATTTGCCTATCTATATACAGACCGAATCGATGGGTATGCCGTGCATGAAAGGGCTGCCTTTTTATACCTCTCGGTGTTTCGTGTTATGTCAACATATTCTGCTTTTCCAATGCCAGTCGGCGCGGCACGGAGGCAGTCGATCAAAAAACTCGCACGCAGAACTAGAGCGCCAGTCTGCCTGCCGGGAGGGCGAGGAATCCATACAAAAGTCAAAAAGTTTTCTTTCGAAAGAGTTGGATGGAAAGCAACGGGGTGTGTTATTAAACGGCTGAAAAATATTCACGGAACGCGAGCGGAAAACTATCTCGGCTCGTGCCAATTTTCATTATTAGCAGGAAATAAAAGAACGAAAGTCTGGCGAGAAATTTATTTTACATTCAAACCCATTAAGGGAAAACGTGCAAAGCTCAGCTCCTTTTTAATTCTCGCCGCATTAGCGAAATTGAATCGTAATTTTATATGGGCCACTTTCCCATCCACGGCTTTTTTAACACTTCTTTTATTTTCTTTCATCACCGCGCATATAAACTCACTTTCAAAAGGGGTTAATGACGAGGCGGCTCCTTTAAAACTCGGTCTCTTAAACTGCCGTGAAAACAGTTTATGCAGCCGCCGCGTAATTAGTCGACGGCGGTGGGCCAAAACGAGCAGGGGATCTTCTTCGTCTTCTCTCCTCGGAGAAAAGGAAAGGAGAAAAAACGGCAACGTCGACGGCAGCTGCTGCTGCCAAAAATTGTTACCTGCGCGCCCGCCGTTCTCCCTCTCGACTACCTGCTGCCTGCCTCTTCTCGAAAACTCCCCCTCGAGCTGTTTTCGTTCTCTGTGTGATACTCATACTTTTTATTTGACGTACCCACACCAAGTGAGCAGCAAACCGGGGGTGCACGAAAACACACTCGCATATAATGCGAGGGCGATTCAATTCTGCCAAGGGAAGAACTTTACCCAAGTCTTAAGTAATTCAGCCGGTAGATAGCAAAACTTTGCGCTGTTGTTTGCAAAAAAAGGGAAATTTTTTGTCCCATTGCCCCGAGCAACATTGTAAATTGCATTCTATTTACGTCTGTGAAAAACGAGAATGGAATAATGCACGTTTAAAAAGATCTTTATGATTGTATAAAAATTTAAAAAATATATAGATTTAAGAATTAAAAACTTTATTTTTAATTTAAATTTAAAGTAATTTATTATTTAGTCAGAAAGTAAACTTGAATACACTCGAATAAATACAATAATTTCAATTTTAATGAATGAATTGCAAAAATCTAACTCTGGGTTTGAATAGTCCTCACTTAATAAAGCGTATCAAGACGCAAAAGTGGAAGTGGCTACTTTTTAATTAAAGCTTCCATTTGAGGGTGCCGCTTTGGGGCAAAAGAGAAAAGTGGCCTTTCTGGTCTCTCTACCTGGCATAGATTATTTGGGACCAAACTCTGCACAGGCCCGCGAGCTGTTTGCTTTTAGACACAAAACGCGAACGCCGCCAAGGATTCAATTAATTGAGTGACGGAGGGCAATATTAAAATATACATAAGCTTTGTAAATATCGACCCATCAAGCCCCGGTTCAACTTTGGGTAAGAAAAAGAGAACCGAGATAAGTTTGTGGCGATCAAGCTCGCTTGAGCTCTCACGCTACATTGGCGCATTATGACGGGGGCAGTTCTGGATGGAAATCTGAGTTATTTGCGAGCGCCGCAGAAATGGCTTTTCTGATTAATCCACTCCGCATGCACACACAACAAACGTGTGTGGGAAGAAGATGAAATTTTCTTTGCGGCCCCTCTGCAATCTGCCGTCTCTTTTATTGCCCCTCAGCTTATGCGTGTGATGTTTTTGGGGCGCTTTTGTGTTGCACAAAATACGACACGGCCTCCCTTGCTTGCTTGGAATTCTTAGCATGCTAAAAAAGGCAGAGCCAGCGGGGAGCCTTTTGTAGCATGAAATTTTCTCATACGCCACACACTAGACGCCGCTCACCTGCCCTCGCTCTTTAATTATACACAAAAAGGTGACACTCTCGCACCGGCGCAACTTACTCAGGCATTCCGAGACCCTCTCAATGGTAGGGGCTTAATATTTTATAATGCCGAGATTCTTTGATTTACTGTCACAAATTCTCTTTAGAAAAACCTTTTTCATGCATTCCTGCTGGAAACCAATACTTTTTACTTTAATAAAAAAAATAACGTGAAATGAAATAAACGAGGATGAAAAAAGTTTAATTAAAAAAAAATTAAAATTCAAGCAATTTTCCTAAAATATTATGTAGTAAAATTTGATTGTTCCGGCAATTTACTTTTAATTTTACACATAATTTTCTATTAAAATCATGCGTTTACTGAAAATTTTATGTTTTTAAGATAATTTAAAGAATTCATTGGAAAAGTTAAGTAAAGAACTTGTTGACCAACTCAACATAGCAATCAATAAAAAATAATGCACAGAATATTCAAATAAAAAATGCCCCTTTTGATGAAGGTCTTGGTTTTTTTTATAAAGAGCCCTTTTCTCACATCTGCGGCCGTCCAACTTTCCGGAAAATGAGACTCGCATAATTTAGATACCCCACAAAATTCCGGGTGCCTGTCGGAGTGGAAAATTTGTTCCCCTACCTGCACTCGGAGGTTGGCGCAACTGGCGGCGCAACTCTGCGCCTTGTCTCTGATGTTGCCGATTTCCTCGACGTTCTGCTGGTTCTGCACCGTGTTGAGTTCGGCGTCGCGACGCATCGCCTCCAAATCGGCGCGACAGCTGTCCACGTCGCTCCGCAGCTGGGTCACTTCGCCGGACAAACTGGTCACCGACTGTGAGTGCAGGTCACTAGCGTTGTGGCTGGCCAGCAGTTCGGTCTGGATTTCAGCGCGGATCTGCTGCACAGCGCTCTGCAACCACTGCACCGTCAGGTGGTCGTTGCGTTGCTGGTTGTTTGAGTTCGGCTGCTGAGTGCCGGCCGAATCCTTAGCATTTGTAATTTCTTTCCTGAAAAACAAAGGAAAAGGGAATTTAATATTTTCATTTTAATTTAGCTTCAACGTGAATAAGGGTAATATTAAGTTATTTCCTTAATAATAAATTATATTTTAAATGAAAATTTATACAGAAAAAAAAATTGAATGAAATAAATTGATATTTGAGAGAAAAAGAAACGAGGTATAGATGTTGCGATCTTCCTTCAAATTTTAAAAATTGTAATATTGAGTCTGTTTGAGAGACTGCAACTTTTAAATTAATTTATAGACTTGTCTTGCAAACCATTTCAAGTTTAATAATAAATAAATAAAAAATCCTATAAAAAATATGGAACATAGTTTTAAAAATTTCAAATAAAAATAAGCAAATTTTATAATTGATGGTGCCTTTGGGTCTATTTTTTATGCCGCATTGCTGGAAATCAATAAGTTCGCCTCCCTCGCGCATCAGAGCCAAATCAATTATACGGTCCATCAGATCTTTCATTGCTCTGTTTGCCTTCTCGGAGCGCGAAACTAACCACTTTCCGACTTTCCCGCGCTCAAAGAACTCGCTCCGGGCTCGCAAAGTTTCTCCGAGCTGCGCAACTGGGGACCATTGTCGTGCACATTTGCATGGGAATCAACATTTTTCCGTGCCGATAGCTAGCTCCGTTTTGCTCTCCGCCGAGAGCGTTTCGAAATAAAATCATGCAGCACTCGGGGCAAAAAGAATAATTTTCGCAGACCGTGTTTGCGTTGCGCGTCACAAAGACGACGAACCAGGCGGGTAATCCCCCGCTCTCGGGAGAGATTAAAACTTGATGCTGCACACACACACGCGCTCATCTTTACAGCTCTCAGCCGGATAATATCCTCTTTAACTTTTATTATCCACATGCAGCCGCCGGCTGAGGCGTAAAACTTCATTATCGCCGTAATTTGGCCCGGAAAATTAATTTTTAATTCGGGTTCGGAACAAAGGAGTTAGGCAATCCGCTCGACGCGGCTGTCGTGCGGGTCTGCCTTTGTCTCTTATTTGCAGGCGCCATCCGTAATAAAGAAGGAACGTGGGAAAACAAACACGACCGAGTTCGTCTGCGTGAAAGAGGGAGGCACGTTGTAAAAAGTATAAAATGCAAAGACAGAGAAGCTGCACGACTATACTTTATAAAGAGAGAGAGACGAAGGAACAAAACCAAACAAACACGCTCAAGATAGGATAGGGCTTCCCTTGGCCTCCCTTTGTTGTGCCTCAAACACATTATAATGCGCCTCGACGAAATTTTGAATTCGCCCCGTTTTATTTATAGTCAGCATTGTTTCCTCCTCACAGAGAGGAAGTCGACAATAAATTCAGCTTATCAGTGCCAAAGAAATAAGAATTCGACCGTGTATACCAAAAGCGGGGGAGTTGAAATGCGACCTGCCTTTGTGCGAAAGCGTGCGAGAGAGTAGAGTGTAATCAAATGTCACGCTGACTGGATCAAATTAATTCCGCACAGAGTGCCGAGCTTTTTTGCTCGTTTGTGTGCGAGTACTACATTCAGTGACGGTGCTTTTAAATTTTGATAAAATAAAAGCACGGTCTGGTGGAAAAGTACATGTGTGATTTAAATCGGAGACAGACTGGAGCTTTTTAATCAAATTACTTTTTCATTTCGCGGACATGCGCATATTTCAGAGTTTAAAGTTAAAACCCCTACCATTTTTAGGTAAAATGGGGAAAAATTAATAAACGGATTACAAAAAAAATTATGAATTTTTCAACATTCATTTTCAAATATAGAGAACGGAAAGGGAAATAATTTCTCTGTTTCTAGGAATTGTTTAGTTTTCCGAACGATTGCCTACGTCAAGTGCACACTACAAAGTACTGACGAGGAAAAGTCGCGAATGTACATGCGAAAGAATCAATATCCCCGTGTCGAGGAAACTCGCACGAACATACATATATTTATGGATAATCTTGATATAGTGCACGAGTGTGTTTGCGTTGTAAAATGTAACAATGTGAGGGGCATACGTCGGTGTGTCCGGTCGGTTGGTCGAGTGGTGGCCGTAATAATGGCGCGGGGTAATTTTATGGCGCGCCATTACTTCACGTATACGCTTTATGTGCTCGGCCCGTTATTATCGCGCAAAGAAATTCGATTCGTCCACTCTTTGGACGGTCGAACCAATTTATTCTTCTGCGCCATTTACCACGAGAGTGAAAAATCCGTTGCGAAAGAACAAAAGCAAACAAATTGCCCGGGTTAAATTTTATCGCAGCCTCTTTGTTGGCGCCCATCTGATAACTTGCTTAGTTCAGAAAGGGTTAGGAATTATTATTCGCTCTTTATAATTGAGGAAAACTCATGACCCAGTTATGCGGTTTATCCAGCCAAAGCAGCCATAACGGATATTAGACCATTAGTTATTTGAAGCTTATAACTCTGGTAGGAATTCCACACAAAATATACATTGTATCATAGTGTAATTGTAATAAAAATTTTTTTCTAAAAATAAAAATAGAATAATGAAAATAAATATGATTGTAAAACGCAACTAAATTTTAACAGTTTCTAAATTAAAGTGCATTCTTTAAACCAATATTATTATTATCAACCAAGAAGAATAAATATAAAAATAATATTTTTATAACAAAATGTATTTCAATAATTGCAACAATTTTTAAATAAGAAGACAAAACAATGCATAAACAATTTTTTATGCTAAATAAATAAATAAAACTTTAAATTTATTCTACTTTTTGATAAACTTAAGAAAATTTCATTATTGAATTTTGAAGTTTTTATTTACAAAAAGGTGAAAAAAAAACATTTTCTGAATAAAAAACAGGCATGCTGTGGCAAATGTACCGACCTGAGATTCTCGATTTCCTCCCTGAGCGCCGTCAGTTCGATCTGGTTGGCGATTTTGATCGTGTCCAACTCCTTGTCCAGCGCCTTGCGGTGCTCGAGCAGCGCCTTGATTTGCTCCTGCAGACCAGTCTGCAGGTTGCTGCTGGCGCCGCTGAACTCGTCGTCGTCGTTGTAGAAAGGCACCGACAATCCGAGCGCGGCGCCGACGATCAGCGCCGCGAACAGAAACACGCCACTTGTTATTCGCAGCATCTTGCGTCCGCACTGTGACACCGACTTTCGCAGACTGCGCCGGCAGCCGCTCGCTCGCCTGCCAAGTATACTCTCGCGGCTCCACCGACGCACGCATGCGCCGCCGCCACCGACCTGAAGAAAAAACGGCAGGTGGTCTTCGACAGGCTCTCCCCTGCCTGGCCGAGAGAGAGAGATGCTTTATGGCCGGCCGAGAGCAGAATTATTATTCGTGTGCCTGGCGCGTGCTGTCCTTCTACCTCCTCTTCTTTCTTTCTTTCTTCATCGAGAGGCAGATGATGGACCAACGACCAACGTTTGTGCGGAGGTCACCTAGGCGTAATCGTCGCTTCTTATTTTATTTATTACTATGCCGGCCACCTGCACGTGTACAACTTTTTTCTCTCACTTTATTGCGCATGAATTTAATTTTTCGGCCGCTCCTTTTTTGCGTCGCTGCCCAGTGGACGCGGCAGGTGCTGTTTCTTGTGCAATTGATACTTGATTGGGAGAAGCAATTTGGAATTTTGATGGCTGGTTTTAAAATTTTTACTTTGTATTACACTCTTGCGGTGAATTTTAAAGTGCGGCAGGTGCTCCGTGATGAACGGCAAATCTTCTCAACTCAACTTCTCTAGCTCCTTTTATGGGGCTTTTATTTTATTTTTTGCTAGCATAAGAAAAAAATGCTTCTCCCATTAAAAAAAATATAATAATTAATTTAAGAAAAAAATGTAAATTTTGAAAAATTGAAAGAGATTTTTGTTAACAAGAATGATCTTAAAATTTGATTTAAATTGTTGAAAAATTAAAATCTCTCCTTTCATTTTGAACTGTGAACATGGACCATAAAAATATCAATTGATCTCAAAATGTGCATAAGCAATAGCAACATGTAAATGTAATGAAAAAATTAAAAATTTCATTTTCTTTGTTTTACAATTTTTTGTATACAGATAAAAATAAAATACCATTTTTCAGGCATATTAATAAAGTTGACATTTTGTTTTATTAATAAACACAAAACTTATTGATAATTTTTCCAGCTCTTCTGTTAATTGGTTTTTCCTTATATTATTTTGTGCTTCAAAGTCTCTGATATCATATTGATATGGAATTTATATTGTAACAGTGTTGAGGAGGCTTTTTTGTCCTAATTAATATTATAAATTTTATCCATAATCTATACAATAAAGGCTTGGCACGTTTAGAAGAGTCGGCAGGTGGCGAGAAAATTATTCTCGGCGGTCATCTTCCCCCAATTAATCCCCTTGGCATGTAGGGCACCCTCTCTGCTCGTCACGGTGAAAACAAAATCCATATATCCGAGCTATGGGTGTGAGCTATCGTGATTTCATTAGACCTGGGTGTGGTACGTTGATTCATTTTCACTCTCGCTCGCCGACATCATCGGCATTTGTTATCGCCAACCACAATCTATTTGATTTTCTCCTCGGCGCTGCGGCGCTATTATTATTATGAGCCCAGCAAGAAGAAGCGCCCAAAGAGTGGCCTGTCATCATCAAATTAATAACATCACGAAAAAATACTTATATAGACTCACGTCGAACTGTCGCGGCGACGGCGGCGTTTTCCGATTGCAGTCACGCAAACCGATCCAATTCTCTTTTTACTAAATTTTTACATTTTTCTCCAATAAATTTTGATTGATTGTCAAACGCTGCAAGTTTTTGTCATGCACGGTGGTTGTTTTATAATAATAGAGGGTGAAAAACTTTTAACTGTAGTATTGACAAGCAATTGAATCTGCTGCACACAATTAAAAAATTTAAATTTTCTAATGTTTTTTTACTGAAACATGAATTTTAAGGGCTTGGTTTTTAAATTTTCATCAAAGAAATAATTAATTTTTTGTTTCATTTTATTCAGTTTTACATAGAGTAAAATAATATTACCCAAAATAAGTATAATAAAATGCCATACCACATTAAGAATTTACTCTTTACTTGCAAATGATTTTTTTATTATATCTCCAGCCATTCTCTGCTAAAGTATAACAATTGGAAAATACAAACTAATTAAAAATCACGAGAGAATTATTTAAAATTAAACCTTTTGAAAATTAGAAAAATTAAAACAACTTCTTAAATTGTATTGCAAAATTTAAAATTTGAAGACCCGGACCCCTACCCATCATTTTAATTTTGCAAATAAAAAAATTTATTGGACCTTCCAGTAGAGAGTTCTTCAATATTTGCTTTCAAAATTTATGATTAATTTTATTGATTATAACTGGCCTCATCAATTTTTTCCAACACAATGTAGTAATAAATTATAAGACACAGAAAGTTTTATCCTTAAATTTCTCACTGCCCTTGAAGTATTGCAAAACATTTGCTCACTGCGCCATCGTTGGCTTTTTCTCGTGAAAATTTCATTCCGCGGCACACAGCTGCGGTTTCAAATGTGGCGCAAAACTACCCAATTTGAGAATAATCAGCTGCAGGAGATGAGTTTTTTTCTTCTTTTTATCAGTGAGAGAGAAAATAAGGTGTTGAAACAAAACACCGTCTCATGCAGCAAACAACTTGCGGTGCTTCTTCTCTAGACGAAGTTTAAGGTAAAGCAAGAGAAACTTTTTTGTAACAGCGCCGAATGTTTTTGTCCACTTCCTGTTTCTCTCGAATTGGAGACGGAAACATATCCGCTTCCCGCAGAAGAGAGAATAGGATAGGGGTTTTGCTGCACGTGTGTTTGGCTTAAGTTCCCTTTAAAAAGTGACCAACTGCCTCTCTCTGCGTTTCCTCCCCTAATTATACACGCGAGTAGTGAATGCTAATCAAAAGCGCAAAAGTTAAGCGGCGTCCTGCACTTTACGCTCGGTGGCACACGGTCTGTTATTTTGCGTCGGCCAATGTGAATGTGTGTGTACGGTGCGTTCAACAGGCTGACGGCTGACTGACTTTTTGCCCTTTTCTCCAACGTCCACCGCGCTCAAGCGGGATGAAAATAGCATACGTAATTTCTCCTGCTCGAATGGAAACTTGCCTTCCGTGACAGGAGAGCGACATTGTGTCTGAACATTAAAAATTGCATCTCTGAGCTGGAAAAAAAATATACATGTGGAGAGAGAATAATTTATGCGCGTGGTCCTAACTCAACGCAATCCATGTTTAGGCTATGTTTCTTATGCGGGTACAGTTAACCTCGAATATAAATCAAAATAAAACTGGATTTAAATTTGCATTATTTTCATATATTGAATTCTAAGAGTTACATAAATAATAATCCAATCAAAATAAAAAAAAGTATTAGAATCATAGAAATATTTATTTAGAATCAATATACAAAATTTTGTGATAAATTTATCTAACTGTTTCATTAATTTCATTTAATGATAGAATTTAAACAAGTCCTTATGCTTATTTTGCCATTTATATAATAGCATACTAAATTGATACTTGTACACAAACACTTTTTGTGATTAAATTATATTAAAAAATTAATTTAGAAAATTATTCTGCATAGAGTTAATACTTTTTTGGGTGAAAAGAGCCCCAACGGCAAAAGTAATTTTCCTCTCCAAAGCCTTTCGTTATTAAGGAAATGAAAAGAAAACATGCCAAGGCAAAAGCATTCGGGAGCCCAAGTTTCTTCAAAGACGAAATTCTTTTCACCACAGCTCCTTCTTCTTTTCGCTTTCCGCCCAAAAGTTGCCTTCTTATATGTGCTTGTGCGTGTACCAAAGCAGTTTCGCACTCTGTGAAAAGCTGCTAAGTGTTTTTCGAGTTCTCTCGGTGTGTGTTTGCAATTCGGCCGCGCATTCCGGCAGGACACACAAGCGAGAGTGTAAGGAGCAAAAGCCCAAGTGCGACAATAATTCTGCCAGCGCAGCCGGCGAGGAGCTCGGTAATTCACTTTGGGACCGGGCCGAGTGACAAAGAAGGCAAAAGGATTCGCCGCCGAGCGCTCTTGAATTCTGCTGCTTTCCTGCCCGCCGACTTCTCTTCCTCACCGAATTTTCTTCTTCTCTAGCTCGGCTCTCCTCGCACAAAGAAAGGAAGATAGCGGGGGCGCAGAAAATTCCTCTGGGGATTTCAGAGGCGCGTGTAGGAAAATCTATAGTTATACATTTGTCGTGCGACGGCGAATTTCCAACATGCAAAATAAACACCGCACAACAAAATGCGAGAGCAAAAGTGCCGAAAACGAAAGGGTTGCGTGCAGACGGCGAAATTATTAACAAAAAGCAAACGACGTCGTCAGTGTTTCACAACTGCCCCTTTATTGTTCCTTTTAAAGGCTGTTTGCGTCATTCACCAAAATATACTGCATTGTGTGCTACGGGACAAATGGACTATTAATTCTGAAAAACAGACGTATGCTAACTATAAATAATGAAGTCTATTTCAATTTTTATTATCAGCATATCGTGCTGATAAAATTCTTGATATCAATAAATTATTTTTCACTCAAAAATGATCTTCTATAAATAGAAAATTTCTATTGTATTAACCACTAAGTAAGTTCGCATTTTCATGAATAAAATTAATCCAGAAATACTTCAATCAAACTAAATTTATCATTTTGAATTTGATAAATTTAAGTTTTAATATCTTCATCATATTTTTATTTATATATTTAGTTATTATAATTTTAATACCAAATATAAGTTAAACTTGAATTAATGAATATTAAAAATAAATTTAAATGAAAACAGTTTAAGATTTCAAAGAAATAGTAATTTCAAATCTAGCTGCGAAGATAAATTAACTTTGCAAATTTTTTTCTCAGAGGTCTCTTCAAAAATGAGAGAAAATGCGGAACTCAGCTATATATGATTTATTGTTGATCGATTGACTTTGCAAAACTATTTCACCTTGACTTTCAGATAGGCAATCAAAATTTCGCAGAAAAATTCGCCCCAAGGATTTGATCACCAAAAATTTGGAAAGTTTTCTTTTACAATTCAAATCGCGAAATATCTAATCTTGCTTTTCACAACAACAACAAATAAATTTTAGCCGACAGGGCAGGCGGAGCTTTTCTGCGGCTCCTTTTCACCGAATAAATTTCATCTCCGCAGACGACGCCGCGTAATATATTAAAAGAGAAGAGTGTGCGGTTGGTTTTGGCCGATGCTTATCTCGAATCAAGCAATCAAGGCAGAAGAGCAGCTGCTGTTCTCGGATGCTACTCTCGCTTCATCCTGCTCTTTTTTATTTTTTATTCCCCGATGATCTCTCTCTTTATTCGTGCTGCGCTGTCGGGCCAACCGAACTTGGCTAGAAAAAATGCTCAGGCTCGATTCTCTCACCTGCCGTCGCCTGGGGACCTTTTGCCCTAGCGAGGCCCAACCTTCGGAGAACTCCCCAGACGCGATCCGCTCCCACCGCTCGCTCCATCAAACGCCACTCTCGATGTTCTTTTTGGCAGAGACGCGCGATGCATTGAGATCGAGTGTCGTTACAGCGGTAATGAGCGGATGAGTCTGCGAATGGACCAGGCCAGCAGCTTCACCTGAGCCATTACGACGGGTTTGGACATGTGTGTGCTGGTATAGTCAGTGAACTTGAGGGCTATAAAAGGTCTTGTTTTGAAAACTTGCCAATAGTTGAATGAAATAATTGTATTTTAGAAAACATTGGCTAAAACAAAACAACAGAAAGAGGGACTGTAAATATATTTTATTTCTGGTTCAATTTGAATATTAATTTTAAATAAAAAAGCCTCAACTTTCTTAAAATAAATTTATCAAGAACCCTCTCTTCTCTTTTTCCGATTTAAATATTTTTAGTATTGACGGAGAAGAATAAATAATAATAATAATGATAAATAATCATATTGAGTTTTTTCCCCCCAAAAAGACTATATTTTAGTTTTTTTCCGTCTGACCTTCACGTCCAGCAAAAGAAACATGCACAGACAGGACCTACTTCCCTTACCCATAATTAAATTCGCTCTATATCACTTGACATAATCAAATTAGTTCAATTTCTGGTCCGTGCACGCACTGCACGTTTGCAAGAATAAAGTAAAAGAGCAAGGCGCCAGTGGCACGACCCGGCTGGAGAACGAGAAAGTTGGGCAAATCCAATTAGGGTCGCTAATCTGACGAGCCAGAGCCCTTTTTAATCCTGCGCCACAATGCGGGGCTGCATCCCTTTCGCAAAGAAAAACGAGAAAGTAAGTCGGCCTGCAGCGAAAAGTTCCACTGACCGGCGGCGTCGCGTTCAACTGGTGCAGCGGTCCGACCTAATAGTTTTCGCAGTCGCGAGAGGATCATCTAGATGGTCACCCTCGCATTACGACACCCGCAGTCTAATGACTAGACTCATTTTGGAGGATTAGCTGCGAAGGAGGATTATAGTGAGATTTGCGGCACTTTAGTTTCCTTCCAAGTCCGTCATTTAAAAAAAATGCTTGTTCAATTTTTTATTTTTTAAAGTTTATGATTCATAAACAATGAATATGATGAATAAAAAAGATATAGTTTGTGTGTGTTTTAACAAAAATAGTAATTTAACGCATTAAATAAATACATACATATTCAAATACAGTACAAAAAAAAAACACATAAATTATTCATTTTGTTTTTCTTTTGCAAAATACCAAAGAAGAATTTTTAACCATTATGAAGAGTATTACAAGTTGAACCTAAATCCTGTCTTATTTTTCTCATTTTTAAGCCACATTTTATTGTTATATTATAAAATTATTATTTATATTGAAAAAGTCGATCATTATTTTAATCTCGAAGATATATAATATTTGAATATATATTTTTATTTATTTATTTTTTTATATTAGCTTCTATTTCAAACTGAAACGGAAATTATTTAAATGAATGAAATAAGCAAAACAAATTTTTAGGGAATGCAATTCTTAATTTCGGGCTATACTTTGAAACAATACAAATTTGCCCTGGGAAGGAATATTCGTGTGCTCTTCAAATCAAAATACGAATCGTATATTTGCAAACGATTGAGATGAAAGCCGCTTACACTCTCGACGGAATGTTTACACTACGTAGTGCGGGTTGGGCTCGGATTGGAAAGGGCCACTTTCTCGCCCTAGCTTCTCTTCACTTTTATCCGCTCGAACTGATAAGACGCAGGTCGGTTTTGTTGTCTTACTGGGCGAAACCGCGGCGGTCGGTCGGTCGGCCCAAGGCTAAGGAACCTCGAGAGACGAGGCATCGATTTTAATTTCCGAGCTTTTGCTGGCACTCGCGCTGCCCTTTCGCGCAAAGTCCGAACTTATCGTCGGGCCGGCCGGGGTGCGTTACTTTTGCAGCGAATTATGGTCGTTATGTAGCGTGCAGAGTTGGCACCGAATCTTTTTCGCCCATGGCACGAGTCAGTTTTATGTGTCTGCCCATAGTTTATTGCTCTGCTGCTTCTGCTCGCCGCTCAAGATATTATTGCATGCCCACAATTTGTTCTGCACAGAGAGAAGCAAGAGCGCCTGCTGGCCAGATTTTACTCAGATTCAGCGGGGAGTTGCGCCCAATTACTTATTCAAGTGGATTTATCAGCCTCATACACACATTCATATTATACACAGAACACAGAGAGGAGTAAAAACAAAACTAGGGCACACATTTTATGGGGTGGGAATTTTCTTGTGTGCATAAATCAGCTTATTGAAACAATAAATTAGAAAATGTATCTTCATTTATTCTACATGCTTGTTATTTTTGATGCAAAAATTTAAATAAAAATCAAATTTTTTCTAACTCGATAATAATTAAAATGTATAGTTTAGCAAAATATTAAATTATGATCACTAACCTAAAATTTTTAGACATTTTTTTACTGCCACTTTAAGTAAATATCTTTTTCCATGATATACCAAAACAATATGCAATTGATTTTCCTCTGGATATAATAAAAATTCAATACCAGCTGGAAAATTATTACGCAATAAAGAAAATCGAAGTATAAAGTTGTAAAAGGAAATAAAAACTGCAATTCAATAAGATGCGAAATAATATAAAGCAACTTCTCAACACTGAATATATCGTGGCGCGCGTGACCGTCTGCTGACCGAATATAGTTTCTAAATCGAGGCAATTGACTGATTATGGGAAATAAAAAGACCAAGCGAGAGGGAAACACGCGGCGGGGCAGTAAAAAAGTTGACGACGAGGGCACCATTATTATTTTACTCAGCTCGTGTAAAAAGCACTTTGCACGATTTCTGCACGATCAAGTTCTTTTTTCTTCTTCACGTGTATTGTGATGTGTGTCATCATGCTCAAGACGAGGACTGCAAATGTCTCTCTCGTCCTGCGGTGCAGCTCGGAGCCGAGACCATTCCATTTGCATTATCGACGTGTGCTAGGGCCACACAATGTCAGTCAGTCAGTCAATCAGATAGCGCGCGCGAGTCGAGATTACAAAGTTTGGGCGGCGTGATGGAAATGCCGAGATATTATTCCGCCGGCGCCCATTTCCACCGAGGCTCATTTTCCGCACCGAAGCAGGTAGAGGCTGGAAAACCACTTTTGCGTGCGTCTTATCTCGCAGCCATAACCGAACTTTGTGCCAGGCCCCCTGATCTACTAAACGAACATAAAATTGCTTCATTTGGCCCCCACGATGCAGAGAAATAACATGCTGCCGTCAAAATGCAGAGTTTTCCAAAGCTCAAAAACATAATTCGTCTTGAGTCTTCACCACTAGAACCTCACATTCTGGAAAGATAATTTAAATGTTAATTTCGTTATTAAAGAAAGTGATAATATTGTTGGAAAAAATTTATATTGCAAAAAAGCTATATTATATCGTCGGCTACGCGGACAGATGGCCAGTCCGTCGCTCCGCTTTTTGACACAAATGGCCACTAGCCATTTGCGCCGTTGGTACAAATGGCCACTCGACAGCTTTTCCAATTTTACAGGAGAAGCAAAAAACTGATTATCTGCGAGAATGTTCAGATTTCAGAATCCACTTTTTAACTCAGGGTTAAGGATGATATTGAAATTAAATTAGTGAAAAAATTATTCCAAAAAACGAAACATCACCGCTGATATGAAAATAAAGGCGAAATTGGAGCCTCTGCTGCGGAGCGGCTGGTTGACGCAACAGTGGCGCCCCGTCAGTCGAGGTGTCGCGAAGAATGCTCGTTGTGATAGACGTTTGCGCGAATGCAATATTTTTTTAGAACGCGTTAATTTAAATTATTTAAAATTTCAGTGTTGATTCATAATTAGATAATTAATTTTTTGATTTGCTAGTTTAAAATAAATTCCGTCTGGGAGAGGAGTTATTATTGTTTCCGCGAGAATTTTGTTCCATCAATTTTAAAAATAGAGAAAAGCTTAAAACAATATAAACCTTTATAGAAAAATGTTGCCAATTAAATTTCCTACAATTTCTTCCATTGGCTTAAAGGCGTCAGAAATTTTTTCACTTATGTACGGAAGGCTAAAAGTCAAAATATTATTTTTATTCATAGAATAAAATTTTTTAGAATTTTTTTGAGATAGCCAATCGATTGGAAATTTAATTTTAAATCTAGCTTCCAAATTACACCAAAAAACATTGAACCGTTTTTAAGTTGCACTTTGCTTTCTCGTGAGCGCTCTGACGGCACCCTCGTCTTCAAAAGCAGTTTGAAGGGTGATCACATTATATTCTTATTTTAAAACGGCTCAATATTTTTTGATGAAATTTAATAACGAAGGTGAAAATTTAATTTCCAATTGATTGGCTATCTCGAAAAAATTTTTAAAAAAATCTTATGCTATAAAAAAAATATTATTTTGACTTTGAGCCTTCCGTATGTAAGTGAAAAAATTTTTGACGTTACTAAGCCAATGAAAAAAATTGTAGAAAATTTAATTGGCAACATTTTTCTGTTTAGGTTATTATTTTTTATAACTTTTCTCTATTTTTAAAATGGACGGAAAAAAATTCTCGCGGAAACATTAATACCTCCGCTCCTAGACGGAATTAATTTTAATCTAGCATTATCAAAAAATACATGATTAAATTGAACTTCATCGCTGAAATTTTGAATATTTTAAATTCACGCGTCCTAAAAAAAAAGAAAAGATTGCATTCGCGCAAACGTCTATCACAACGAGAGCATCCTTCGCAACACTTCGTTTGATTGAGTCCGTCCATTTGAATTAGTAATTAACTAATAATGAGATTTTACTTCTAGAAAATTGTAAAATATTTTAATATTTATTATACATTTTTTCAAGATTTTTTTTATTTTAATCATTTTTTCCAATTTTAACATTAAACGCATTAAAAGTATTTATTCATATTATCCGGCGATATGGGAAACCACATGAGGGGGCGTGGCTTTCATGGCACTTCTTGCTTGCGGGCTCAACAGAAGAGCCATCTACGGGTAAAGTTGGTACTTTTAGCGTGTGGGCTGATGCATTTTGACTTTTTGAACATATTCGCGCAGAAAAAAAATTTTTCTCCGGAAATGCGAATTGGCCATTTGTACCAACGGCGCAAATGGCTACTGGCCATTTGTGTCAAAAAGCGGAGCGACGGACTGGCCATCTGTCCGCGTAGCCGACGATATCATCTCACAGTCAGGTTTAAAAGATTTAGGACATTCATTTATTATAAACATATTAACTGAAAATCCTGATTATTAAGGTTTGGCTATAAAATTAAAAATAAAAAAGAGAAAAATGTGTATTACAATTTTTTACTTCATTTTTCATTGCATTGTTCAACCCTCTAGAGAATAATAGTTTATATGATAAACATTTATCATAAAAAAAGGTCAATGATATAAATGGGCAAAATTATTCTTCATTGAAACAAATATATTAATCAGATGTTTGAAAATATTTTTGAATATGACGACTATGGGCGCCAGAAGCTAAATAAGAATTAATCCTATGGATTAAATTACTTTTTTCAAAAAACAAGATTACTTAGTAGCGCGTTAATATTTTGGAATTTGACGACTATGGCGCACCAGAGGTTAAATAAGAATTAATCCTATTTTTCATCAATTTATTTTTTTTGATACGGCGCTTAAAATAGATTGTAGAAACTTTCGTAGAACTTTTTTCTTTTTGCACTCCCTGAACACAATAAAGGGAATTAAAAAATGCAACATACCACAAAGTTAATTAATTTTTATTTGTAATAATTATTTTTCATCAATTGATTTTTTTGATACGGCGGTTAAAATAGATGGGTGAGCGTCAACTTTCATTGAACATTTTTATGTTTGCGCACTCCCTGAAAACGATTAAGAGAATTAAATCATACCACTAAAATTAATTTACTTTTGTCCCAAGAAAATATTATTCTTTAATAATACGTTGCTCGCGGAAGGTGAACTAAATTTGATTGCAAAAAAATTCCACTCTTGATAAGAGTGGCGCGCAGCAGATTCGTTGCATTTCTCATAAATACATATTATATGATTCAGTATTCTTGTTTGGAATGCTGAAGTTGAAATGAATTTAGGCTTGAGGCAGTGCTCGGCAGCCACCTTTGTCTCACTAGGCCCACATCTTTAGCGTACGAACTACACAGGTTTTATTTCGTAAGTGACAAACAAAAACCCAAAACGATGGCTGCCACAACCTTGACTTCTGTGGAAAGGACTATGGTAAGAAATTATTTAATTTATTTAATTTCAATTAGTTGTCGGACTAGTCGATGGTGAATATTTTTTGTCGTACAAAGTGCGGCACAATTGGTTTTCTCTCTCGCACGGTTTCTCCACGTAAAATCGGTCCTAAATTCTGATAATGTGCTTGCTTTCAATTCAGTGAACGAAGAAATGGAAAAAAATAATAATAAAAGTAAGGCTGATTGAATTTAACACTCTATTTTCCGTCAAAATTAGATATCGTTTTTTCAAAGATTATAATTTTTCATAAAAATTAAAAATGCTAATTATATCCTTGAGCAGCATAGTTTGCAATCATTTTACTGCTTACTTACTTACTTAGTCTTAATAAGCGGTATATTCGCATTTTAATGGAAAGCAATAGCTCGATTTTTAAGAAATATATGCTGTCAGAAAATGCGTTGCACTAGAATATTTTGCATTGCAATCAATCTTTAACCTTCGCCACGGATCACACGCAAAATCAAATAAAAGGCTTTGCACACATTTTCAATAACTGGTGTGAGCAGCTCAGTTAATAAGTTAGTGGTCTCATAAATAGAAGGACTGACGTTCAAATCCGACTACATGCTAGTATTTTAACTTTTGTAAAGAACTCCGGCTGAACAAATTTTTAATGTTGCTCATTGACAATAACAATTAAAAAAATTTTTTGCCCACTACATGCAATCGATAGTTGGCAGAAATTATTTAATGGCTCATCTAATGATGCCACATGATGCTATAATTTTCTTTTTCAGCCTGACGAGCTTGACGACTTTCCAGAGGAGGAACTTTTTCGCAAGTGAGCCAAATTTTGTTTAATTTATTTGGAAAAAAGCAAGAAATATTTTTTAAATTTGTTTAAACATAAAAAATACGTATTGCGTGGATTAGATTTTTAGGAGTTTTTACAACTTAAAATGCAAATTTATATTGGTCCTAACAGAAAATATATTGCGAAATTCAAATTAATTTGAGACCGAATTATTATACCTCATACACAAATAATAAATTTCAACTCTTTCCATTGACGGTTCTTTTTGTTAGAATGTAGTCTGACTGAGCTGAATTTAATAACATTATAATTTGTTGATTTTTAATATGCTATTTTACCTTTTTCTTTTATTTATGATTTAAGCTTAAAAGCTTTCACAAATATTATTTCTATTATTTAACAAATCAAACTGTTAAAACAAGCATGCGTGCGTGAGGGCACGTGAGGGTATCAGGGTATGTTCTTTTCGGAAATATATGTTTCGAGCATAAAAAGTTATTTTGCAGTTAAAATTAAAAGTATTAAATATTTAATAAAAAATATTTTCAATGTGAAGACCAAAAGTACAAAGGACAAAAATATCTGGACTATTGTGATTTAAAATTAAATTATAATGTGCTATGGACTTGATGGATGTTTGGTACTATTTTGTGTATTTTTGGAGAAGAGAATTGCTTTGAAACCTCGGTTACAAAGAGCAGTAATTCAAAGTCGACCATAAACCTGACCAGATGAGTGTGTGAGTCCCTTAATTTAACAAAAAGCTCTGGTGCCTTAATTTTAATTCTACCCACAAGACAGTATTTCCAAAAGAAGTAAAGAGAGTGCACAAAAATGTGCTAATATGTCAACTATAGGCCTTGGCTGCATCCCTTGTCTCCGGCTGCACCACTCTACTACCCCAATTTGACTAACAACACTGTTCCAATATCAATTTACACACATGGATGGAAACTAAAACAAAGCTTTATTTAATATTAATAAATAATTTCTCACATTTTTAATTGAAGAAAAAACTTTTTTCAGCTTCCTGAACAAAGATCAATATCAGTTCTGCGTGGAGGTGATCAAATTTTCCTGGTGGCAGTCCACCTTTTGTCTCAAAGAGTTCATGAAGTTTGATGCAACGTTCCTTGCAACTAACTGCTTTTGCAAGATGGTAGACGAGAAAAAGAGGAACGAAAGCGCAGCCATGCTACTTCAAGTGGCCAAAGGCGCTGCCGAAGGAAAAATAATTGGCGAACATTTGAAGTGGAGTAAGTTGTAAAACACTATCAATTACTTTATCAGTACTGAAAGCAAAATTATTCAATAATTAATTATAATAATAATAAACAAATTGATATGTGATGTAAAATACACACGTATATGATTAAATACAAAACTTTTTAATAACTTCCTTTTCTACCACTTTCTACCTTATACTTATTGATTATTCTAATTAAGAATTAAGTTTCAAGTCTGGGGCAAATTAATTATTTAAATTAGCAATTTCTTGATTTTCGTGTGTAGTTTTTTTTTAATCGCAGAGCTACACAGTACTTTTGCTTTTATAATTTGAAAATTTTATCCTCATTTCCGCATTTTCGAAAATTTTTCAATTGTTAAATGTTGAATGGAATTGGAGAATAAAAATAATAATTTAATAAAAAAAAATTAAGATATCACCATAAGATGCGCTTCATGTGAAATATCGCGACACTTAATCCCGCACTCCCTGCTCCAACGCTTTTTGCAACAAATTTTCACTAAAAATTGTTTTTTTTTTTTACTAAATTGTGCCTACTAATTTTGCCCAATCTTTCTTTCTTTTTTTTGGCCGGTAAATTTAAATCTCCTACTATAAGTAAAAGTGATCTTACAATCAAAAAGCAAAAAATTTAACCAAATTCTGCTTTCAATTGAATCTAAAGAGCGTCGATCTTGCTATTTCTTCTCTATAGTGTTGCAAAGATTGAAAGAGATCTACGACGAAAAGAAGGACCAGACATTGGAGGACATAGTGGACAAGGAGGAAGAAATGAACCGGTCGGAGGTCGACGAGTTGGACAAGGAGGCCGATGAAGGTGAAGAATCGGACCAGGCTGATGAAGGCAAAAAGTTGGAGGAGGAGGAGGAGACTAATGAGGGTAACGAGGCCACCAACGATGATGACGAGCTTGAGGAAGAAAACACTGAGCCGGCCGACCTCTCTTTCAACCATGACTACATTGTTGAGCACGGTTTGTCTTTAAAAATGAAAAATTGTTTAATCAATTTTGTTAACGAGTGAAAAAATTTTCAATAGGTGGGCCACCCATATTTCTCACACCTGCAGAAGGTACGAATTTTTCTTCTCCAATCTGTAGCAAACAATTATGAAAATTTTTCAAATAAGTTGGATTTAAAATTAAATTTTTCTTTTTAAATAGAGCCACTCGTTGACCTACCGGAGCCTGACAAAACACCAAGAGGTAATCTGTGAAAAGTAGTGAAACTGGAATATAAAAATTGTTTTTTGTTCTCTGTAGAGGTGACCCGTGTGTGGGAAAATCAGCAATACCTCAGCAATTGCGCCTGGTTCAGGAGAGAGGATGACAAATGGGTTTTCGTGACCTCCCGCTGCGTTTACAGCTCGATTCTCAACGCCATTTTCGAACTCATCAAGCTGGTAACAAAGCCCTTTGACCTCTGCTCGAAGAATCCGTAAATTGACCTCTTTATGTTTTGTGCAGGGCCATCGAGACTGGGCAAAATCCGTGATCAGGGAAAACAGCCCGATGGCTTTCCATCACTTCATCTCGTTGGCCGTCGATGGCGAAAAATCAAATGTAGACTGTTTCCTCCAGTACCATTCACTGCGGCTCGTTGAATTCTGGTGAGTGAAATTTTATTTTATTATGCAATTCTTTTCTTTCTTTTTTAATTTTGTTAGACAATTAAAATGTTTATGCGTTTATTAAAAAATTTCCAAACCAACCAATTTAATTTTCCTTAATATTTCAAATCGGCGTTTGAGAAAAATTTCATGTCGGAAAGATATTTAATTAGTTTTCTGAAAAAGTTTGCAACATAAAAATTGGAAGTGATCAGCGGAGAAAAACGTGTGCTCTTTGCTTTATTTTGTGAACATTTTGCATTTTTCTATTTTGCTCCCGGTTTCAGCAAAGAGGCCAAAGGCCTTGTGGTCCATGGTGAAGTGGCACCCAATGAGCTTATGGATCAGTTAAAATGGAAAGCTGGTGAACAAGTGCAGTACTGCAACAGGTGCAAAATATTTAGCAAAACGGCCCTCCACTTTGTTGAACTCTCTCAGCTTAATCAACTACGAGTTGGAAAACAACCTAAAGCCTCTGCCTGCCCTCGGGTAATTTAAGCAAAATAAGTTAATATATATGTATATATGTGAATTAATGTGATTTAACTTGCACACGCAGTGCGATGGAAACCGCACTGCCCACTTGCGACTCAACCAGCTCGGCTTTCCAGTGGCCGTACCTCAAAGTCAGGATGATCCAGTCGAAATCGCCAGCATCTTCCAAGTGGGAGCCAAGTTTGCCCAATTTGATAAACATATTTATATGCAAGATTTGTTATCAGGAACGGATAATTACGGAGAAGATCAGAATTGGAGAGACCCGGTACCAGGTCCGAGCGGCAATAGTGACTTACGACGAAAAGGACAACCAGAGGCATTGCGTTGCTTTGATGCCGCCCGAAAGAAGCCGCTCCAACAACCCTGAATTGTGGTCTGTTTTGGACTCAAATGAGCCAGACAATGCTCAATCCCTTGATAACTATGCTGCTAACTCAGGAAGACTCAATCTGGTGTTCTACCTCCGTTGAGACTCTCTGTCTGGTCCAGAATCTTGTGATTTTTCCCCAGCCTGCTCTCAACTGCTTGGCGCCGCTGGCTGAGGGCTGAGGTCTCTCGTACAAATACATTTTCGATCAAATTCACAAATTGCCCGGATCTCGTTTAAATCAATTGCATTTGTAAAAAAATTCACACCAAATTCTTAATGCTTATAAATGAAAGTCACTGTCATTGAAAAAAAAACCCGCTAAAATAAGTGAACGTTCACAAAGGTCAGGGCCTGCCTCTTACAGAAGTCATATTGGAGTAATTTTGGGCAGTCAACCTTATCTTGTTCACTTACCTTATTCTTTTTGTTTCTCGTTTCCCGACCATGCCAACAAACACCAAAATGCGCGTGCCATCCACATCAAATTCATACGTCACGCACCCCAGTGTGGCACCTCGCCCTTCACCGCAGGGAAGAACCACTTGTTGGCTGCAACCATAAAGAAACGCAAGCTAAAAATTACTTTTCTGATTATTTTGACAAAGCTGTCTTTTCTACTGGAGTCTGGTTCTGTAGATAGAATCGTTCCATTTCCACTTCTGTTTCATTTTCCATTTGCTAACCCATTCTATTTCGTCGCTTTTTTCAATAACGACTTCTATTACGCGGCCATTCCATTTCCATATCTATTTCGTTGTCAATTTTATTAGTTGGGCCATTTATTTATTTATATTTAATTTGATTATGCTTACAGTGATTTTCAAATGGTTTTTAATATTAAAGTTCATACCATTATGTATTCATATAATTATTATTAAATTTATTACTTAATTTTGATGAAAATATATATCATAATTTTTATACTTTGTGTGATTCTTAAATAGGTCTCGGTGGGTCTCAGTGGTCTTGACCGGTCTCGGTGGGTTTTAGGTCAATATAAGCAATTTTTTCAAATAATGAAACAATTTCGTTGCGTCTAAAATAATCGGTCTCGGTGGGTCTCGGAGTGTCTCAATATATTATAAAAATAAAAAAATAATAAAAATTTGAAGTATAATTATTTGTCAAAATAAAAGTTTTTCACTTTGGCTTCTTAATCCTCTGGTACGGATGCTTTTATATCACTCGGTTAAATGCTTTTAGCCTCAGTAGACACATTTCAGGAGGCTAAAAGCCCGGACACATCATAGTTTTATTATTTCGGTTTTTAATATTGGAAATTATAAAACTATTTGAATTATTTAATTTTGAAGGAAATTGTATGGCTTTTATAATTTGCATTATTCTTAAATAAGTCTTTTGCACCCCCTTATGACTCATAATGAGAGGGGATCAAGGTGATTATTTCTTTGATGAAATTAAATCGATTTCCTAAAAAATTGGTTGTACTCAAATAGGATAATAATATTTTGATTAGAATTATGTATTTTATATTATTTAATCTGGAAGATCGATTTGACTGTTTCTAATAATGTTTTGGAAAAAAATATAGGGTTGTTTTAGCTTTTAAAAAGTACTTATTCATTAAAGGTCAAAAGACCGCATGAAAATTTAAACGAACCTTAATATTAAAAATATAAATGAATAAATATTTAAATAATTTCAAGAAGCGCCCAGATGGGTTTTGCATAATGGCTCACCTGCTGCTCAAATGGCAAAAAAAGTTGCGCTCACTCAGAATATGAAAATATGATATTAACGTAAAACTGAAAAAAATTTAATCTAAAATAATTAAATTATAATTATTCTACTTTACTCCCTTTCGCTTCTAAAATCACTGGGCAGGACCTGAATTTGTCAAACTCGATTGAGTGCTTTCAGCTTCAGAGAACTCCATTCAGGCGGCTATTAACATGGCAATTGCTCAGAAATATTAAAAGTTTTAAATCATTATTCTCAAAATTCTACTTTTCCCCTTCCGTTCTAAAAACATTGGTCACGACATGAATCTTTCAATCAATTGAAATCTTTTGAATTAAATCTTTTTTTTTTTAATTATTCACTTTATGTACTACACACATGAAAGAACACGCAAAAATACATTGTATTTACTTTAACTTTCAAAATATTGGAGGTTTGCTTCTTTTTAAAAATTGCTGACGTAATTCGCCATTTAATTTGTCAAAAGTCGAGTTGTCCAGCATAAAACATTGTGTCTGGTAGAGTAGAGATAATAATAATAATTAATTGGAAAGAAGCAAAGATAATATGTTAGATTAAATTGTTTATTAAATTGTTCATAAAAAAAATCACCATGAACCCCTCTAATTATGAGTCATAAAAAGATTCGCTCTTAAGGGGGTGCGAGAGACGTATTTAAGGATAAAGCGAACTATGCCGCGACTGTTTTTGAAAAAATTTGATTATTTTTTGCATTTATTTGCCAAACGTGGCAAGAAACGGGACGAGCGAGATTGCAGCGTAAAACTGAGGATGGGGATGCGTGCGCATAAAACGGAGACGACGACAAGCTCTCGAGCCTCGCCGGGCTCACCGCAGTTCTTTGGTTGCGTCGCCTTTCAGCACCTGTCAGATTCGAATTTGATGAAGTAAGTGTCACTTTTGCTCCTTATTTTTCTTTCATTGTGATCATTTTTAAGAGTTTGTGCGTAATTTTTCCAATTTTTTTCATAAATGCAAGGAAAATATTTAAGCGCTCTGTGTTTTTAGGCGTCCGGTGGCGCGGTTGCTAGCTTGAATTTATTAAATTATACCGACCGACGAAAATAAATTGAGGCTAAACTGCATTTTTCTCAAATTAAGCACTAAAAAAATTCAATTATTTAAATTATAGAAGTGCGCACATTTTTTCCCAAACCGGGCGCATGCAAGAAAGGCAGTGTGCCTGTATTTGGCAGAGGAATGCGAATCACTTTATCCACCCAAATACGATTCGCCAGTTCGCCACATTTCAATCGAGATTTATCGTGGCCGCGGTCGTCGATATGCAACCAGTCTTGCATTCGCTGCGGCGAATAGTTGGACTGCGGCACTGATATTAAGCAAATTGCTCACATTCTCATTCCCTTTCTATAGAAAAAATTCATTTTCCTGCCCTCCTAATGAACTCTAAAATTCCTTAATCTCTTGGACTGCTTTTACTTTGGATTTTGAGATTTTGTTTGCATAATGCATATTCGGAATCGCCGTCACAAATTGATACCTGGATAGATTGCGTATTAGCAAATTAGTGCAAATTTTTCTTATCTGCTTTTAAAGAAATCGGCACACGTGATTACACAAAAGAAATTATAATGTGAATAATTTACTAATATAGTAAAGTCAGCGAGCAGTGCGTTAGTTAGCTCATCGACGATATTGTTAGAATTGATTGTTGTTAATTTTTAATCTTTTTGGACAGATATTTAAGTTTTTATTACATAATCTTCCTTTAAAATTTCCAAATTGTTAAGTATTGCCATCAATTTTAGGAATCATGCCAAAAACAAGGGATACAGCCTCTGCTGATGATACGCTGTCTTCAGACGGCGTCGAAGAAATGGTATTTCAGGATAATTTTATATATATGCCTGCGAATTTCTAATGATTTTGCTTTTAACACCAGATAACCGATTTGGCAAAACAGAGGGCCAGACAACAGGTAGTAATTCAAATCAAGGTCTCTTAATTTGCACACCACGCGAGCGTTAATATTTTTTTTTGGCGAGCAAGAGCTTTTTCGAAGAGCGTGGAAAAAGAGCGCTCTCAAAAACATATTAGAAGTGGCGCCTTGCGTTTTCGTTTTGATAAAAAGCGATCACCATATACATGAAAATGGCCCACTGCGGCTTCATTCTCGGCTTTTACTTAGGAAGCCACGACTGGCACGTAATTTGCTCACCTATATTTCGCCGCTTATTATTTAAAAAGAAATAAATTGTCAATCAATGCTGGCTGAGTTGCAATGCCTAAATTCCGAAATTCCTTTATTTTTTATGGGGATTTTGCTTTGCAGTTTGAAAAATATTTTTTCATATTTGGACTCCTGCTCAAAAATTGGTTCCAGGAAAGTTTGAATTTCAGCTCTACGATAATAATAACAAAATGTACTAAAATTAAAAAGATTTTTATGATTGAATAAATGAAAATTAACAACTTTGCGGCCAATTGTCGTAGAGTAAAAATCCAAACTTTCCTGGAACCAATCGTTAACTAGGAGTCAAAATATGTGAAAATATTTTTCAAAATCTCAAGTAAAAAACATTTTTAAAAATAAAGGAATTTGGAATTTTAGCATTGTGACGCAGACACCTTTTCTTTATCCGTGCACAATTTTTGTCATGTAGTTTTTCCGTTCATAAGGACCAGCGACGATGTAAATGTTTTTGTATGAAAAGAGCTTTAAAAGATGCTGGCAAAAAAAACCAATTGCCAGTTTAATTCTTTCGAGCTCAGTAAATAAAATTTGAGCCAGACATAGATTTATATTTTGATATATCATGTCCGTGATTTTGTCAAGCAAACAAAAAGCTCTACTTCGGTGGTGCCAAATTGAAATCTCTCAATGTGCATCACAAATATTATAACTATATTTGATTATTTACCTAAAAGTTCGCCAAATGGGCGGCTGGAGGATCTGCGACAGCAGCGGCTAAGGAGGCGGCCGGTGCCCCTAAAAAGGCGGTGGCCCGAGCTGCGGCTAAGACCCGTGGCGGAACAGCCGCTGGCGTTGCCTCCAATGAAAAGGCAAGATGAATTTTATTCAAATTATTTTACATTTTTTTGTACAATTTTTATTTCGTTTTAACCAAATATATAGTCTGTATTATGCTGTATTATAATTATGATCCAGTCAAGTTTCATCCTCTTTTGAGCGTGAATTTGATTTATAAACTGATTCTCATTTTGAACAAATTGCATGTGCACCACCCGCAGACCGAGCCTCAACCCGGCAATCAAGAGGTAAGATACAAAAAATACAAGTAAATTGTTAAGGGCACAAAGAAGGTGCCATAATTGCCACCGTTTTTTGCTAAAATAACGTATTTCGTCATTAGCGCAAGTGGGTCACCACAAAGATGGAGATGAAAGAGTTGGCTGCTGATCTCAGCCGCAGATTTGTCCTCAAACAAGGGAAGACCGATGAAAGCGGCCAAAAGGCGCTCCTCGAGGCTGTCCTCCAAATATGGGACACGCGTGACCAGCCGTGAGTCACAATTTAATTAAACATTTTTCAACAATATCCAATTATCAGTTACGTCAAATCAATTTTGTCCTTGACATCTTCAATTTCAGGCCGCTGGAGAGTCCAATGATTCATCGTCTTAGAGTCATTCACCCTTTTTGCATTGATAATATCCAATAGATAATGAAAATTCTTAACAACTTTTACTTCCAAATTTAAATAAGCTAAAATATAACGTACTCAATTTAGCCCAAAAAAGCCTAATTTTATTATTTTTAACTCTCATATCCCCCGAAGATAACCATTGTCAGTCGTTTGGGCGCTCATATTTATTATCATTGATAATATTTTATTTTTCAAAACTGCTCGTTCAAAATATCTGAAAATTTACGTACTTATGCAAAATTACATGCCGCATCTTGAAGTAAATTAAAATTGCCCCTTGCCACGACCTTAAGTGCGACGAAGGGTTTCACCATGAAACGCGCTGCAATTTGCACTCAAGCCGCGATTTCTTCCGCACTTCGAGCGGTGCCTTCGTGGCTCGAAGGGAGGAATTAGAGCAAAAATCAGAGAGCGATCAGTCGGTTTACGTTTGCATACCTCTCATGCAAATACACAGGACACGTGAAACAAGCCGAAATTCCAGTAAGGATGATTCGCATGCCAGAGGCATGATCAAGGGGCTTTTATTTTTTGTTTCCACAAACGCGCCTCGCAGGAGCAAGATGGCGGGGAGGAGTTAATTATTTTCTATCCTTCGCGAAATTTAATGTTTCCAAGGGTCAGCCCCTCCTGAGGGGTGTAAGGATCTAGGGTACTTACGCCTCTTGATAAGTGTGCATTTGTAGGTTCCTTGTTCGTTGGTATAAAGCCAAAGCACCTCTTTTTCAAAACACCCTCAACCTTTTTTGCCTCTTGCCATTTATTTGCTTTTACTACCACTGATTAATTAATACTATCGCTGACCACGCCCCCTGAACAAAGAAAAATTTAATACATTTATGGCAAGCACTGGAGGGTCTCCGTTTGTCAGAGGCGTCGATTTCTTACGAATAATGTTGCAGGGTGAGTATTATTTATTTAAATTCTCGCGTCTTTTATTTAAATTGCCCCATTGTTCGATTTTCTGCCTCCAAATTTTCCCCTAAAAATGAGATACAGGCGAATTAAAAGCATGTGTGCAACATCGCCCATCGCCTCCTTTTATTAGCCTATACTTGAAATTGCCAATAAATCCGTTTTGGCAGCAACAAATTTAAATTTATTGAGAAAAACATTTATTATTTTGAAAAGAAATTCATATTTTTTCACTTCAGTATAATTGTTCCTCGCTTCTGAAAACTGACGAAAAAGTTCCTCCTTGCAGATATTATCCAAAAATATTTAAATATAATTTTTTTGCTCTGTTCAATTTTTGCATGGAGACGAGTTTTCCACCGCCGTGAATCTTATGACTGGCTCCGAGATGCTTCAATTTTACTAAATTATTTTCTCAACGTTTCCTATTTCCTGAAGAAAAAGAGAAACTTGTAATTGTAAGACATTAATTTTTGGATTCATTAAATTTAAATAATAATTTATGTATCTTGAAAAATGTTGATGTTTAGGAAGTTAATTAAAAGATAAGCAAACCTATAGCGAGTCAACAGACCTGAGATGCCCTCGGAGTTTGAATTTGCGACGGATCGAACTGAAGACCTTGGGCGTGCCTGCGGAGTTCTTCAAGCTGGAAGAACTGACCACCCTGGAACTGAGCCACAACAACCTGAGGGAGGTTTCTGCCGCAATGGAAACAGCCAGGTCACTGCTGGTGCTCAACCTGAGCCACAAACAGGTGCAATCAAAGGCCAAAAGCAACATGATTTTCATTTTTGTCCCTAATTTCAGCATTGCTGGTGTGCCAATGAGCGTCTCACCCTGGTCTCACCGACCGCTGCCCCCTGAAACCAGAAGACTTTGATCCTCAGCCACAACCCCCTTGGCCACTTCCAGGCTCAGGTATTATTTTGCGCTTGATTTAATGAAAAGTTTGGTATTTAGGCAACTGCCCTCGCTGCACTTATGCTGGCGGTTTTGCACATGAGGGCAACACAGAGGACCCTGACCAACCAGCCAGCCTCGAGTCGATGAGCAGTTTGGTGCAACTGGACCTTGCCCAAAACGGCCTTCCGAGGCCTTGTTCGCGCCGCCCAAATCTGAATAGACTCAACTTGGCCAACAAAACAGACTCACCGATAGGCTTAACAACATGCATAGGTACTTTTATCGCATTGTTCCATTGTTGGTATGATGCAATGTTGGATTTTTTGTTTTGCTGCCCTGGCAAAAGTCGTTTGTTGTTTTGAATAATTTTTCAGCCACAAAATTTCACAAAAAACAAATTTTCAGCCAAACGTCGTGTTTGGGAAGAATGTGGGGTTTGTTCAGGCACTTCAGGCCCAGTTCGCTTTAACCGGAAAGCAACCTGGCCATCAAAGGAGGCCAGTCCATTCATTTTAATTTACATAATACACATTATCAACACATTTTTCGAGTATGACCAACACAAAATGAAGTTTTTTTTAATGAGAGATTTAAATTAGTTTTGATTAGACAAACTGCTTTAATTTCCTAAGTTGATATGTAAATGAACTTTAAAATGACTCAGAAATGATTTAATATCAATTAATGTCACTCGGCCCGTCTTGGACCTTTTTTAATGTTAATTAAAAAATTCTTTCCAGGAAAATTTAGATGACGGTGATTTTGATCAAAGCCGGGCTGAACCTGAATTCGGAGGCAATGCAGAGGCTGAGCTGGTTTGGTGATCCGACTCGCCTTCGCGCCCTACTGCGTCAAAGCGGTCTCGGTCATATTGGCTGCCCACTTAATCCTCCAAGTCCCCCTCGTTTGGGTTCTGCTCATGGGAGGCGAGTTGAAGGCTATTTACAAAATATGGATGATTTTTTTATATCAAAATTTATTGTATTATGATGTTATTAGCGGAAATTATAATTTAATTATTTAGGCATTATATCATCTGAAAAAAAAATAGATTCTTTTTTCAAAAAACAAGATTATTTGTTAGCGTGTTAATATTTTTGAATTTGACGACTATGGAGCGCCAGAATAAGAATTAATCCTATGGATTAAATTACTCAAATTATTGTTTTACTTTGAAAATTTTAATGCTTTAATAACTTTACTGTACCCAACTCACCTAGATGTGTCTCATTTAAAATCTGATGAGAATTGTTGCATTTTTTTTTTTCAAATAAAAAATAAAATTTATTATTTTTTTGTATACTTAATTATTGCTTTACAAATTTCTTTGTAAAATATTTTAAACCAGAATGTTGTACTAAAATAAGTTTGAAATAAAAACAGAAATATAACTACTTCATTTCTGTCTCTTCAAAATATCTTGGCAAAAAAGTGAAACTGAAATTTACAGAACTTTGTCAACTCAACGCTTCTGATATTATTTAATGGTTTTTTTTTAATTCTTCTCGACTTTGCTCCCAGCTGAAATTATAGCCCGAGGAAAGGTTGTTCTCAGTTGTTTGTCGGGGAGGCAAGATTATAAAGTGTAACGCATCTCGGCGGTCTCTGTTAGTTTTGGTCCAGAGAAAACTAGGAAAGGCCTAGAGTGCGCGTGCCACATAATAAAAGATGGCACGCTTGCCATCTGCTATCGCAACATGTGCTGCAGACGCGCATGGATGGCTCTCTGGATCTGCTGGAAAGCACTCGAACGTTTTTCTAGCTGATGAAATTTGTTCGGGCTGCAGTTAAGTTTTATATCCCGGACTGTTTACGAGGAGATGCGTCAGCCATGGGTATATAAGATTGCAAGATTTGGCTTTTTTATTTTGTGAGCCAAAGGAAAATTATGAATTTTGGACTGTCGTAATAAAAAAATTCTCATTTTTTCATCCGACCCTTAAAACTTGACCTAACAGTACGCTGTGGAAATAATCCACTACAGAGAGTAGAAAATTTGGATCTGATCTATTTTAATAATAAATGGATGCTGAATCAAAATCAACCAAATTTATAAATACCAAAGTTATCTTTATTAAAACACATTTATAATAAACAATTCGTGCAAAACAGATCATTCATTTATGTTCATATCTTGTATAAATATTATGTTGAATCGAGATGTAAAATTTAATTATCATGTGAGGTCCACAATGAAAAAGGGAGCGTGTGGCACTTTCTTTCTTTTGAACCAGAAAACACTGACCGGTTCAAATTTTACAATGCCAGCAATGATGTGTTACCCCTTTTTCACATTTTGATAATTATCATTTAAATGTTTTAGTTTAATTTTTTTTTCATTCTCAAGCATACCCAAATTGCGCACATTTAATGACAGAATGTTGGTCGTTCGCTTAACAAACATTAGAACTTTTCCAAATGATAAGAGTTTTTCAAAACATGTACGGTGTAAATTTTGACAAATTCAATAGATTGTAAAAAATGAGGTTATCCTGCTGAACACGACAAGAATTTTAACTCCAAGAAAAATTTGTTCTGATTAATGTAGAAATCAATTTAATACTTTAATGCTTTAGAGAGACTTCGTCTTTTTCAGCATTGGAGTGCCTCAAGTAAATCGGAGCATAGTGAGGGGCGCTTTGGTTATCGTTGCACTTTTAACATGTGCAACCTGCATTATATTTACTTCAAATTTGCAAGAGCGCTACGCAATAATTATGTTATAAAACCCATAATAAATTTACATTCAACAGGCGAGCTCATATTCATTTCCAGAATTTTAACCAATTTCTAGCTTTGCATTTTTGAAGGGGCATAACAGAACACTCGCAGATTCTCCATGTGTAATTGAAAACTTCCTTTGCCTCGTGACGATAATTCTAACTCTCTGGAATATGTCCCAGAATTATTCATTGTGTCTAAGTTCAACATTGGTCTACACTTGTCAGTCGCGATAGTAGCCTATTGAGAAGGCACCGGTAGATTTTTTCTTCATAAATCCTCAATGCACCTAGAGGGGCATTTGTAATTGTTGTGATAATACAAATAATACTCGTTTATGAGGGCCATATCAACGCAATGGCTATAACAATAAAATATGGCCTAATCCACCAGAGTGCCTGCTTTAATCAGGCTAATTATTTTGTGAATAATATAATAACAGAGTTGCAGTTTCGAGTTTTCAGTGTTAATCTCTAATTACAAGAGAATATATAAAAGGCAGCATAGAACAAAATGGGAATATTTTTATGATTAGATTGTTTTTTGGGATTTACAGAACTTGAATAACAAAGGGAAATTATTTTGAACTTGGATAAATCACCCTAGTTAAATGTGAAAAAAAATGTGAACTTCTCATTAAGTTGATTATTGCTGCTACTTTTATACAGTGATTTGGGATCAACGGAATAGCCCAAGCTCATATACATACTGTAATTTTTACGTTCAATACAAATTTCAGGGAACTTTACATTGCTGTGGATTGTTTCAAATTAATTCTTGATGATAATTCGGACAAACAAAATACAAAGAGAAAGCGTATCCAGAAGTTAAGCTGGCCAAGAGATGAAATTTTATATTGGATTATTTTTTCTCATGACCGCACTTGTACAATGAATCAGTTTAAACATTATCAAATATTGTTGTACTCAAAAAACATTCACAAAACCAATTAACGATGGACAATTCATATTTTCAACATATTGATACTGCATAAGAACAACATACAAATTTAAGGGCTTCTAACATATTTGCAAGCTTTGTAAAAAATTAAACCACATGTTGTTGTATCACAGTTGTTAATTGTTTCAGAGAAGTTTCCTCAATAACTATGAACAATTAACCAATATTAATCATTGCACTGTTCTACGAATTTTGCCTCCTGCCCAAGAAGCTTGATTCCGAAGTCGGAAGGTGCTTCTCTCTTTTCTAATCTATCAACCATTAACAACCCTCGCCTTGTTCAAAGGTGCCGTAAAATCTAAAATTTAAAGACAGATGCGTTTCTTTAACTGTAATGCCAAACTAAATTGCACGACAAAAGAGAGGAAGCAGAAACCCTGCAACCTAGCAAATACATTTTCACTCGCAATTTCACAAAAGTACGCGTTTTTTTTTTTTATCAATATAGCAAACTAAATGATTAAGTTTTGAATGCCATTTTCCTGCTTATGGCACCCGTTTTAATACTGACAGAGAGTGTCAGAATTAATCTCTGAGGGATGCAGAATGAATTTACTGATTGCTCGCGATTAAACAAAAATTGTGGATCTTCAGCGAGAGTGAATCTCACATTTGGAGGGACGAGTTTTGTAACAAAAATGTAGTTATTGTGTGTAAAAAGGACAAATAAATTATTACTTGCCAGTTAACTAAACAGGGAATTGTAATAAAAATAACTGAGGAGCTTTAAAAAAAAAAAAAAACCATAATGTGGACAGGCCGCATAGAAGTCAATTAGAAGAGGACCCTTGAAAATTTTACTGAGATTGCACATTACCCATAGAATTTGTTGTAATACTATTTTCAACTCCCCCCTTTTAACTGACCCAACACATCCTTTAAAATGAGAGAGAGAGAGAGAGAGAGAGACGGAGATTTATATTTCATTAAAGTACTAAACCCGTATACAATCATAAAAGCTATATAGCGCATTACAAAATAAATAATAATAATAATAATACGTAGAATATACATAATAAAAATCTATCTGATGCTAGCCAAGAAGCAAAAATAATCATTTAAAAAATACGCTAAATACAAATGGAAAACTGAAACAAGGGAGTTGCAAATTATTGTAAATGGAGCATTTCAAACAGATGACAATCATAAGAAGTAAATTATAATTCCCCGACATATGTTTGTACTGACTTAATTAAGTATTGGCAGCTGAAATTCCTGTCGAGCTCAATATAATGTGAGAATCATGCACGGCGGACAGGATTGATACTGACTTGCGCATGGATATTACAAAAAACAAAAGGTACTTAGCAGTCTGATATAGTGATCATAAAAAAGATGTCTACTGGGATTATAGAAAACATGCTTGACTAGTCACTTAAAATTGTTGTAAGCATATATAAATTATACTGTCTATTGATTCTTTACCTTCCAGTCCTCTGTGACTTAATAAAATAATGTAAAGAAGGTTGAATGTGGTTAAGTGAAGAATGTATTAAAATAATCGAGTACTGCAATAGGCTCAGGAATGACCCAAAAATTCTGACTTGCACTATAGATATAATATACAAATATTTTTGGTTTAAATCTTTCGAGAACCCAGTCAAAATCATCAGGGGGTTTAAGCAAATATTGAGTCAAAACTATCGGGGGAAAGGGTTAATTGGCAGCAGACTGGCTATTGTATGATTTGACTTTAGGGACAAAATGAGGTATCAGGTCAGGCCCATCTAACATAACAATACAATATCAGCCTCTGGGCCTGCGGTGCGCTGAGAACTCTGGGGATGTTCAGTACGTAAATAACAGTAAATTGAGTTAATACATTAATAAATAACTGAATAAAAATTGTGGCAGGGATTAGAGGTGGGTGGAACATGTTGCCTGAAATGTAATCGATAGTAAGAACGAAAAATAAGTGTAAGAGAGGTAAGGAGGGATGAGTATTCCAGCTCTAGAAGTACTGTTTGAGCAACTCTCAGTTCATCCACTTGCAACTTAACAAATATGACATTGCCTTTAACTTTTTTGTGGCCTTTTAAGTAAAGAAGAAGATAGAAGAAAACACAAATTCAACGCGGCACATCAAGATGCTTTGTACTGGTGACAAAAAATTTTGTTCTTCAGGTAGCACGCGGTCGGAGCAACTAATCTGGCCTGTTAATTCATGTTTTTGTTTTGTTTCTGTAACAAAATTGACATTTGAACCTCAAGTTGCTCCTTCTCTCTTCAGCTAGCCGCAAGAGAAAGGTGTAACAATTTTCCAACGGATTACCAAGAGCCGATAAAATTAGCAAGGTACTCAAAATTTAAATCTACAACATAGACCAGTTTACATACAAAAAAATCAAATAAAATCGTTTGTATCTGTAGATACTCTTTGTCAATTATATCAATCTTGTATGCCTGTTCAGAACTGACGCAGTTCTCTAGAAGCAAGCCATCAACAGCATTCAACATCACAACCCAATCACATAAAACGTAACAGACATATCGTCTCAGATAACCAACTCATCCTCAAAGAGAAACTTAATAGTGTACTACGATGATTGTACTTCATCTCAATATATATGCAATGCTAATTTGTAATGATGTTTAAGGCATGACAACTTCTCCTATCATATCAATTTCGGCGTCCGGAATGAGCAAATTTGCGGTTTCACTAAAAATTTGTCCAATCTGAAACTGGCAAATTTCGCAGAAATTATTAAGAGTGCCAGTTGTAAAAATCTGCTCAATCCATCAGCCGTTATTTAACTTTTAGTTTGAAACATGAGGCTTCTACTGCTGGTGTGTTTTGCATTATCCAGGGGAGGGTGGACTTTCGACGATTCTCTTCTTCCAGCAGGCACCTTCCCTATGTCCATGGACACAAACTCAAATAAGCTTGTCCCAGTTGAACTCTTCCTCGTGCTGCCTTTCGTAAGGGCCGCTTGCCTCTTGGTGGACGACGCGGGCATGCTGCTGCGGGTAATCATAGTAAATGGGTCCCTGCTTCAGGCAGTCCTGCTGCGGAGGCAGGCCGCTGTAGTGCTGTTGCTGCTGAGCTGGGACCACGTCGGGCAGGTCCCCTTGCAGTTCGGCGCCCGGATTGACCCCGAACTGAGTGAGCATGCCCGTAAGTACGGCCGACAGCTCACTCGAGTCGGACACGCCCAGTCCGTACTCGGCGGCCGGGTCTGGACACCCTGCCTCGACAAGGGCCCTCGGAGGCACCATTTCCTCCGGGGGGTAGTGGGGGTGCGGATGCATGGGGTGGTGCGGCGTGGGGCCCGGGGGCACCCGAGGGCCGCAGTCACCCCGCCAGTGGCCATTCATCATCGAGTGGCCAGGCGCGTCCGGAGGCCACTGTTGGTGCTGAGGAGGCATGGAGGAGGCCCATTCTGGCTTCGGGTGGTCTATCGACATGCCAGGGGCGTTCTTGAGCTGCTTCTGACTCACCGTATTGTAGTCACTACTGTTACTGCTGCACTCTGGACTGTACGGAGATGCCTAGAAATTGATTTAATTATTTAAAATTACTTCAAAAAATTATAACAAAGCAATATTCTATCTGTATGTAGTATTATTTTTCATCATTAAATTAAATTTGTAAAATAATCCTGACTTTATAACATGTTTGATATGAAATATTTTCCATACAGATAACATTCGATACTCACTCTCATAAGCTGAGAGTTCTTTCTCTTTTTCGAGAACCCGTCGTCTTGGCTGTAGTTGTAATCAATCGCCCAGTAGCTTCCCTTTCCAGGATCGTCTTTTGAACGAGGAACTTTGGTAAAGCATTTGTTCAAGGACAAATTATGCCTGATTGAATTCTGCAAGATTTCACATGGAATAAGGTAAAGTTGGTGTCACAGGCTAGCAAAAAACGAACCTTCCAGCCAGTCCCTGCTTCTCTGTAGTAGGGAAAGTGGTCAATGATGAATTGGTATATCTCAGACAAAGTCATCTTGTGTTTTGGTGCATTGCTGATTGCAAGTCGAATCAAACTTGCATAGCTGAAACCAAGAATGACCATTATGGAAACACAAATTTATTAGGCAATCCAACTAACAAAGATCCCTTTTTTAAAATTATTCAAAATAGCCAATTTTTGTACGTAGATTTTGGTTTAAGCAGGTTTAAGTATTACTATATTTCTTTTAAATTTGGGTTCTTCAAAAATTGTTTTCAAACCAATGACGATGACTATAATTAAAAAAAAATTAGATTTAATATTATGAAATATCATTCAAAATAATTTTAGCTATTGAATTTTGAATGAAGTTTTAGAAAATAATTTTGGTCGCTCCTAGTTACAGTAAGAGGCCTATAGTAGAAATCTTATTAAAATTAAATTCATAAATATTACTTTCACACAAACTTTCACAGTGCATAGAAAAACCACAAAAAATTAAGCATTTTTCTTATCAACTTCTAACTTCCTTCATAAATTGATATGATAGGACAAAATACAAATGACCCTTTCTTGACGGCCTATGTAATTTGACTTGCAAGATTTGAACTGAACAAACCTATAGGGCGGTTTGCCGTCTTTGACCCTATTAGGCGAGGAGGAGGCTGCGTCTTTGATGGCATTGATGGGTGCTATCGCTTCAGGAGCTGCAGCTCGCTGAGCGTTCATGCACGGCAGCCAGTCAATTGCTGTCAGGCTACGATCCAGTTCGGCCATCTCTTGTATCACATGATAAGTAACATCCACGGCAGAAACTGACCCTTATTGCAGTCCTCATAAATCCACACCTGAAATTCAGCAAGTCAGTTAAAATCTAGGTCGCTCAAAAAACTGGCTGTGGAAACCACGGGAACCCCGAAGCATTGACCGGGAGTTATAACAGAGTTTAAAGTATCACTCTTTCTTGGTTTTTGGAGACTCCAATTGTGGCTGAAACCACAATTGGGCACCTTATCAGCGACAGATTAGGGATTAGGAGGTTCCGTTTACGGCGGGGTTTTTGTTGCCACCTAGTTTGGCGTAAATTCCACAGGCAAACGTTTGGAATTGGAATTAATTTTTATGTACTCTTTCTCGAGACTCCAGGGTGCTGATTTGCACTTAATTTCGAATAAATACCGTGTATTTTCATCTGCACAATTCAAATAAAACAATAGAGGACACGCAAAGTGCAGGTGTAAATAAACCAGTTTTTAGACAATTTCGCGAACTTGGTGGACAAATTTCACTGATAATGAACTGATCACATATCACTGAACTTCACAAACATCAATTTTTTTGGTTAACTTGCGAAATTTTGGCAAATTTACCTTCGAAATATAGATTCATTTCGATAATCATGACAGCTGATGCACTCCTTCCTACTTGCTCCACTGATGGAAGCCACGTAGTGCACTCAGAGCCCTCTGAAGCGATTTTGAGAACTAAAATCAACAACACCTTTTCGCCAAAATATATATAATACCACCTCTTCCAAAAAAGATTTAAGACAAAACTTACATAATGTAATATTTTTACTAAGTACATAGTTACATAATATATAATAATGATAATATGCATTTTATTCACAGACGACAGACGATTCACTCAAAAAGCGAGAAAACAGAAATATTATACAAAACATAAAACATTATACATAATTATGCATAAAGAAAAAAGAAACGTGAAGAAACGGAAAAAAAATCAACGGGATATTTTATGTTTTCGTAAAAGAAATTAAATTACATTTACATGTTATTTTAATTACAAATAATAATATTTTGAAAACTAATATTACAGCCCAATTTTAAATAATTTAAAACACGCGCTTTTAAAGTGTAGATTTCTTCAATTGGAAGAGAGCGCCACTAGAAGGCCAGTGCCGTTTTCCACAACCAGAAAGACGCGGGCAAGCAAAATTTCGCCATCTTGGTTCGTGGATTGTTTGTGACTGCCACCTTCTCGTCCGCCGCCTCGTTGCTCGTACGCGTGTAATACCAGCGCAAATAAGAAACCATGGCTGATAACCAGGTAAATTATCGACGGAACCATCAGCTACGTCCATATTAAGTCAATCTGCAAAATAATCAAGCAGAACGCGTGCTGAAAACTGATTATGTAAAATTTGTAAACCATGCTTCTAGGATAACAAACCCGACGCCGGTCCGGGCGACAGCAACTCGGAGTACATCAAGCTCAAAGTCGTTGGCAACGTGAGTTGGTTGTTTCCGCTTTTCTGGGAAAATTCTTATGTGATTTGCAATTTCAGGATTCCAATGAGATACACTTCAGGGTCAAAATGACCACTCAAATGGGCAAGCTGAAAAAGTCCTACAGTGAGAGAGTGGTGAGTTAGCTTAGCACGCCTTTACTTTACACGCACTTTTCTTTGAAGAATTTCGTCGCAATTTTTCGTCCATTAAAAACACCTTCCTTTTGTATACATGCCTTTTGAATGCTGAAAATGTGGTTTTCTAATTTTCCAGGGTGTGCCAGTCACCTCACTTAGATTCCTCTTCGACGGAAGGCGAATCAATGATGATGAGACCCCTAAGCAGGTACATTTCAGCAAACACATCATTTTGTTAAAAAATCTCATTTCCACTTTCAAAAATTGCAGCTGGAGATGGAAAATGACGATGTGATTGAAGTTTACCAGGAACAGACCGGCGGCAGAATGAATTAACAAGATTAGGTGTTAAGTGTTCCTTATGAATGCCTTGCCTCCGGAAGTGACAATTTGTTGGGGTTAAATAGAAGCGGAGGAATAGGAACACGGTTGGACAATTTGTGTCTATATATTTATAATTTGGATGACTACGATCACTAGCAATAGTTCACAGAAAAATTAATCAAGTGTTGCATACCATATTTGATTCCATGGATTTGAGGTGAACAGTGCATTTCATCTTCTTTTCATTTGTACCCACAAATAGGTTCTAATTAAAATAAGCTCAGCTTTCTCATTCAACAATTATGAATTTAACCACATCCAAGACTAATGTGTAAACAAACTTCAAAAATAAAATAAAATTATCCTTTTATTAAAACAACTTAATGGTTTCTAACATCCTTGAAAGGCAAAGCCATTACTTGGTAAAATTTGTTAAAATTTAAATTATGGTTAAAAGAAAACAAGTGTTTGCGTAATATCTATACGAGTTTTATATTTTTAAAAGAGTTAGATGTAATATATATTACTGAAATACAAGTGCATGCAGTATCACAGAAAATTCCAGGCCCTGTCTTAGGGGCAGAATAATACAATATAACATTAAAATCCCAATCAACAACCAATATGCATCAACTGTTGTCAGACACAGTGGATTAACAACATAGTTATAAATCTTCAATCCAGGATAGTTACTTATTTATGTTCAGGGCCTTCACCGTGTTGTGTTTGACAGTGTTAATTTTGGTCGGCAGCAATCAAAATTAAATAATTATTTGACTCCCAGGTGTGTACAAGTAGATTATAAATTATAAGAATATCAGTATTGAGCATCATACTATTTTGGACACAGAAGCTGCTTGAAGTTTTGAGGCAGAATAGAAAATCATAATATGTGTATAAGCAAAACATAACAGAAAAGTAGCCCAATAGCTTAACAAGTAGACTGCTGTCAATGACAATCTCATTTCTGGCTGCATATGGTATAGAATTTTACTTTGCTCTTAAGAATCATTCTCATTTGGGGGTTTTTGGATCTGCGAGATTACAGGGGAAGGCATCCGAGCAGCCAGATATTGCATTTGAGCTACGACAACATCTGGACAATACCAAGATTTTAGTAACAGTTCTGTTGCAGTTATTGACTAACATGATGCTGAAAGAAATCTCAGCATCATTACATTATTCCCGCATATACATGGGAAGCTTAATGGACGGTTGGGGACTTGAAGATTCTTGCCGGGGATCACAGAGCGTCACGATGCCATACCCACTTCTTGTTTGTGTGGTCGAATCTGTGGGAGAGCCACTGTTGCTCCAGCAACTGGTACCTGCCCGGGCTCAAGTACAACGGCTTTCCTCTCCTAAAATTAACGAGATCATAAGAAAATGCAAAACTGCCTAGTAGCAAAATTTACTTGAGGTCTCTGTCTTCTTCTCCAAAACTGTCTAGATACACAGAGCCCCACAGGCAAGCTCTCTTGCCTCTAATCACAATAATGTACGAAGAAGTGACAACCAGGAACATAGCTGTGCCCGCGCCACATTTCATTGAGTGCTGAAAGAAGAAAAATGAACATTATTAGAATTATAATTTTTATTTTAACAGGTATTTTAAAGGTCAGGTGACCAAAAAATTTATGTAAATCTTAAAAAGAGATAATTTTTTGAGTTAAATTGTTGAATCTAACCTCGACTGCTTCACAGACATTTTGCTGTTTGCAGCAGTTTTCCTTGAGACACACCATGGTGCCACACAGCAAACAGACACTAGTCTCGCGTGGCACAGAGTGACACTTGACACACTGCCGCCTGTGGTAATACTGGAATATTTTGTCGTAGTTGTCTGGCAGGCGCAGCAGTCGAGGCTGATGCCAGCGTTGGTGGTGTTGGACCAGATTCCGAGTGGCCACTTGGCTGACGGCAGCCATTGAAAGCAGTTCCTGGCACCAACCGTCAACAATGGTTTTAGCCGAGAGAGTGACAAAAGGTGCTACTGTTGGAGTGGTTGGAGCGCCATCACCATGTGCCCAGTTAAGGGCAACAGCAGCGTTGAATTTACTCCATTCCATACCGTCGGTCACCAGTTCTAGGAAGTACACGAGTCGGACAAATTCCCTCTCCTCTGAGGCCACTTCCGGCAGCACCTCTCCATAGAGGTAGTGTCGAAGAAGGGCTGCTATTCTGAGGAATGGCAAGCAGTAGGCCTGCACTTCAACCTCAATTTCTGCTTTGTTAAACTCTCGGGCACTTTCGCCAAGTTCCGAGTCATCCATGAAAAGTTGCCCAGTGTGGAGCGAATTGACTAACAGAGAGATACAGCCTTCTAGGGTGCTCAGATCAACTGTGCTCAGGTTGTGGAAGTGCGCTCGCCATTTATCGGACAGGTTGCTGATTACTTGCAATAGGGACTCAAAATACAGAAGGTTGAAGAGGCTTTTGATGACACAAGTGAAGTGAGCTGAAATTAAAAATAATTAGATGCACATAATGTAATAAAAAAATAGTACTTACTCTGCTCCAAACGCATGGGAAGCAGCAGAAGAAATTGTGTAAGAAGGGCACTAGGGTCTTTTAACAAAAGAGGAACTTCCTTTTGCATCGTCTTTACAACAGCCTGGTCTGTTTGGCTGTTGACAATGCCAGCCACTTGCTGCCACGTCTGCCAAACCGGCCAAGTTGCTAAGTTTTTGGCATGCATGCCTAAAACATGCAGAAGCGGCACTGCGACAATTTTTGAGTAAAAAAATTGAAATAAATAAATTGAGGATAAACATACCTAGACAGGATCTTTTTGGTTGGGTAGCATGTGTCGAAGCAGCACCAGCTTCGTCCAAATTGGAACACAGGGTGCCTCCTCTCTGAGTTACGTCCACCTCCAAGTTAGTTCTCACAATCGAACTTACAAAGAGGACCAGACACTGCGACGTGGGAGGGTTGCCAACGTTGTGGTAATGGTGGAAGTGGCCATCAGTTATTTTGGCCATGTCCTCCATTGCCCTATTCATGGCTTCCTTGATCGGAGTTGATCTCACGGATGGAGGGTTTTCTTGCAGAAGGGTAGAAATTTCTGCAGCCACAGAGGGCATGCTGGTGTTGCGCGACCTGACCAAAATGGAGCAGTCACCCAATTCTGGCGAAAGCGGCAGAACAGAGTTAGCCAGCTGACGGCACAATGGGCAAGCGTATTCCCCTCTGCAGAGAGAAAACAAAATGAAAACTGTTTAAACTTGAAGAAAAAAATTAACCTTTCTACGGCCAAACTAGTTGGTCTTTGCTGACTCATTAGAGAATTGAGGTAAGCAAGAAGACAGTCCATGTGAAGGTGATGACCGCAGGTTTGCACATGAACACCGCTTTCGCAACCCAGGTTGACAGCCAACTGCCAAGATGACTGGAATTCCCAGACAAATAGATACACGAGAAAAATAAATCACATTTTTACTTACACCATCAAACTCTCGGTTGAGCTGAGCAACCCTTTTCTCAAATTCACTGCCAAAAGTATTTTCAATTGATTTTGAAAATTTGAGGCGATCTTCATCTGTGAGCGGCAGGATTTCTGGCTCTGGATTTCCTTTTCTATGCCCAAGCACACTGGACGCTTGCAAAAGCACAACAAGGCCCATTGGCTTTTCTTCCGTGCTTGGTGACGATTGGCCACAAATTACACAGTCATACTCCAAAGTATTAATTACAGTATTTTCCTCTTCTACCCAATCCATCTCAGAACATTCTGTGGGGAAAAAATTAAAAACCAGATGTCAGATTCCAACTAATCTGAACTGAAAATGTATAAATACCTGTTTCTCTAGCCTTTTCCATGAATTGCTTTTGTTTGGTGGCAAACTCTGCCATCAGCTTTTGCTGCCTCTCTTTGGCTCGCCTTCTCCGTTCCTCTCTCTCTTTGGCTTCTTTGGCCTCTTGTTCCTCTTCAGTCTTTGGCCAAATCCTAAGCTTTGTCTGCGCTATGTACTCGCTGCACATTGGGTCCATTTTAGCAATTTTATACAGGAGCTTAGCTATGAAAAATGGGCCATCCCCAATCCTGCTGTTGCTTGCAGGGTGGGGAGGGCTGTTTGGCACTGGCGCTGGAGGTTCACAGTCGTTTAAGTCAAATGAGTCAGGGACGCCACTCAGGATGGAGTGCAACTTGAGCAGTAGCGAGATGATGCTTTCACCCACATAGACCGCCTGGTATTTGGAACTTTCTTCTTTGCGCTTTAAATTTTAATACAAAATTATTATTAATTGTTTTCATGATTTTCCCTCAAATTGGTCCTATTAAATTCTTTGCTTGAAATACAAGCTTATAGTTCCAACACTTACCACCCATTTCCTTCTCTCATCTTCATCGTCAGATGAGGACGAGTTAGATTCAACATTTTCCAAGGCGAGCTGCATTGGAGTATTTTCGTTGCTGACGGTTTCACTACTGACCGACTCCAAAGCTCTCATACTCGGAAACAGAGCAGCTGTTGGTGTTGAAGGCGGATAGTAGGTTGTCAGTGCATTCACAGGCACTAGTTCATTTCCTGCCATCAGAGGAGGAAAGCCTCGAATGAACCCTGCTGGGAAGTTTAAACCTATAAATTAAAATAAATTAACATATCAGGAGCTAGAAAGTTGAAACTTCTACCAGCAGGGACGACTGCCATATTTGAATTATGAGGCACCTCTAAGGCTGCCAAATCCGCGCTCCTGCATTCATCCATTTCTTCAGGCAAACAGACCAAGTCTATCTGTGTTCTCAGATTGGCAGACAGCCAATCAGTATCAAACCAATTTTGAAAATCCAGATCATAAATTTGCTTCCTTTCTGAACTAAAATTCTGGCAAATCTGTGGATAAAAATAATTAAAGATCAAGATAATTACATTTTGGTTCTTTGCATACCTCTGTGGCCGAAATTTGCGGCTCAGTCATGTCAACTGCCATCTCCAAGAGAAACACAGCCAAAGAAAGAGTCTGTTCCGGAACGTTTGATGCTTTTAAAGCTCTAAGTAAAACGGAGAAAATGACAGCGTGCATGGTTTTGCATTTAAGAAGCTTCCTCGGATCCTCGTACGCTTCATCAACTGGAGAGGGTGTTCTGTATGGAGGCCAAGGTGTGGATTTCGATTTCATCTGTCCAGTTTGTCTTGCGCTACAAGTTCTTAATTAAGAACCAATCTTAATAAGCATATTGAATCCTACTATTCAGTAAAGTTGTCTAACGAGCTCTGGAAATCTCTTCGATGTACAGCTCTCAAGAGGATGTGAACAGGATCATACATGTTTTCCCAAACATGTGGTCTGGGAGCATACATGCCCTGCTGCATGTTACCACCTGCTTCTAGGTTGGGCTGTCTGTAGTGGGCAACCTTAAAAAATCAATATTGAATATCATGATCCTCTTGATATAAAACTTAAGTTACTTACCTCAGAGAGTTCACTTTCAAAGTCTCTCCCCTGAAAGTTTCCACATCGCTCAGGCATCAGCTCCAACAACTGACTGTGTGTTTTGTCACCCATGCATAAGAGAGTGACCATTTCCAGCTGAATAAGCGACGCATCAGTCAAGCCCAAATTGGTCCTCACACTCATCAAAACGCTGAGAAAAGTGAGGAAACTTTCCAGCATTTGGTCGTTGTGTTTTGATACAAAAATGTTGTTGGAGTGGTACGGAGACAAGCTGAGCCAATCCTTGACTTGGAAACTGGAAAAATTGTATTTGTTAAAAAAAATGAATCACTGCCTTTTGAATCATTTTACTTGTCCAAAACTGTCTGGATGAATGTTGAGGGAGGCAGCTGAGTGGCGCAGACCTGCAGGAGATAGATATCGGCGTCTACCATGGAATTGCAGAAGTTGCATTGAATGTAAGTCATTGCTTGACCTTTTATCTGAAGTCCATTGCGCACCCATTTTCCAGTCAAAATTTCGTAAAATGCAACCTGAGAACAATACATAACATACAAAACATTAATAATTTGTAGTTTACGAATACTCTTATCATAATTTTTCATTCATGAAAACTGGATTGATAAGAATATGTCAAATATGAGCGAAATGAATTAAAATTGTATTGCATTGTTGTATGTGAACTTTTTAATAATATTTACCATATTTATATGATTTTATGACAAGTTTGTTGAAATTAGATTTCATGACTAATTTAAAAGTAGCACGAAAGGATTGAGCTGGAATAAGAATTCCAGGTAGGAATTTTTATTGAAACATGAATTATCTTTCTGTTATTTCCTCTAGGAAAAAAGAATTAATTTTTAATTTTATCACACATTAAAAAATTAGATTACTTTTATTTCAAATAATTCGCAGAAAAATATATCCAAAAACATCATACAAAACGCTATCTTGTAAAAAATATTGTCATAAATATGTTGGTGTTTTAAACAATCTTCCAGAATAAACCTATCAAAACTCGGCGCAAAGAAAGTGCCGTTGTAATAATTATTATAATTAAGCTTTAATTGTAGTGAAATGGAGCAACGTTCGTCGACTAAAAATTAAGTCGCACCCTCGACAAAAGTGATTCATTCCAACGCGGCTTGATTGTGAGAAACCATTATTGAGGGACTGATTGAGAGCCTCTCTCTGCGGGTATAATGATGGAGCATCACGTCTTGGTGCTGCGTGTGGTGCTCAAACGAATTGAAGTGGAAGTGGACGAGGCCGTGACAATGGTGTGGTGGGATCAGAACGACCAGTGCATGCGCAGGCAGCCGCGGCTGCTGCCCGAGTCAGTCAGTGAAGTCAGTCGGTCGGTGACGAGGCACAATGGAGTTGCGGACTGCGATCTTTTTGCAGACGCTGCTCTTGGGGCTCGCGTCCAGCACGCTGCTGCCGCGGACGGCCGAGATATCGCTGGCCGATGCGCGTCAGGAGGTGCTCACCTCCGTGTCCGGCCTGTGGGCTCACCTGAAGCTCAAAAGTGACAGCGACCCCATGAACGAAATCCTCCGAGGATTCAACGCAGTTGACGAGAAACTGTCCACGGTCCACACGATGCTGTCCAGCGAGAGTCCGGGCACCGGCCTCTTCCTGGGCAACATGTGGTCGTGGGGCAAAACCCTGGCGGCCGTTCAGACGACCGACAGTCTGTACGAGACGGTCAGAACGGCCTTCAAGGACAGGCGCAACCTGCAGGAGGCGAGCGCCGCGGTCGTCAATCCGCGGGACGAGAGCAAGTCCGTCACGTCGGCGCTCGAGCGTCTGCATGACGCGTCCGTCGGGACGGAAGGCGACGAGGGCCTCTTCCAGAATGTGGTGACAGCCGTGACCAAGGTAATAGTTATGCGAACCGTTAGTGCAGGCAGCAGTGCGCGAAAGTAATATTTACGAGCGAGGACATATTTTTTGTTCCCGAATGATTTCACCGCGAATCATAATTCTTTTTATTCGATTATGAGATTACACGTGAAATTGTGGCCTTAAAAATGGAAAGCTCATTCCGTCACCGAGAGTGCGGCAAGAGATGCAATAATTTGAGTCGATCCGCTCTCCCGCTAGGTATTTCGCCGATGCAAATGGATAGAAGTAAATGTGCCGTCTCTAGAGACAAGTTAACTGCCCGTGGGTTCAAAGACCTTCCATTATAAAATAAATCTAATTGCAAGGCCGCAGTGTCAATCCCTTTTATTAATATTATAGTAAATGAAATATACACAAAATTGTTAAGGATAAGAGCAGCATTGATTTTTTTTCTTTGAAACGCAGGGTTCCCAAATGACACATTCCAGGAACTAAATTATCACATTCCCTTGAAATATAACTTCATTTTAAGATAAGAGAAATAGCTGATATTTAGAAAAAAAGCGGGAGTGCTTTTATTTTTAATGATTTTGTTTTCCAATTTGTAGGACTCGTCAAATAAAGTGTGCGGACTGGAGCAGTCGCCGCAACAACTTGTTTTCAACCTGTACAACTTAGCAGCGCTTACGGAGCTCAAAGGCTACGCAATTTTGCAGTTTTCTTGGATGACTCTCCAGCAATTGGAAAATGGTAATAGTGATTAATTGCTTCCGTTCTTTTCTACGCAGCTGAGTTAAATACAAATACGAGAAAATGATTCAACTCGTAGTTTCTTGTCCACCATCTTAATGTACGAAACGATTTTATTGATCAAAGGTCAAGGCTTGTTTGTGTGCAGCCTGACGGGTGTCTGAGCCCACAAATTAGAAGTGAAAAAAAAATGATAAGCGGGATTTTTTTGTCGACCCTGACAACATGAACATCCGCTTAAAAATCGTCTTAAAACCCCTGGAATGTATTACAAGTCAGGCTTATAACTTATAATTTATTGTTAGTGCGCGCATCAGTAGGCTGCAGCGTAAAAAAGTAAATTTTAAAATATAAATAAAAATTTAAACGGTTAAATTAAAGACGATCAGTAATAATATATATGGCAGTCCTCGCTTTTTTATAAAAATTTAAAAAAAAAGGAAAGTGTTACAGTTGTCTACGGTAAATTTTTTAAGAAAGTGGTTGGTCATACAAAAGGTAAAATAAATTTAAAAAAACTAAACAGACTGAACCACTGTTCATGCAGTGACTCGCCAAAAGTATTGAATAATTTCTAAAAGAAACAAAACATCTGAACAGATTTCACTTCGGCGTTGACAAGTAAACTTGTGAATCATCCTGATTATCATATTTCAGGAAGCTTCGTCGGCGAAGCGGAGGTGATGCGTGCCAAAACGGAAAAGAGGTCAGGCGAGAAGGCGCGAGTGGCTCGCGAGGCGATGCGAAAAGCGAGTCGGCAGGTGTGGCGGTGCGACCCCAAGAAACACGAGGAGAACGTCACCTTTATCCAGCTGACCGAGCTGCTGCAGGGCTACGTGCAGAACGAGGTGGACCTTAACTCGAAGGCGTCGTGCGGCGAGAACTGCGCCTACTACACGTACGCCAAGGTGCACGGCTGCTACCACAACCAGTACTGCAGCAAGCAGCGAAAGTGCAACGGACGCGTTTTCAGTTGCCAGTACATCGACGCGGACAGTTGGGTGTGTCCGTCCGATCAGCCCAACCGGCGCTACGACTACATTGAGTACGAGAATGGACGCGTACTGGGCCGTCCTGGCTTCTGCACCCGCGGCACCACCAAGGTGGACAGTTGGTGGCGCTGGCTTTTCTGGCATTGCTCCTACTGCTTCTGCACCTGCGACGACGACGGCCCCAACTCGGACAGGTACTTCAGCCTTCGTTCGGCTCTATCCAACTACACCGCTGGTTACGCCGTGGTCGGAATGAGGTTTGTATATTTTTTTTTAATGGGGAATATGATAAAAAAAAAATATCAAAACAATTTATTTAACAACTTTTTAACTTCTAAGCATGCTTAAGTTATTTTCAAATGCAATATATATAGAGCAAAAATTAAAATACTTTTCTAATGATTTTTTAGGTTTGTGAAGCTCAACCGAGTGATTCACCTTCAAGTACAACAGGCAAAAGTCACTCCAAGAGGTGGAGTGGACGTCGCTTCTGCCGAGTGGGTGGCAGTGGAGGCCTTTGACGTGGCGGCCACAGCCCCTGGACGCGACTACCACAAAATGGACTACGAACAGCGCGCCATCGACCTTGACGACCTTGTTGCGCCGCCGGGATACGTCCTCACGGGCATCCGTTTCCGGCGCATCGGCACGCACTTGAACGCCGAAATTCTTGCTAGCCCGATGGACATGGAGGCCGGCACTTTAAATGCGGACGCCTCCTTATGGATTGGCAACGACAATACGGACGCGTCCATCGACAACCCGAGGACAGGGGTCCCCCTCGTCACACCGGATATTCCTACGCGAACGAGTTTACCGTCCGAGACAGACTCCAGTTCAGACCAGTTCGTGACCTTCACGCACTCGGATATGAGCAAGGACGCCGCCCAAACGACGGTGCCCTTCTTGGACGCACAATCTGTGCAGACGGACCCGCCCATTTTGCTGTCTGGTGCGGGGGTTTATCACAAAGGACGCAGGGGATTCGGAGGATTTGTGGGGCTACGTTTGATCACCTACGACTTCAGCGATCTCCTCGGTGTCAACGATACAGATATGAATCTCAATAAATAATTTAATCGACCACTGACTGCTTTTACCGTTAGCTTGTATGTATTTGTATGCAATAGAGGTATGTAGGCAATAAAATATTTTCTAAGAAAAAAACTTTTTTGTCTCAAACGACGATGTTTGAAAAAAATAGCATGCGAGAGAGAAATAAAATGGATGTATCGTCCTACCTGCACTCGCAATGGGTGAATCATCATCAGGTGCAAAACCTCTGGCGGGGGCAATATCTCCTTCAGCGACATCTTCTGTTGCTTAATTGCCTGGCACATGAACACCGAGAAGTAGCGATGTAGCGGCAAGTGAAACGACACCTTGCATGTGTCAACCTGTGCAGACAAGATAAAAAAGTAAAAACCAATTAATTAACTTGCAAATGAAGCATGATTTATTTTATTATTTGATCGGCAAATAGCCAAAATTTGATTTCCAAACGAGAAAAGTGCTTCTCTGAAAACACAAAACGCAGATACGAGAGTAAAGGGCATAACGGTTAACAATGCGCCTGCAGAATATTGATTTAAACATTACCCACTCTAATAAATTGCATGATTCTATTTTTACCTCGCACGCCTCGCATACGTACTATCAATAAGAGACTGTATTTAATACCTCTCTAGGAAGGCCTACGTGTATACTACGATTGAAAACAGAAAACCATGCATAATAATACAAATTATTTTGTTACATTTATATGAAAGCTAAAAAATTTGAAAAGAATGGTAATTTTTAATGTACTCAACATAAAAAGAAAGCATTAAACATTATTTAAAATATAGTGCATTTCAAGTTGCCTTTTTCTCAATAAATTCAAAAATTAGTATTTTCTGGTATTTTCATAATCCTGCTCTGCATGGTTTTGCTGCGTGCTTCTTGGGCTGCAGCCATACCATAATTCATTGACTTTTTAGCTGAGGCTGATTAAATAATTTCCAACAACGACTAAAATAAACCAATAGATTGCTATTTATTTCAATATAAAGCAACCCATGATCGTCAATTAATTACGTTTTTAATGTAACAAACTTTTGATACTTGCAAATTATTAAAAAAAAATACTTCTTAAATTAACTGAAATGACTAGATTTTCCATCCTTTAAAGAAATGGTTTTAAATACAAGGGCACACAGCACACAGATCATGGTCTTTTTAGGACATGAGTGATCGATCTTTGAGCTGACTTTTGATATGCGATAAAGAATATAACTTTGACTACAACGCTTCTCGAATTAGGAGCAAAAAAAATTTATGTTGATGAAAACAATCCTGTAGTCAAAACAAATAATACCATCAATAACAATAGTGCCGATTAAGCAAAATAACCACATACCAAGAAAATCTTTATAGAGTCAGCATGTGTCAATGCAAATAAATGGAAAACATCCTACAAATAAAAATAAATATCTACTCACAGCACTCTCTGAAGTGAAGTTAATAGCTTCAAGCCACTCTTGGATGGCTGAAAGACAGTTCTTAAGGACTCTCTTGGTGTAAGGCATCAGTTCCGGGTCAGTAAGGTGGGACACCATGGACCACATTGGATAGGCACTGGCCTCGAGCTCAGCAGAAAAGGCAGCATAGTAAGTATTGGGCTCAAACTCTATGTGCTGTGTTGTCTCTCTAGTGTTCACATTCATTCCTAATGGACAGATGTAATAGGCAAATTATTTATATTATCTACATTTATTTATTTTTTCAATTATACCTTGAAACATGGAGAGAAAATCAAACCACATGTTCAGGAGCGAGTCATCACTCATGAATTTGAGAGCAACGCCTTTGTGGGAGAGCACGTTGTTCAAGTCAGAAACAAGGGGCCAATAACAGTGGTCCTTCATGATTGTGCTAGCACAGTCCACAGCATAGTGAAAGTTTTTGTCTGCATCTACAGAAATAAAAATTGAGTTAACATTTGTATAACAATTATATTACTTATAGAACCAATAAATAATAACTAAGATTATATTATATTGTCGTTTTGGCTTACCATGCAATGTATTCTGGATGAGTATGTTGCTCATCATATATTTCAAACTAATGACCATCACATGCAGCAAGTGCAGTTTGTCAGCCATTCTCATGGCCAAGCTTTCATTGGAGAAAAGTTGAACGCTAACATGGACTACTCTATTTGAAAGTGCGTCTGGATCTGTTGACTTTTCTAACATCATGGATATCCTGCTGTAGTGAAGCACGAAAGCCTGAGTGAGACATTCCTATAGAATTTTGCAATTAAAATGCAACCACTGTTAACATAACAAAAATTATACTTTGTAATCTACGTCTGGAAGCATGTTAAGGAGAAAACAAACAGTCTTCTGGGGAAACTCGAAAACCACTGTCCAGAAAACGAGCTCTTCTAAAAATGTGTGGTGAACAAGGTGCTGCTGTAGAGACGGGCAATCTGCAAAAATTTAATATGATTTAATTTGCTTCCACGAACGTTTTGAAAGCTTTACCTTTATATTCATCGGGAGGTTCTGGGTTTGGCAAAGATTTGATGGCCTCCTCGTACACTCGTTTGCTCTCTCGCATGAACTCGGCAATTTCTTTACATACAGCTCTTGTTTCCACAGATTCGTAGTCAGTCAAATTTTTGTATACCTGCATTATAAAAATTAATTAAGTATGGCATTCATGGTTTCCATTTAAATATAATTATAAACTAGCAAAATTTTTATTGAAATATTTTTTACGTTGTTATATAATATTAAAAAAAAACAGATATAACATTACGAAATATATATAATTAGTTACCTGAGGATTGGTGAGAGCCCCTGTCATAACTTTCCTCATGGCTGCACCCATTGCGCTAAAGTCATGCAGCATCGTCAAAAATGCATCTGCGTCTTTGATAGCTTGCTTCATTTCTTCACTTGTCTTCACATGGCTGAATTTTTAAATCAATTTATAGCATTAATCTGCAAGTCAGCAGCAATTTTATTAAACTGACCTGTTCTGCCGAAGATGCTGAATTAGTCTGAGGATGATTCGTGGCATCATTGCTTCTGCTACACACATCAAGTCTCCAGGAGCTGCCGCTTTGTTTACTTGAGCCTTTGGGCCATGTTTTTCACAAAACCTGTAAAATATAATTAAAATTGCTTTTATTGTTTCATTCTTTACGGAATTCCAAGACATAGCAACTCAAGCGAGTGGGTAAAAAACGGAAGAATTTATCCAGTCAAAGCAGACTTCAAATCAAAATTAATCTTAAGTTGCTTTTTAAATATTTATAGTAAAGACCTTAATATTAAATAATGCTCTTTAAAATTACATTTACCGAGTTATTATAAGAGCACTTATGCTTTTACTATATAGTTATAAGCTCCCCTGACTACATAGCTTTAAAAAGGGATTCCTCCACTGTTGTAATTGTATGTAAATAAACATTTACTGTAACCACAATATTCACTTAAAGCTTTGACTAAATAGCTAAAGGCAGTAAATTACCCTGTCTCTTTCATGACCGATGTGTCGCCGCAATCGCAGGCGCCTCCAGCCTGACTGCGGAACATGTTAAAGTCGTGACCATCGTGGTTGCCCTTTTGGAAGCACTCGGAGCACAGGGACATGCAAGGGGATATGCTGCACGTCCGGCATCGATAGGCCACAAAGTTCGCCGTCCACACCAGGCCACAAGTGGTCGCATTGTCATAGCCGTGCACTGCAATGGAGAAATTATAAAATTAATTAAAAAAAAAAAATGTAAACAAAAAGATTCGCACCGATGGCCGAGAATTCGTCAGGAGTTCGCCCACCAGCCATCAACCATTTGCACCAGTCGATGGCCTCCCACTCATCAATGGGTTTGCTCGGCTTGAGGATCAGGTCAAGAAGCTCGTGAAGGTTCTTGGGGATGGGCGTTTGGGCGCACTCGGAGTGCACGTAGGTCGCCGCGGCCCGCTTGCCCTTTTTCATCAGCACATGAGCGGACGATGTGGAAGCCATGTTTTCCGATCTTCCGATATTCAGCACGCTTTTCGGTACCAAATTCATCGGAGGCTGGACACAGTCATTTTCCGTTCGGCTCGGACACCCGCTGATTGTCACCCTTCGTGCCTCATGGCAAGGCGAGTCAGTGTTGTCGTCGACGTAGTAATCGCGAGAGGTCAGAGACCCGTCCGACCGTCCTTCACGAGAGCGGCACGACGAATTCGCAGAGAGAATTCGCTTCCGCAACCGCAGATAATAGACTTCAAAACTGCGACGATCGAAAGTATTGCACTTAAATTTCACCTAAAACACACGCAACACGAAAATGTTGCAATTCACAGAAGCGAACGATCACCACCTTCTTAATTGTTAATAGATGGTAGGTCCGCGAGAGCAAAGATTAATAATCTAAAAATAGTACAGGTGGCACTTTCATCGGCGGACGAAGCCACGGAAACATGCACGACCCTCCCAAACAGAAAATATGCAAGGCATCGCAAGTGGGCAAGAACAACGAAAATAAAATCCAAAATGGCGCACAATTTGCGCGAAATTCAATTTTTCTATAGGAATATTAGGAATCAATGTAAATATCAAATTTCGCGGCTTCATCTAGTCGAAAATTTTTAGAAGATGCGAGAGGTGTGTGTAGAAAGGACGAAAGGAGACATCTGACGCCCTCTTCGAGAACTAAAATTGTTTTGTTTTCAATCCAGAAAAAAAGTAAGGATTTCTCCAAGAGGAAGAAAAATTGAATTTTACAAATTTTCTGTCCTCACACAAGACGAACGCCGATGGAATATGAGCAGCTGGGTTGTCTGAAGTTGGCTGGGCTCAGCGAAGTGAAGAACAACCTGAGGTGGTCTCCGGACAACAAAATCGCCGTGATCACGCGCAAAGGCGTTCACGTCGTGGTAGGTTGACCGAAAGAACGAGGAATTGTGGAAAGAAAAAAATGCACTTGTTCGCTCTGCTGTTACTTTTCTGCGCCGCGGTCTGCTCGTCGGCCAATGACATTACCAATGCTATTTTCGGCAACACGAGTTTCGGCAGTGTTCCTGCCGCTTTCGGTGACTTCAACTCGGACAAACTGACCGACATTTTCATTATTCGCGACGATGCTCGTTCTGTCAGCGTTCTCCTTGCAAACCCCAATGAGCCCATCATGCAGATGTCTAACCTGACCTGCCGCTTCTCCAAAGGTCACATCACCAGTGTCGTTCCTGGTGACTTTGATGGAGACGCAATGATGGACATCCTGGTCACCACTTTCAACACAAATGTCACCTCCGTCTTCATTCTTTGGGGCTCCCAGAACAACCTGCAGTGTCCTGAAGACGAGGAAAAACCGGTGCTCTACACCAAAGACCAACCTTTGGTCCTTGACTACAACCTGGACATGATAGCTGACCTCTTTGGGGTCAATGAGGAAGGCAAGAGGATGTTTTGGGTCTTCGGGACAACCCGGACAGCTCCTCTAATAATCGAAATGAATGAAACAAAGCTCGAGGAACGGAAGCTCCGTTACCCTCACTCGCACGCTTTCCTGGACCTGGACGGCAACTTTGTATCAGACTTGGTGCTCACTACGAACACCGGCTATGAGGTGTGGGCTGGACAAGAAAAGGGTGGCTTTAAATACAACTCGACTATCAATTACCCTGCAGGAGTTGATAAAGAATCGGTTGGCCAGAACCTGTTTCTCGATGTATACTTGAACAGCCACCTGGGACTGGTTGTGCCTGTTTGCTTTGGAGGCGTTTGTGAGAACAGCACCATCTTTGTCCACGATGGCGTCACTTGGAAAGACCTGAGGCCCAACTTTAAGGATCCACAAGGCAACAACTGGGGCTTCGTGAAGCATGTTGGTGGGAAATTCACAGACACCATCACCATTCGCGGAGGTGACTTCAATCTGGACGGCTACCCTGATTTGCTGGTCACCCTTCAGTTTCAAAAAATCATTCGAACACTGATACTTGAAAACGTCGAAGGCGCCAATGGAAGGACCTTTGCCGTCCAGTGGACATCCCTGGGATCCAGCAACTCAACCGTGGCTGGAGCGTTTTTCGATTTTTACCAGAAGGGCACCCTTGATGTTCTTCTAGTCCATCGTTTAGCCAACGGATCTACTGCGATGAAGGCGTTCAAAAATGGACTAGATTATGATGCAAATTTCCTGAAGGTATTTATATAAAATAATTCTAATGACTTTTTATAAATGTTAATGAAATTAAATAATAATAAAATATTTGAAAAAAAGGATAATATTATAAATTATTTATTTTACGTTTTCATGATTTCAGGTTATGGTCTTGACTGGCTTGGGTGGCCCTGGACCGCTTCCGTACGGAACAAATCTTCCTGGACCGAGGGTCTCCTATTTCACGGTGACCCAAGATGGCAGTGAACGTTATGGCTGTGCTGCCCAGTTGTCCCAAAGTGCCCACTTTGCCCTGCAACTTCCCTACTCCATCTTTGGTCTGGGCCGAACACCCAACTTTGTTGATCGAATGACCACTGGCTACTCGAACCACACCCGCGACTGGCTGCTGGTCATCCCAAATTCACAGATGGTTATTGTGCCGCCGTTGGGCGATTCGCAGCACTGGCGGATGCAACTCTTTGTCACCCCAAGCAGGACCATCCTGGAGACAATGGCCGTCCTGTTGAGCACCTGCGTCCTCAACGTGCTCATCATTGGCGGTCTCCATCTGAAGGAGAAGCGAGAGGACCGACTGGAGAAACTGCAGGAGGCTCACCGTTTCCACTTTGACGCTATGTGAAAAAATTGTCAATGACTGCTTTAAGTATATAGTCAAAAACTGCTGTATGCAGCTGTGATCAAGAATAATTATTATATACTAAAGTCCAAATAGGTCTAGGTGGGACCATTTTGATTTGTAAGAGCGTGACTAAATCTCAAGGATTTGTGTCAAAACGGTCCCATTCTGTGCACTCTTATTATAAAAGTTGAACAATATCTGTAAAGCAAGCTTTTCAAACACACGTTGTGTCACTGTGATACATTTTTAAGTTATAACTTGATCTGCTTGTAATATAACCCATAGTTGAAAGTAAAATTACTGCATTTGAATTATTTCAAACCACAAAAACAATTCTTTATTTTTTTAAGATTCTGACTTTAAGCTCTCAAGAAAACTTTATTATTAAATCTAGTCTCATTTCAAATTGTTTTGTTTTTTAAGGCCCCTCACGCCAATGTCAAGTCAGCAAAGGATTTCTCTCTGACGTCGACTCTAATTATTCCTCAAAATGATTTTCCAACACACAATACTGGTAAAATTAATATACCTGTTGTAAGAATAATCCATCTAATAAAATTGTATTCAACAGAACTTGATGTTGACAGCATTTTCCTCAACCATCCAGAACGAGCTGCCATTTATGAGATGGTTCTCGACCCCATGCTTTACAAGGGCGTTAAGCATACTGAGTCGCAGTTACCAGTTGCAATTCAAGCAGAGTGGGCACCTATCACCATAGACGGTTTTGACGGGTAAGGATTTTTTTTCGCAAAGTAGAATTGATTAAAACTTTGAATTATAAAGGCACATACTAGCCGTCAGAACTAGCTCTGGGGGAGTCTATTTGTATCGATTCAAATTAAACGAATGGCAAGAGTTTCAAGACATCTCTCATAAAAAGTATGAGTTGGCCGTCAAGTATTGGCACAACAGCTCAAATAATCCAGATAACTTGCGATCTCGAGTTAATGAGCTTTATGCAACAGGTACAATTAGTTTTATGATTTTTTGAATTATTAAAATTGACATCAAATGAATGAACTGTATGCAGCTCTATGTTGGGAGAGTGATGAGGCAGCAAAAGTTCTTACACTATGGGTCGCTTATGGGGACTGCACTTTGGTTTCATGGAAAATTGGGCTGGATGGAGCATCATTTAAGTCTATTGTGGTTTTGAAAAACATGACAAAAGTGACTCACATTGCATGGAACGGTAATTTTCTATATTTGTGATAAATTAATTATTTATCAAAATTAAAATATTTTTAGGCTTCTTGGTTGTTGGAGACATCAAGGGAATTGTCCATTTGAATTTCCCTTCTGATGAAAAAACTGTGGAATTTTGGACAGAGCAAGATCTCATTCCAGTAGAGTCATCCCTTATGTTTCCTTGCACCTCTGAGGGTTGGTTTCTCATAATTGTCAAGGGCAGTTGCATTGTAGCAGCACGCGTTAGCAGTGATGGGACAGCAGTGCAAAGAGGCACCAAAAACTTTGGTTCTCTTGGAATAACAGGTTTATTTATTTTTATTTACATTGATTTACACGTTGTATTAAAAATGATTAACGTAGGCCTTGTTCATTTGCAAAACAATGATGTTTTGGTATCTCACTTGTGTGGGAAAATTGAGGAAGTGTCTCTTACTTTGAGTGAGAGTGAAATTTCTTTTCAAGTAAAGACTTTGGAACACAAATTGAACACTAAGGACTGCAACTTGCATGGAATCGCCATTTCAAAGAATTCTCTCATTTATGTCGTTTCTCAAAGGTATAAACAATTTTGATTGAATATTGCTTTTCTGATGTATTATTTTTACCTTATTAGCGCATTCACTCCTCACGACCATTTGGTGCTTCGAGAGCCGTCACAGTTGGTTTTCTTCACTTACAATAATGCTCAAGCAATCTGGCGCATGTTGGAGGAGATCCAATTTTCAGAGTCATTCGTTTTGGAGAACATATGGGATATTTTAAAAATACTAAGGTACTTTTGCAACCTAATTTTGCTTTGATATTTAGATGTGCTTGCTTATCAACTAAATCATTCCAGTATACGTGGTGAACCCGAGGATTGGCAAAAACCAGAAAATTTGAATATTGTTGAAGAAATTCCCATTCTTCACAGAAGGTTGTTATTACAATCAATAGATGAGTCCAGAAGAGAACCGCAAACCCAAATTGCAAAGGATTTGGTGAGTGAAATTTGAGTAGACAATTTTTTTATTAATTTTTACCTAACACCTATATGTATAATTGCAGAAAAAAAGTCTCGAAAGACTTGACAAAAACATAATTGCAAAACAACTCCTTCGTGTGCTATCAAATCTGAAGCCAGATAGGTCAGATCTGGAGGAATATAGCAAACAGTTAATGACCAATTGGCTCAAGTTGTATGATCCAAGCAATGCCACCAATCTCACCAAAGAGGAACTGGCTTTAATAATTGGCTTACCAACGGGAGAGTTTGTGGAAAAGTGCAACATATGCAGCAATGATATCCTTTTCATATAACACAATTTTTGTATTAAAATTGTATTAAAATTTTTTTACAAGAAATATTTCTTAACTCATTTTAGCACATGTAATTTTTGATAGCTCTTTGGAAATGACCTGCGTAAAAGGGCACAAACTGCCTCGGTGTTGCTTGTCGTTGCTGCAGTGCAGTGAAACTCCATACAGGCTATGTAACGAGTGCAATCAGTATTGCCTATTGGATCCACGTAAGAACAATAGCAATGTAAATTTATTAAAATTGATTTCAAATTTCCAAATTTGTAGCATTCGAGTTGGAGCCAAGATGTATATTCTGTTATCACCCAATGATTGAGGAAAACTTTTTCAAATAAATAATCGTAAATATCTTTCTCAAAAATATATATTGACTAGAACAATTTCTTGTAAATTTCCACTTCTTTAGTACCAGTTTAGTACATGCATGGTACCAAAGACTGATTTTCTTCTTGGTTGTAATTTTGCAATTGGTGGCCTAACTTTGCCTGCCAAGTTTCGACATAGCTCGAGTGTTCGTTGGCCGTTGTCGTGGTGCTGCCATTTAAGTGCAGGGTTTGAAGACTAGTATTCAAGGAGTTGGCAATCAAATTGCAGGTTGCCTGGCTGATCCCTCTGGTTAGGGTGTGGGCAAATGCCAGAGGGTCGTTTGAACCTTGCGCCACGGCAGAGAGCGCAAAAATGTAGTTACTGGCCAGTCGAAGAGTCTCGATCTTTGAAAGTTTCTGCGAGTGACAAGCAACAGGCATGCAGCTGAAATGATTTGAACACTTTAATTTTGAAGACAAATCACTCTGGTATGTTACCTGCGGAGACGATCAAGGGCTGCGTTAAGAATGTGCATCCTGTGCCTTTCTCGAGCGTTGGCCTTAAACCTCTTGATGCGTGGAGAAGGAGTTTTGCACTGCTGCTCCATTGCTTCCGGATTTGCTGGAATCATAATGCAGACTGAGTGCTGGGCAGAAAAACACCAGTTTGCTGGTTTACCATATGCAACAGGTGCCCAGCTCAGTTGGTCACAGATGTTGATCCGTCAAAACGCAGGGCCCATCTGTATTTGCCCTCGGTTGCTCGTCTCGCATTAAACGTTAACAGCAAAGGGGTGAGAATTGGCGCTTATCAATGGCTAATGCGGCAGCCAAATATATTGACACAACTCTTTTCCATTCGTAGACGGGGGTTGATAGAGGGCCATATGTCACCTTATCAGGGTGTGATGGCACGAGCCTAGTTGCTGATAGTGCTTTTGATCAAACAAGGGACTTGTTTCAATATTTGATGAAAAACTCTATGTGCTGTGTTGTCTCTCTAGTGTTCACATTCATTCCTAATGGACAGATGTAATAGGCAAATTATTTATATTATCTACATTTATTTATTTTTTCAATTATACCTTGAAACATGGAGAGAAAATCAAACCACATGTTCAGGAGCGAGTCATCACTCATGAATTTGAGAGCAACGCCTTTGTGGGAGAGCACGTTGTTCAAGTCAGAAACAAGGGGCCAATAACAGTGGTCCTTCATGATTGTGCTAGCACAGTCCACAGCATAGTGAAAGTTTTTGTCTGCATCTACAGAAATAAAAATTGAGTTAACATTTGTATAACAATTATATTACTTATAGAACCAATAAATAATAACTAAGATTATATTATATTGTCGTTTTGGCTTACCATGCAATGTATTCTGGATGAGTATGTTGCTCATCATATATTTCAAACTAATGACCATCACATGCAGCAAGTGCAGTTTGTCAGCCATTCTCATGGCCAAGCTTTCATTGGAGAAAAGTTGAACGCTAACATGGACTACTCTATTTGAAAGTGCGTCTGGATCTGTTGACTTTTCTAACATCATGGATATCCTGCTGTAGTGAAGCACGAAAGCCTGAGTGAGACATTCCTATAGAATTTTGCAATTAAAATGCAACCACTGTTAACATAACAAAAATTATACTTTGTAATCTACGTCTGGAAGCATGTTAAGGAGAAAACAAACAGTCTTCTGGGGAAACTCGAAAACCACTGTCCAGAAAACGAGCTCTTCTAAAAATGTGTGGTGAACAAGGTGCTGCTGTAGAGACGGGCAATCTGCAAAAATTTAATATGATTTAATTTGCTTCCACGAACGTTTTGAAAGCTTTACCTTTATATTCATCGGGAGGTTCTGGGTTTGGCAAAGATTTGATGGCCTCCTCGTACACTCGTTTGCTCTCTCGCATGAACTCGGCAATTTCTTTACATACAGCTCTTGTTTCCACAGATTCGTAGTCAGTCAAATTTTTGTATACCTGCATTATAAAAATTAATTAAGTATGGCATTCATGGTTTCCATTTAAATATAATTATAAACTAGCAAAATTTTTATTGAAATATTTTTTACGTTGTTATATAATATTAAAAAAAAACAGATATAACATTACGAAATATATATAATTAGTTACCTGAGGATTGGTGAGAGCCCCTGTCATAACTTTCCTCATGGCTGCACCCATTGCGCTAAAGTCATGCAGCATCGTCAAAAATGCATCTGCGTCTTTGATAGCTTGCTTCATTTCTTCACTTGTCTTCACATGGCTGAATTTTTAAATCAATTTATAGCATTAATCTGCAAGTCAGCAGCAATTTTATTAAACTGACCTGTTCTGCCGAAGATGCTGAATTAGTCTGAGGATGATTCGTGGCATCATTGCTTCTGCTACACACATCAAGTCTCCAGGAGCTGCCGCTTTGTTTACTTGAGCCTTTGGGCCATGTTTTTCACAAAACCTGTAAAATATAATTAAAATTGCTTTTATTGTTTCATTCTTTACGGAATTCCAAGACATAGCAACTCAAGCGAGTGGGTAAAAAACGGAAGAATTTATCCAGTCAAAGCAGACTTCAAATCAAAATTAATCTTAAGTTGCTTTTTAAATATTTATAGTAAAGACCTTAATATTAAATAATGCTCTTTAAAATTACATTTACCGAGTTATTATAAGAGCACTTATGCTTTTACTATATAGTTATAAGCTCCCCTGACTACATAGCTTTAAAAAGGGATTCCTCCACTGTTGTAATTGTATGTAAATAAACATTTACTGTAACCACAATATTCACTTAAAGCTTTGACTAAATAGCTAAAGGCAGTAAATTACCCTGTCTCTTTCATGACCGATGTGTCGCCGCAATCGCAGGCGCCTCCAGCCTGACTGCGGAACATGTTAAAGTCGTGACCATCGTGGTTGCCCTTTTGGAAGCACTCGGAGCACAGGGACATGCAAGGGGATATGCTGCACGTCCGGCATCGATAGGCCACAAAGTTCGCCGTCCACACCAGGCCACAAGTGGTCGCATTGTCATAGCCGTGCACTGCAATGGAGAAATTATAAAATTAATTAAAAAAAAAAAATGTAAACAAAAAGATTCGCACCGATGGCCGAGAATTCGTCAGGAGTTCGCCCACCAGCCATCAACCATTTGCACCAGTCGATGGCCTCCCACTCATCAATGGGTTTGCTCGGCTTGAGGATCAGGTCAAGAAGCTCGTGAAGGTTCTTGGGGATGGGCGTTTGGGCGCACTCGGAGTGCACGTAGGTCGCCGCGGCCCGCTTGCCCTTTTTCATCAGCACATGAGCGGACGATGTGGAAGCCATGTTTTCCGATCTTCCGATATTCAGCACGCTTTTCGGTACCAAATTCATCGGAGGCTGGACACAGTCATTTTCCGTTCGGCTCGGACACCCGCTGATTGTCACCCTTCGTGCCTCATGGCAAGGCGAGTCAGTGTTGTCGTCGACGTAGTAATCGCGAGAGGTCAGAGACCCGTCCGACCGTCCTTCACGAGAGCGGCACGACGAATTCGCAGAGAGAATTCGCTTCCGCAACCGCAGATAATAGACTTCAAAACTGCGACGATCGAAAGTATTGCACTTAAATTTCACCTAAAACACACGCAACACGAAAATGTTGCAATTCACAGAAGCGAACGATCACCACCTTCTTAATTGTTAATAGATGGTAGGTCCGCGAGAGCAAAGATTAATAATCTAAAAATAGTACAGGTGGCACTTTCATCGGCGGACGAAGCCACGGAAACATGCACGACCCTCCCAAACAGAAAATATGCAAGGCATCGCAAGTGGGCAAGAACAACGAAAATAAAATCCAAAATGGCGCACAATTTGCGCGAAATTCAATTTTTCTATAGGAATATTAGGAATCAATGTAAATATCAAATTTCGCGGCTTCATCTAGTCGAAAATTTTTAGAAGATGCGAGAGGTGTGTGTAGAAAGGACGAAAGGAGACATCTGACGCCCTCTTCGAGAACTAAAATTGTTTTGTTTTCAATCCAGAAAAAAAGTAAGGATTTCTCCAAGAGGAAGAAAAATTGAATTTTACAAATTTTCTGTCCTCACACAAGACGAACGCCGATGGAATATGAGCAGCTGGGTTGTCTGAAGTTGGCTGGGCTCAGCGAAGTGAAGAACAACCTGAGGTGGTCTCCGGACAACAAAATCGCCGTGATCACGCGCAAAGGCGTTCACGTCGTGGTAGGTTGACCGAAAGAACGAGGAATTGTGGAAAGAAAAAAATGCACTTGTTCGCTCTGCTGTTACTTTTCTGCGCCGCGGTCTGCTCGTCGGCCAATGACATTACCAATGCTATTTTCGGCAACACGAGTTTCGGCAGTGTTCCTGCCGCTTTCGGTGACTTCAACTCGGACAAACTGACCGACATTTTCATTATTCGCGACGATGCTCGTTCTGTCAGCGTTCTCCTTGCAAACCCCAATGAGCCCATCATGCAGATGTCTAACCTGACCTGCCGCTTCTCCAAAGGTCACATCACCAGTGTCGTTCCTGGTGACTTTGATGGAGACGCAATGATGGACATCCTGGTCACCACTTTCAACACAAATGTCACCTCCGTCTTCATTCTTTGGGGCTCCCAGAACAACCTGCAGTGTCCTGAAGACGAGGAAAAACCGGTGCTCTACACCAAAGACCAACCTTTGGTCCTTGACTACAACCTGGACATGATAGCTGACCTCTTTGGGGTCAATGAGGAAGGCAAGAGGATGTTTTGGGTCTTCGGGACAACCCGGACAGCTCCTCTAATAATCGAAATGAATGAAACAAAGCTCGAGGAACGGAAGCTCCGTTACCCTCACTCGCACGCTTTCCTGGACCTGGACGGCAACTTTGTATCAGACTTGGTGCTCACTACGAACACCGGCTATGAGGTGTGGGCTGGACAAGAAAAGGGTGGCTTTAAATACAACTCGACTATCAATTACCCTGCAGGAGTTGATAAAGAATCGGTTGGCCAGAACCTGTTTCTCGATGTATACTTGAACAGCCACCTGGGACTGGTTGTGCCTGTTTGCTTTGGAGGCGTTTGTGAGAACAGCACCATCTTTGTCCACGATGGCGTCACTTGGAAAGACCTGAGGCCCAACTTTAAGGATCCACAAGGCAACAACTGGGGCTTCGTGAAGCATGTTGGTGGGAAATTCACAGACACCATCACCATTCGCGGAGGTGACTTCAATCTGGACGGCTACCCTGATTTGCTGGTCACCCTTCAGTTTCAAAAAATCATTCGAACACTGATACTTGAAAACGTCGAAGGCGCCAATGGAAGGACCTTTGCCGTCCAGTGGACATCCCTGGGATCCAGCAACTCAACCGTGGCTGGAGCGTTTTTCGATTTTTACCAGAAGGGCACCCTTGATGTTCTTCTAGTCCATCGTTTAGCCAACGGATCTACTGCGATGAAGGCGTTCAAAAATGGACTAGATTATGATGCAAATTTCCTGAAGGTATTTATATAAAATAATTCTAATGACTTTTTATAAATGTTAATGAAATTAAATAATAATAAAATATTTGAAAAAAAGGATAATATTATAAATTATTTATTTTACGTTTTCATGATTTCAGGTTATGGTCTTGACTGGCTTGGGTGGCCCTGGACCGCTTCCGTACGGAACAAATCTTCCTGGACCGAGGGTCTCCTATTTCACGGTGACCCAAGATGGCAGTGAACGTTATGGCTGTGCTGCCCAGTTGTCCCAAAGTGCCCACTTTGCCCTGCAACTTCCCTACTCCATCTTTGGTCTGGGCCGAACACCCAACTTTGTTGATCGAATGACCACTGGCTACTCGAACCACACCCGCGACTGGCTGCTGGTCATCCCAAATTCACAGATGGTTATTGTGCCGCCGTTGGGCGATTCGCAGCACTGGCGGATGCAACTCTTTGTCACCCCAAGCAGGACCATCCTGGAGACAATGGCCGTCCTGTTGAGCACCTGCGTCCTCAACGTGCTCATCATTGGCGGTCTCCATCTGAAGGAGAAGCGAGAGGACCGACTGGAGAAACTGCAGGAGGCTCACCGTTTCCACTTTGACGCTATGTGAAAAAATTGTCAATGACTGCTTTAAGTATATAGTCAAAAACTGCTGTATGCAGCTGTGATCAAGAATAATTATTATATACTAAAGTCCAAATAGGTCTAGGTGGGACCATTTTGATTTGTAAGAGCGTGACTAAATCTCAAGGATTTGTGTCAAAACGGTCCCATTCTGTGCACTCTTATTATAAAAGTTGAACAATATCTGTAAAGCAAGCTTTTCAAACACACGTTGTGTCACTGTGATACATTTTTAAGTTATAACTTGATCTGCTTGTAATATAACCCATAGTTGAAAGTAAAATTACTGCATTTGAATTATTTCAAACCACAAAAACAATTCTTTATTTTTTTAAGATTCTGACTTTAAGCTCTCAAGAAAACTTTATTATTAAATCTAGTCTCATTTCAAATTGTTTTGTTTTTTAAGGCCCCTCACGCCAATGTCAAGTCAGCAAAGGATTTCTCTCTGACGTCGACTCTAATTATTCCTCAAAATGATTTTCCAACACACAATACTGGTAAAATTAATATACCTGTTGTAAGAATAATCCATCTAATAAAATTGTATTCAACAGAACTTGATGTTGACAGCATTTTCCTCAACCATCCAGAACGAGCTGCCATTTATGAGATGGTTCTCGACCCCATGCTTTACAAGGGCGTTAAGCATACTGAGTCGCAGTTACCAGTTGCAATTCAAGCAGAGTGGGCACCTATCACCATAGACGGTTTTGACGGGTAAGGATTTTTTTTCGCAAAGTAGAATTGATTAAAACTTTGAATTATAAAGGCACATACTAGCCGTCAGAACTAGCTCTGGGGGAGTCTATTTGTATCGATTCAAATTAAACGAATGGCAAGAGTTTCAAGACATCTCTCATAAAAAGTATGAGTTGGCCGTCAAGTATTGGCACAACAGCTCAAATAATCCAGATAACTTGCGATCTCGAGTTAATGAGCTTTATGCAACAGGTACAATTAGTTTTATGATTTTTTGAATTATTAAAATTGACATCAAATGAATGAACTGTATGCAGCTCTATGTTGGGAGAGTGATGAGGCAGCAAAAGTTCTTACACTATGGGTCGCTTATGGGGACTGCACTTTGGTTTCATGGAAAATTGGGCTGGATGGAGCATCATTTAAGTCTATTGTGGTTTTGAAAAACATGACAAAAGTGACTCACATTGCATGGAACGGTAATTTTCTATATTTGTGATAAATTAATTATTTATCAAAATTAAAATATTTTTAGGCTTCTTGGTTGTTGGAGACATCAAGGGAATTGTCCATTTGAATTTCCCTTCTGATGAAAAAACTGTGGAATTTTGGACAGAGCAAGATCTCATTCCAGTAGAGTCATCCCTTATGTTTCCTTGCACCTCTGAGGGTTGGTTTCTCATAATTGTCAAGGGCAGTTGCATTGTAGCAGCACGCGTTAGCAGTGATGGGACAGCAGTGCAAAGAGGCACCAAAAACTTTGGTTCTCTTGGAATAACAGGTTTATTTATTTTTATTTACATTGATTTACACGTTGTATTAAAAATGATTAACGTAGGCCTTGTTCATTTGCAAAACAATGATGTTTTGGTATCTCACTTGTGTGGGAAAATTGAGGAAGTGTCTCTTACTTTGAGTGAGAGTGAAATTTCTTTTCAAGTAAAGACTTTGGAACACAAATTGAACACTAAGGACTGCAACTTGCATGGAATCGCCATTTCAAAGAATTCTCTCATTTATGTCGTTTCTCAAAGGTATAAACAATTTTGATTGAATATTGCTTTTCTGATGTATTATTTTTACCTTATTAGCGCATTCACTCCTCACGACCATTTGGTGCTTCGAGAGCCGTCACAGTTGGTTTTCTTCACTTACAATAATGCTCAAGCAATCTGGCGCATGTTGGAGGAGATCCAATTTTCAGAGTCATTCGTTTTGGAGAACATATGGGATATTTTAAAAATACTAAGGTACTTTTGCAACCTAATTTTGCTTTGATATTTAGATGTGCTTGCTTATCAACTAAATCATTCCAGTATACGTGGTGAACCCGAGGATTGGCAAAAACCAGAAAATTTGAATATTGTTGAAGAAATTCCCATTCTTCACAGAAGGTTGTTATTACAATCAATAGATGAGTCCAGAAGAGAACCGCAAACCCAAATTGCAAAGGATTTGGTGAGTGAAATTTGAGTAGACAATTTTTTTATTAATTTTTACCTAACACCTATATGTATAATTGCAGAAAAAAAGTCTCGAAAGACTTGACAAAAACATAATTGCAAAACAACTCCTTCGTGTGCTATCAAATCTGAAGCCAGATAGGTCAGATCTGGAGGAATATAGCAAACAGTTAATGACCAATTGGCTCAAGTTGTATGATCCAAGCAATGCCACCAATCTCACCAAAGAGGAACTGGCTTTAATAATTGGCTTACCAACGGGAGAGTTTGTGGAAAAGTGCAACATATGCAGCAATGATATCCTTTTCATATAACACAATTTTTGTATTAAAATTGTATTAAAATTTTTTTACAAGAAATATTTCTTAACTCATTTTAGCACATGTAATTTTTGATAGCTCTTTGGAAATGACCTGCGTAAAAGGGCACAAACTGCCTCGGTGTTGCTTGTCGTTGCTGCAGTGCAGTGAAACTCCATACAGGCTATGTAACGAGTGCAATCAGTATTGCCTATTGGATCCACGTAAGAACAATAGCAATGTAAATTTATTAAAATTGATTTCAAATTTCCAAATTTGTAGCATTCGAGTTGGAGCCAAGATGTATATTCTGTTATCACCCAATGATTGAGGAAAACTTTTTCAAATAAATAATCGTAAATATCTTTCTCAAAAATATATATTGACTAGAACAATTTCTTGTAAATTTCCACTTCTTTAGTACCAGTTTAGTACATGCATGGTACCAAAGACTGATTTTCTTCTTGGTTGTAATTTTGCAATTGGTGGCCTAACTTTGCCTGCCAAGTTTCGACATAGCTCGAGTGTTCGTTGGCCGTTGTCGTGGTGCTGCCATTTAAGTGCAGGGTTTGAAGACTAGTATTCAAGGAGTTGGCAATCAAATTGCAGGTTGCCTGGCTGATCCCTCTGGTTAGGGTGTGGGCAAATGCCAGAGGGTCGTTTGAACCTTGCGCCACGGCAGAGAGCGCAAAAATGTAGTTACTGGCCAGTCGAAGAGTCTCGATCTTTGAAAGTTTCTGCGAGTGACAAGCAACAGGCATGCAGCTGAAATGATTTGAACACTTTAATTTTGAAGACAAATCACTCTGGTATGTTACCTGCGGAGACGATCAAGGGCTGCGTTAAGAATGTGCATCCTGTGCCTTTCTCGAGCGTTGGCCTTAAACCTCTTGATGCGTGGAGAAGGAGTTTTGCACTGCTGCTCCATTGCTTCCGGATTTGCTGGAATCATAATGCAGACTGAGTGCTGGGCAGAAAAACACCAGTTTGCTGGTTTACCATATGCAACAGGTGCCCAGCTCAGTTGGTCACAGATGTTGATCCGTCAAAACGCAGGGCCCATCTGTATTTGCCCTCGGTTGCTCGTCTCGCATTAAACGTTAACAGCAAAGGGGTGAGAATTGGCGCTTATCAATGGCTAATGCGGCAGCCAAATATATTGACACAACTCTTTTCCATTCGTAGACGGGGGTTGATAGAGGGCCATATGTCACCTTATCAGGGTGTGATGGCACGAGCCTAGTTGCTGATAGTGCTTTTGATCAAACAAGGGACTTGTTTCAATATTTGATGAAAAATTATAAGATGTCAAGTGGCACCTGACAATTGACACCCAGCCCAAACACATCAGTCTAAAACTAGATCACCGCCCCTAGGCTCCGCAGATAGAAATAAAAGGAAATAGTTTGGAGGAAATAAATCTGTTTTCTAAACTTTATTCAGTTCAAAGCAAAATATTCTACTCATAAAATTATACAAATCTATAGCTTTAAATTCTCTCAATCGAATTATTTGAACTGCAGATCAAACTTTGGTCAGCAAAAGTACCGAAAGTTATTGAACAGCTAGTGGGCTTGATTTCTTAATCAGGCATTATCAACCAACAACAGATTAATTCGGATTAATTCTGTCTGAACGTCGATGTATGCTAACAGAAAATATATTATGTTGTAAAAATGCAATTTTAACTCTTTTTTTTCTCTTGCATTGAAATTGAGTATATTATCATGTTATAGGCTCTCTCACAATCGATTAAAGATTAAATAATCAGCTTGACTATGCAGTACATTGGGATATGTTTTAATAAACAATTAAACTGCTTAGTCTGAGGAAGATATTATAAGATGCAAGTATATCTGCGACTTAAATTGTGTTGGGGTGCATCCATACTTTGTATTATTTGGCAATCGTTGGAAAATTAAAATAAATGAAGTCTCCTGGATAAATACAAATGTTATATCACACCAGGATTGGATAACAAATTTTTGTGTGAAAGAAATAGGGATAGTTAAGATTGGAACATTTAAATGCTTAATATAGCCTGCATATTTAAATTGATACAGAAGTGGACGGTAAATAATAGAGAGTATACGGTGTAAAAAAATGCACATTGAGACGTGAACAAAGGACATCGATGACTAATTCCGCTTATCCGTTCGCTGCGGCTTGTAACAGGTTTGAAGCAGCAGCTTCCAGGTTCCAGCCTGCACTGCGCAGAGCCTCTTCACACTGAATCTTGGGAGCCAGTCCCAACCTGAAACAAGTTGTTTGTGTTTCAGATGAAAATCCATGGTAATGAGAAACTAAAAAAAATTTATATTTTCACAATTAAAGCTCCAAAATTTGATTTTCTTTTAATTATAAATAATTCATTGTATTTAAGTAACACTTGATTTAAGCATTTCTTTCAATGTTTCATTTGCTAAAAGACAATGATAACGTCAATTGTGAAAAATATAGGGCCTGTTGGTATGGGAAAAAATATGGAAAATATCGAAAATATAATGTTCTATAAGCAAAGGTTGCAACGATTGAATTGATCTTGGTCATGATATTGCTTTGAGCAATTGTCCCGGTTTCTGTCAATTGCCTAAATTGATTTAAAGTATCTCAATTGGCTTGTACAGAGTGAATGACTAAAATTCATCCCAGCCACAACACTAAAACAATCCAGACTTCAATTTTGTTAATTTCAGCTGCTCAAAATAAATAATATAGCACTAATAACAATAAAATGTGTTATTCTTGAAGCAAACCTTGTTAAGCGTTCCAGTTTGATGTGCCTAACAGCAGCCATAACATTTCCATCACTGACGCGCAGTGCAGTTGCTCCCTCCTCTTCAGCACCACCCCCGACTTGTTCTAACACCAAAGCTATTTTGCTTGACGACCCGCACAGCTAAAGCAAAAACATGCAAAATAAATATTCAAAATTTAAGTTACCACTAAAAGATATTTATTGGTTAAAAAGCATTTGAATATTAGTAAAAATAACTCACGAGCAATGAAATATGCAAAATTTTCTCACCTGATGCTCAGGTTGGTACTTCGGGGGCGCTGCTAGGTCACCGTGGGACGAGAGGCTTGGCTTCATCAAATTTGCAGCACCAGCGCATTCATCTGCACCAGCAAAACCTGAGAGACTTAGACAAGTAGCCCCTGCAGGAGCCGTTTTATCCCACGAATTTTTTACTTGAGAAGTGCTTTTGCTCAAGCTCTGGGGCGGCCTCAATTTGGGAATATTGTAGATCTCAAACTTCTCTTTGGTGTCCAAATTTGCAAGCAGCTCTTCCTTGCCAAGGTCTTTTTGTAGGTCAGTGAAAATCTGGCACTTCTTTGGCAATGAAAGGTTCTGGAAATCAGCCGTCAGATCGTAGTCAGATGAAACCGGTGAATTGAAAGACTGCCAGTCGTCAATGCAAGTGGCTGTCGTGGTCGTGGGCTCTAAGTTGAATGAAGCAGTCGAGTAATAACGCCCAGTCTGGACGTGAGATGTGTCAAATGGGTCAGGCGACAAGCGGTCAGAGTTATGAGAGGACAGGTGGGCAACATTTGCATATGAACGCCCTTGAGATAAGTCCAATGCATCAAAGCTAAAATCTTGACCTGGAAGTCCTGTAACTAAAAAAAAGTATACCTTACACTTTGTTTAAAAAGTTAAATAAGATTGACCTTAGATTATTAAGCTTAAGGAAACTATTTTCATGCTGATATAAGAGAGTCAGATATAGTCATATGCTTTCCATGGCAATGAAGCCAGTCATTTTATCAAATTAAATCAACCTTGCACCTTCTCATTTTAAATTTGGAATAAAAAAATTACAAACCTTCTGGTACATCGAAAGGTTGATCAATTATGGCAAGTTGAGAATTTGCAGGGACGGAAGACAAACTTTGAGTTGGCAGTCTTGGATCTTCGGACAGATCTATGAGCACCGCATCAGATCTTTGGACTGAACTTGGTGGTGGTGGCTGATGAGTGGGGCTGCTCACATTCGAGTAAGAACTCTCGTTGGGAAACTCGTTTTGGAATTTGTGATAGCTGTACTGCTGCTTCTGTGCTCTCTGCGTTTTCAAACTGCTTCCTGGCGAAAGTTCTGCAAAAAAATTAAAATTTTAATTTCACTATGGCTTTTTAGCCATGCACAAACTTTTTTTCCTTCCTCGAGCCTTTGAGTCACCGTCAATCCCTAGCAAGTCGGGTGGTTCCATTGGATTTCTCAGGTAAACCTCGTCAATATGAGAAGGACTTCCCCAACTCTGACCAAAAGCCGAGCCGTGCCCAGCGTGGATGAACGAGTTCTTGAGGGGTTTGCTGATGTCCTCTGTGCCTTTTTTTCTTAGAGGGTTTGCGAAGGCCCTAGGAAAGTGGCCAATGTCAAACGTTGAAAGGTTCTGGCCCTTCCACCAGTGGCACTCTGTCTTTCCTTCAATTATCACGATAGGGTCATCATAGGCTAGCTTCAGTCTGCCTTCCTCTTCGTAAGGTTGTGTTGCTCTCATCACAGGTGGACAGATGCTCAGGAAGTAATCATAGATCTCCCTAAAATGAATTAGTAATTTAACTTTTTCAATTCATTGCATTTCACAAAACTGTCAAAATAAAATGATGCTTATTTTCAAAGAAATTTTTTTCTATCATTCACCAATAATTTCTTCTTTTTATTTACTTTTCAAAAAATTTTATAATCTTATAAAAAATATTTATTAATTTACCTGAAAGTTGGTCTTTCTGCAGGTACCTTAGCCCAGCATTCTAGCAACTTCTGGTAGAGTTCGTCGCTGCAGGCATTTGGCTGGGGCAGTCTTTCCCCATCGATTTCAATCTTCCTCAAAATTTGAGTTCCGTTGAGACCCATCCAAGGGTCCTCGCCAAATGTAAACATTTCCCAGACAGTCACCCCAAACATCCAGATGTCAGAGGCATGGCTGAACTGCCTGCTTCGGAGACTCTCGGGGGCACACCAAGGGAAAGGGACTTTTTTGCGTTCCGTCATGATGTAGCAGTCCTCCTGTTGCGGCAAAACTCGCATCAAACCGAAGTCGCCAATTTTGAGAATTTCAGGAGAGGCAAGAAGAATATTCCTGCAAGCTAAATCTCGGTGGATGAACCGTTTTGTTTCCAAATAGGCCATTCCTGTTGCTACTTGGAGGGCATAGTCATGCAAGCCTAAAATAAAAATAAAATATTTCATTTAAGAAGCAGCATATTTAAATAAAGATTTAAAAAAAGCAAAAATTATAATTGTATTTCCCATTATAAAGGAAAAAATTATTTAAACAACATGTGAAATTTGAAAAAAAAATACATATAAAGGAAATTTTTAATTTTCAGATTAAATTACTAAATCAAAGTTAATTTTTACTTGTGATGGGAGTGTGCTGGCACTGCTTGCGGAGGTAGTCAAGCAAGCAGCCTAAAGGTGCGAGTTCCGTAACCATCATTTGGGGGTTGGACAAAACAATGCCAAAAAGGCGAATGAGGTTCGGATGGTCTAGCTGGTGCATGGACTGAACTTCTTTAATGAAGTCTTCGAGAGTGCCAGGCTGGCTGAGGGCGTCAGCTTTCAGAACCTTCACAGCTACTTGGACTGAGCGGTCATCAGGAGTGTTCCACGTCCCTTTCCGAACAACACCAAAGGAGCCATCGCCCAGCTTTGCACCAAGAGAGACGTCCTAGAAAAATGACAAAAAAAAATTATCTTCAATGACTTAAAAAAATAAGAGTTTTCTTTGCCTTTTCTTGAATCAGACATGTTGTGCTGACAGGCACATAATCGGAGGTGTTCGATGACTTCTTCAGGGAGTCACTGGATTTTGAATTTGTAGGAATCAACCTGTTCAGAATATTTTTCTTTCGTAGCTGAGTCTTCTTTTTCTTTACATGCTCCAGCAAACGGCGAATGCTGGGCCGACTCATACCCACTTTTTCCAGGTCTTCCACTTGAACATATTCAAAATGTTCAAGTCTTGTAATCTGCAGAAAACAAAAATTGGTCATAAATCGTGACAAGTCAGACATTTTCTTATTAATTTATCAAAAAGTCTAGAAAGGCGAAGAGCAAATTTAACTTACTTGGAGGTCGTTCCTGATTCGAGTGAAGAACTGCTCAAGCTGGACCTCCCTCAGGATGGAAATCAACCACTGCGAGCCCTCCTCTTCAGCAGACATCGCTGTTATGTCTCAAAATGTTCTCAGTAAAAATTGAACCTCGAGAAGATTTGTTCCAAGGAGAGAGCGTTGCGTCGTCAAACATACAGTTGAGTGGTTGTGTCATGAGGCCTTAATTGGGCCTTGAATTTGCCATTATCGCATCTGCCAGCTACGAAAAGAGTTAAAGAAAGGAATTAGCATGATTACTGTGGTGTCAAAAAAGCGAACAAGAGCGCGTACGACGAGAAATACCTTTGCGAAAACAGATTTTTTACCAGACTGTGCACCAGAATTTGTGCAGGTAAACAAGAATCAGCCGTTTATAGCACGAAACGAAGACTTCACAAGTGATTGGACGGTTTACGCATGCACCAGCCTTGTTTCACCTCGCACAGCACCAGCAGCAGCACCACCCGACCCGAGCAATGCCATTGATAAATACATACCATACATACATAGCGTTGTTATGTAGTTTACGTATGTACGTGGAGCAGCCGAGCTCAGAAGGGAGGTGTGTGCACAAATTCACAAACAAAAGTGGCGCGCAATTTCAGTTTTATAGTGGTAATGTATTTACGAACAAAATTGCAAATCGAGCAAATAAAAAAGAAACTGCTGATGGTGAAATTGATCAACATAATTATATACATAAATGTTATCTGATATTTATTTGCAAAATGCAGGCACTAAATTTAAAAATCCTTTTGCTCTTTTTTTTTAATTTTTGTACTAAACAAAGGGCAGGAAAAATAATATGTACTAGGAATTAAAACACATAAGAATTATTTTCAAGAAGTTTGATATTTATGTTAAATTCCCGCAATAGCTGTGTAGCATGTTGAAGAAAATATTCAATGATTGGCTGAAATATAATTACCATTTTATTAAATTTTGATTTTTTAATTTCCAAAATAAAATGTCAGTATAATATATTAACATTTTATTTTGGATTCGTCATATACTGGTAATTTTTTAAAGGATATCAATGGAGTAAAAACACGATGGATTTTTTTTGTTGACTATCCATGTTTTTCATCATTTTTATCTCTGCTTACAAGCATATTATGGATACATTGTATAGATTACATCGGATTACATTATAGTATAATATTATTATCATATAATTCCCTCTTTGTGCTAGAACTTGATTAATACACATCTTTATTAATAATATTAACATCCAGCAAAATATGTTGCACATCATGTAATTCACTCGCGTGTACCATTTTGTCGTATTCTGTTCTTCCGACGCATGTGTGTTGGTATATTATGTGCAATTGCGCTGCACGCAAGCAGTGATCTACTTCAATTCATGTCATGATCTACATTTATTTGCAGCTGTCTGATTGCTGAGATGCCTTTTAATTCTTTGTCATTTTTTTTTCTTCGGCGGTATATGTTTTATGTTTTGTGAACTGACTAATTATTGGGGAGAATAAAAAATAATACCTTCTAAATTAATACAAATCGAGCCGTCTCTGTCGCCACGAAAGAAAACACCAGATATTGGATAATAAGGCTTGACTAGCACAACGTGATTGGCCTTCAACGACACACAGGTATTTTCTTCCTGGTAAAATGATTAGCAGGTACAAATATACACAAATAATTATAGACAAATCGACACAAATCAATTGAGGACTCGTTCATAGTAGCAAGAACTGCAGAAGGGCGACAAAATGTACAGGTTTTCTCATTCTTGATATAAAAAAAACGTTCAAAATCAGCCACATCGTACAATTATTAATCAATAAGTTAACATGATCAAAGTCAACGCAGAGAGCTTGGCAACCCTCTAAAATTTTAAGTTAATACTTGAGCACCAATTGGATTGCAGGAGTTTTGGGGCAAATTAATACAAAATTCCCAATAAACTGGAAACTAATTTTGAAAAACGTTGAAAAAATGTGCTCCTTCTCCCTGCTTTTTCAAAGATTTATGGCAAGTAGCTTCTTCTCCAGAGAAAATCACTTGCGCGTGTCAAGCGGAGATTAATTAGCACAAATTAATAAATTGCAACTCAATGCATTAATTTATATCAACAATTAAAACATACTTAAATAAGAAAATGGCACAACCTCAGCCATAGCGCAGACAGTATTATTATAACTAACACAAAATTTCTATCAATCGAGTGTGTGTAATAGCATCTCATCAATACGTATAAAAATAAGTTATAGTCAATTCTCTGGTTGGGTGCGGTGTGTGTATGTGTGTTTGTGAGATTCGTAAAATGAAAACAATAGAGGTGGATAATAATAAGCGTAACTGAAGATTCTCAACTATCGTCATCTGCACTTGTTATATATCGTAAAATTAATTTTCTTTTGATACGCGTTTCTCTCGCTCACAGTGTATTTGCTGCGTCTCTAATCAATAAATAGCCTCCTTGTTAAGTCCATCAGTCTTGAGTGGGTGCGAGCACTCTCTTCTGCTTTTTACCTATGCTTCCGCGTGTTGACACCAGACATTCGCTTGCGGTGGTGGAAACACTGCCTGCAGCACTCGTCCTCCTTAGAGTTTTTTCGCCTACAGGCCGAGCAGTCCTTGCGAGTGCAATTCACTTGCCCATTCTACAAAATACACAAAACTCAATTAATTTTTAGTTAAATTGAAAAAAATAATGATGTAAATTAAAAGGGAATGTACTTGAATGTCTTGAATATTTAAAAAAATTTCGTTTTCATTAAAAAAATCTAGAAAATAATAAATCAAACCTTGCAGCGGCACGTGATGCACTTTTCTACACCGTGTGATGCAATCCTCGGATGCCACTCCTCGCCATTCATGTAGGGGATCTTTGTGATGTAAATGCATCCACCCTCGTTGAGAATATCTTGCGTCGTCTTTGGCTGGCTGTAGTCCCCTTGGACCGTCGCAGGAATCAAGGGATGGGATGTTGTTGGTGGACACACTTTACAGCAAGAGTTGGCTGGCTTGTACGCTTCACTCAAGGGACAGTTCAAAGGTGGACATCTCTGCCGGTCAAACCGTATCTGAAGTGAGTTTGCCTGTGGAAGAAAAAATTATTGAAGATAAAAAAAATCAAACTGATTGAAAGAAAAAAAAATAACTTACATCACATGTGCATAAGGTGCACTTGTCAAATCCATTGGGGTGCAAAAAGGGGTACCAAGTGCTCCCGGCGTGATGGAATAAGCCACCCAACTGACATCCTTTGGATTCGTCAGATGCAATAGACATGTCTTAAAAAAATAGAAACAAATTTAACAATCAAGTTATGCAACTGGCACGACTCTCCGGATGAGCGGGTTGCATACTTACTGTAGCACGATGGACAACAGTCGCCCTTTTTCTTGGTTGGATTTGGGCAGTTGGTGGCGGGACAAGGAATTGGCTCACACGAGGGTCGCCCATTTTTGCAGTTGCACATAGAGCACATGTCACTGCTGGCCCTCCAGAGGTCTCCCTCCTTGTAGAAGCGGCCGTCGTACAAGCAGGAGCGTTCTTGCATTGGTGAATCCTCGTCTTGTGGCAGATCATTGTCTGAAATGCGTGGCAGGCACGAAGGCGGTAAGCGAAGCTAAAAAATTAAAATCAACTTCGGTGGTCTCTAAAAAGATATCGCTAATTTTACCGATTCTATATGCGTCTGCAGTATGGAGGTGTTGCTCTTCTGATCGACCACATTCAAGAAAGACATTCCAGAGTGGAGTCGCGCCAAGTCAATGTCTTTCAGACCAATCGTAAAACCTTCCACAAGAGGACCGTAGAATTCTACGATTTTCTTTCGGGAAATTGGGGCGTTCGAAGCCATTACTGGGATGTCCTCCAAGTAAAGCTCTAACAATCGTTGTTCGAGGCCGTAGCCAGTGAGAGAAATCTGCAACAGAACATTTTTTTAATCAATAAATATTCAGGGGAGTAAAGAACTAGAATATTTTTCTTTTTTTTTTTTAGAAAAAAATTTTACCTCGTATAGTAAGCTGCAGTCCTTGTCAACAGACACCCAGGCCATTCCAACGGTGCCAGCAGGCGTCTTCTGATTCGGTCTCTTCAGCAGCAGGGGCGCGTCGACCAGGCGAGGGTCTGCGGCAGGGTGCATGGAGAGCCGCCCTTTGACCACGTTCTCCTTGTCACCCAGGGTGACACTGACGCTCAGCTCGCCGCCGTACAACTGCTCCAGTTCTCTGGGCGTCAACCTGTCGACGGAGCCATTGGCCCAGCCGTTTCTGAAACTGTCCGTCAGATTCTCAATGTCCTGGCGACGGCCGCGGCCCTTGCCAGCAATCAGGTGCAAACCGGTGAGAGGCGAGTCGAGATCGTCGAGACGCACGTTGTACAAGAGAGAGCCGTCCCGCGCCAAGTACATCCAGGACATACCTGCTGCGGACGTCGTCGCAGGGTGTGGGGAGGACAAATCGGCTAGGTCCATGCCAAAGCTGTCATCGGCCTCCACCGAGGACAGGGTTGCCTGGAAAATGTCGCAGCTCACGCGGACGGAGATGTCACCATGAAGGCGATACTCGGGGTGGTGCTTCGACTGGACACTCAGGTGCAATTTGCTGCGCGCCAGCAGTTTCAAATCTGCATTCTTGACTGCCGAGCGCACTTCCAACGTGTTCAATTCCTAAAAATAAAAATAAAAGAACATATGAAAAATTGGATATTTAAAATTTTTAAATAATTAATTATATTATAAGCATTTAAATTGAGGATAAAATGTCTTTTTTTTTGAAACATTAAACAACTCGAAAAAGCTAACTTAAATGAAATAATCAATCTAGTTCTGAAAATGAGATTTTAAAGTTTACTTACGTGGATGGGTTTGTGGATCCTGACAACCTCGTCCAAGACAATGTGTTTGTCGGAGGCAAGACGGACGATGAGAGGAACGTCGGCGACGTCGTCGGGAGAGAAGGCGCCGTTAAAGACAACGCTGAGGTGGATGCTGGGTGCACTGGAGGAGGCTGTGATGATGGCGGTGCCACCGACGCCCCTCGCCGGGTTCTCAGGGGCCGCCTCCAACAAGGACGAAAAGAGCTCCGTGTTGAGGCCCTTGTAGCGGGCGATCTGGCCGCCGAGGTGCCGCGGCTCGTCAACGATGCCTGGCGCCGGGGGTGCCACCGTCAGCAGGGCGATGTGCACTTTCTCTTCGCGCAGCATTTGGCGGTAAGAACGGGGAACGCGCCACCACACGCCGCACAACTTGCCGGTCACGTTTTGGTAAGTGTTCTCGGTCAGCAACTGCTCTTCGAGGATGGCCCCCTCGGCGCCAAGGAAGCGGATGGCCTTAGGCCGAGGCATGTCCGGCGAGTGCACCACAGAGTAGTACAGGTTCTTCTTGTGGAAGTTGAATCGCGCTGTCGCCACGGCGCGCGTGTCCAGTTCACGCTGGGACGTGCGTCCTGTTAGAATTGCTGCAAAACCTACACATAACAGAAGAATAAAATTTGAAAATTTTGAAACTTTTAGGTTGAAATTTTAAATTTATAAGCAAGTTCAAGTTCAATTTTTATTTTAATTCTGAACTCCTACATATTAAATCCTTTATTGTTAATTTCTTATTCAAATACATTTTTAAATTTGATTGCTTGTTTTCAAATAAAATCGTTTATAAAAGAAAAAAATGAAATGAATTCTTATATTAGAAAAACTTATGCTTGGAAGGAAAAATAAAATATTTCCTCCTCATTGTATAAGCTCTTTTAGAAAGGCGCTAAAATTCCATATAAGGACACCGACTTAAGGACAGAGCGGCTATTGCGCATCATTTTCAAGGCGAAAACGTCTCAGTCCAATGGCAGCGAGCGACTAGTGGAGCAATCGGCACAAAAAAAGAGATAATTTTCATCTAAAGTAATCGAAAATAAAGCAAGACGTTTTAATGTCATTATTTTATGCTCGGCGAAGGCGTTCCACTCCTTAAGCTAAGCGACGTTGTCACTGAAAAATTGCATGAATGGCGCCGCGCAGCAAAACAGCCGTTATTAATTAGGCATAGTTGACACAGCATCTCGCAGTCATTAAGAGTCAACCGGCGACGTTCAATATGCGCGTCGGCGGGTGAGCTTTATGGGCCAGGTTCAACTCCGGTTCTCTCACCAGCGCGGCGCCTCGGTAATCTCTCACCATAATCTCTGTTGCGCGTTATTATTTTTTTTTTCTTCATATAAATTTTGCCATCTCTCTCTTTCTCAAGAGGTCCATCTGAGGGGCAAATTTTAGAAAATAACTAGGGCACATCGATCGAGTCTATTTTGATCCGCGCGCGGGGATATGGCGGAAAATGATATTTCGAAACAAGGACGTACGGATTTTCTTTCTCTCTCGTCTCGGTGCCGAAATGCGACAAAGTGTACGCAGAGGCGGCGGAGGGAATAATTTGTCGCAATGCGAGATCAAAGTTCGCTCTCCTGACAGAAAACAAACGAGCCCTGCCGGCTCCATGCAGTCGCCGGTCGGCTGATGTCATCCCGTGTGCGCTTTTCGCGTTATCGCCCCGCCTCGGTGAAATCGGCGGCGGCCCCTCCAGCACCGCCCGCGCGCCCTTTCGGAGTCGGATTTCTGCGGAGAGGCCTCTCAGGGGGAGAGGGGGCCGAAAAAGTAAACGAGTCAGCTGCGAAGCGTAGGTGGAGGAGTGAGTGAGTGACCCTGGTGACCTTGGCAACGAGACCGAGCGGCAGGCGTGCGAACAAGTAATGAGCGCGCTCTACCCATTGATTGGAACTGATATTTGCTATTGTACATTAAAAGGTAGCGCCCAAGTTTATTGCACACATAGTCATGCCTTTGAGGTTCTTCTCACTCTCCTCGGCCATCTCGCTGGGGTGCTGGATGTCCTGTGCTGTGTCGGGACCTGCAAAACGTGCTTGGTGAATAACAAGTTTGTTAGCTGTTTCTTAATATTATGGACCCGTTAATTCTTTTGTTGTGCCGCCAAGTGCGAGGAGAAATTTCGCCAAGTATATCATAAATATTTATATTTTAAGCCGTGAATGTTATTTCTCCACTGAATGATTCATTCAGAATGAATCATGAAAGAGTTAAGGGGAAAGATAATCACATATATTTTATTGGGAAAATGGCACACGCAAAATGATTAATTAAGAAATATGGGATAATTCTTGATTGGATAATAATTATAAAACCTAGATAGAATATCTAGCAATTAAAACATTTTTTTCAATTCATCCAAGTGCTTTGAATATCTGATGACAAATTTGGCTTTAAAATTTTGATTTCTTGGATAATCCATACTAATGAACTTACTATGAATAAGGTCAGCTTCGCAAACTTTGCAACACCGACCGGGAAGTAGGACCGGCTCGTCGCAACTGGGCACGGGACACTCGTTTTTGATGTTCCTGCATTGACTGCGGGCCACAATTCGTCTCTTCTTGTGAACCTATAACCAAAAACCAACAAAATAAATATTAAAATTAACTTCATTTACTTTGGGGCCTACAATAAAAGTGAAAAATTATCCTCAAAATTTGCGAGTGAAATTTTTTAGCAACATTAGAATTGGGGAAATTGTTATTTGCAATGTTGCATACATGTGTATTGTGCTATTATATTGTTTTATGCTGATTTGGCACACGTGGAGCGGTCTCTTTTCAAATGTAAGTTTCTTGACTTGCAGACCTCCTCAAATTATCTTTTCGTGCAAGAGTATATATTCGCAGGCAACGTATCAGGATATTTGACAGTTTAACAGATCACCTTGAAACAGCGCGCCGCCAATTTCATTTTTACAACGGTCCTGCGATAATATGTATAACAAGCATGTTGGAAAAAAAAATTAATCACACGTGAGCGTTCTCGTCTTTGATCTATTTGGTCGTGTCTACGCCAATAAAATAGTGTATTTCTATCTTTTATATCTGGCCGAAGGAAAATAAAATCGTGGCCATAGAAAAAGAAATCAACAATCGACTAGATTAAGGCGTGTACATATATAAGTGGGCAGCAGTTTAAAGCATCGCTATTGGCGCCGCTTTATATCACCTGGTTTCGCTTTTGGCGAAATCAGTTCCGCCAGCGACGAGCAACAAATGTTGAAAAAGTGGGCAAATAAGCAAAGACGGCGTGATGTGTTTTTACGTTATAAGTGGATTGTGGAGTAGTAAAAATAAATATCATGTGAATGCGTGCGGTTTCGCAGTCGTGGAGGTCTCTCTTTCACCAGCAGCAGCACCAGGCAGCAGCGGTGTGGCCCAACGCCACGCAATGGGGGGCTATTCAATTCATTCGGCCGACGATTGATGTATCGCGAGTGGGAGCTCCAGTTCATTCACCACCAATTGCGCAAAAATCTTCGCTATTCACTTCCCGATTGATGTATCGCGAGTGGGAGCTCCAGTTCATTCACCACCAATTGCGCAAAAATCTTCGCTATTCACTTCCATTGAGCATTAAGGCCGCGTAAAAATAACACATATCAACCGTAATAGAAAATTGCCGTTTTATTATTAGAAAAAAAAGACAAGTGGAGAAACTGTGCCGTTGGACAGACGTGTCGTGCGGGTGGCATGTCTTGACAGGGGTGCTCACTACCAATGAATAGCCATTGAGACTTGAATAGAGTTCTTGTCAGAGACAGGCAGGATGGATTTTTTTTTTCAAAGTATTAAGGACCACACATGATTTCATTGATTGCAAAGCCAATATTTGAAAGAATTTTGACAGGGGAGAATTTTGCTGGAACAGATAATTCAGTAATCGCTTTGATTCTTTCAGCGAAGATTTGAAAGAGTCAAAAGCCGTGACAGCTGCTGGACGTCACTTTTGTTAAGTAGTTTGAAGAGCACAAGGAGGGGGTGAAGCGAAATTTTTTTTCCTCATAAGATAACAAACTATGATGCTCTCTTAAACATTATTTCTTCAAATAAAGCCTGTATGGATTTTGACCAAATATTCCAAGTGTTTTTTTTTTTTTTAAATTTGCATGCAATATTTAGGTTTGGCTAAAAATCATATATATATTTTTTACTTGCGTGTTTATTTATTTTTTGTAGTATGTATATAATTTTTAATGCGGCCGTGTTGCTAAATTGGATTATAAATTTACGAAAAAGGCATTAAGTCTGCCAAGAGAACGCCCCAAGCGGCGATTTTCATTCATGCATGGAGGGTTATACTCACAGGAACGCAGGTACAGCGAATGCAGTACATCACTCCAAACGGCGGGCCCAGATCTGCATTCCACTGTTGTCCCAGTTCATAAAGCTGCTTGCCGAACTGGCATTCTGAAACAATGAGAGAATAAGAAATAAGACATCAAGCTGAGAGAGTAATTGTGCAGCGGCGGGACATGTATTTCTGTGTCCATTTAATTTAAAAAGTTGAAAGTTTATCCGGCAAAAAAGGTATATACACATGCCATTAAAAAAATGGTCGATTGTAAAAAGGAAAAAGTTCTTCTGGCGGAGTGCTTGAAAATAAATCGTGTCTTGCAAAATTGTTAACGATGTGCAAAATTCGGTACGCAAAAATCACGAAGGCCATAAAATTTATGGCTGCATCATCAGCAGCTTATAAAATTAACAGATGAAAGAACCGACCGTCTTTTAATTTAGCAGTCGTGATTTTCGAAATGCATTTTATTCATTTCCAGCGGCAAAGGGAAGAAGTGCAGGTTATAATCGAAAACCGCCCACGATACACGTTGGCAGCAGAAGAGTGTCTGCGGCGGTCAGGGTTTGTGCGAGGAGAGGCGCGCGTTGAACGAACGCAGATTTGACTTTTGGCCAACTCGCAGCACTTCTGCCAGATCCGCTTCTCAGCAGTCAGACACTCAGACAGACGCCTCGAGCGCGTTACGGACCATTTAAATTGACTTCAAGTGGGGGAGAATTCAATTGGTGTGAGATTAAGATAATAATGACGATTAAAATTCTGATGCGGTGACATAAAATCTCGGCATTTATTTTTGGTTTTTCCTCGTAGCATACATGTTTCCCCAAATGGCAATGGAGAAAATAAACAAGACAAAGTTGAAAAATGCATTGATTGCAATTTCATTAAAATGATTTTAAACTTAATTAAATTTTCCACGATATTTTATTGTAATTAGTTAATTTTTCCGATTTATGCAAAAAGGGCGCTTTGAATTGTACCCCTCACTCTTAAAATATATTTTCAGATGCGAATGAAAGAAACATCACAATCTGAATAATTATAGAGTTATAGATCTCAAATGAACAATTTTATTTTTGTAAGTAGAATTTCAAGATCGAGGGTTGATTCATAGTGTTTTGAATATAAAGTCGGTAAAAAAGGATCGATTTAGTGGTATGTAAAAAGCCGCAATTCTTGTTAAAATGATTTCACAGCTCATTAATCATGGCTGCAGCCCGCCGTTGAAACATGCAAAGCAGGATATTGTTTCTCTTAAACAAAAACAACTAGCAAAACACATCGAGGAAAAGCCGTTTTTAATTAAATTCAAAGAACCAATAAACAATTTTAGGTCATTCTTTCTTGCTCGTCCTTGAAGTTTGCGATATTGACTGAATAATCATTTATCACATTTTTTCTCACAGATAACAAAACTTTTCTGGAGGTTTGTGACCTCCAATAAGATCTTTAATAAACAGCATAACACATCTCAAATTTGGCACTAACAAATTTAGGTCAATCTCGTAAATTGCAGATATTCAAACAGTTCATGCAGAAAAATAATAATTTTTGCGTGTTTTTTAAAATGTGAGGAAATCTGGTCAATTTGAAATCTAAAAATTACCCTTAATATTAAATTTATTTGAAATTATGGATTTAAGTACTAAATTCCATAATTGAAATCCAAGAGCTTGCCAAAAGTTTACTTAAAATTTAGAAAATCGATTTATTTGCAGAAGAAGTTGGATAATTAACTCAAGTGTGCCTGTTTCCGTAAGAAACCTTCTACAAGACCATTTATAACTGAAATTATTTCTTTTTCAAAAAGACCAAATTCAACTGAAAAAAAACCCCACAAAAACTCAAAAGATGCATTGAAATGATTGAAATAAATAAATAAATTTTTTTAGTAATTTATAAATTTATAAAATGATTGAAGATGAAAAAATTTTATAGGAAAAAATTCTCCGAAAGCAAAATGTTTCTTAATCTTTCCCCACCTTTCGTTTTCCGTTATTATAGCACTTTTTTAATCAAATTTGCAGGATGAATTTTGCAGACGTGTCTCATTGTCAGTGCGACAAGGGCACCTCGCTGAATTGAATAGCCCTCGATAATAAATATTATGGATGGGCGAGTGTGGCGCGCATAAGTCGAAATATGGAGCGAGAGGAGCAAGCGAGCACGCCAAGGAAAACGTTCTAATGGGAGGCGGCGTCGGACTAATAAAAAAATAATTATGATGATAGCTTTGTTTTTCCTGTCTGGCAGCAGAAAACTGCTGCGTTTGCATCGCGGTGTGTCTTAACGCGATAAAAAACAATAAAAGTGTGACGGAGAGGGAATTTTATCTTTCGCGTCGTTTTTTGAGGCCGAAAGCGATTTTCTCTGAAATTAAAAGGGCGATTAGTGCAATTATTAGCCGAGCCAACCGCGTGCATCGTGGAGAGAGAGAAAGATACAGCCCTATATGGGAAAGGACTGAATTTGGTTCGACCTTGTCAAGGTGTTAATGCCGTTGAGTCACGAGCGCTACTAACTTACCGCCGCTGCATGCACGCCCGCCAATCGGCTGCCAAGGTATAATCCGGCGGCGGCTCGTTAAATTTCATTCTTTTTTTGATAATGGAAGGTAAAATATTTATATTCAGGCTACACGCCGCGTGCAAACTGTTTTCTTCAACTGACCGTGTGAATCGGGAAAGGAAAACCTCTATCTCTCATTCAGGTTTGGAACGTCCTGACGGCGTTTATGGCGTTTTCTTGTATATGTTTACCTACATGAGTGTGTTTGAAATTGATAATCGAAGGCAAGAGGAGGAAAAATCGTTTAGAAAACAATCAAAACAGGAAATATTTGATGCACACCAAGTTGCGAAATTTTTATAAAAGGAAGTGAATTTTTAATTGAAAAATTGCATCGTCGTGGCAAAAAGAGGCGCAGCAAGCTTTTATTCAAATTTATTTTCGGCTTATTTAAATTTTCTGAAGGACACGTCAAGTTTTGAGATGAAATAAAATAATGGTGTATGAAACGTGTATGGAAAAGACAGAGAGACACTCCAACCGCGACAATCCCAACCGCGACGTTTTATTGCGGACTGCGTTCCCACCCATCACTCGAGGTCACCTGAAGGTCAAAGGTCAACAATGGAGGTGAATTGTCACCATTTGTCGAGCATTGCGCACAGAGTCGGCAATGTTAACAGATTTCATATTTAAAAATTTCATTCAGCAAAAGAGGTTTAGTGCATGCAGATTTTTTGTAAAAGTGCGTAATTCAATAATGAAACAGACCTAAAAGCGCGAAGAAACGACACTTATTAAATTAATTTCTCTGATTTCTTTTTATTTTTGATTGAAAATAATAAAGAGCAAAATATAAAATTATAAACAATAATGTTTGGCAATTTTTTTTATCAATGCCTTTTGACCGACAAATAAATATAATATAATGGTTCATTGGTACGACTACAAAATTCACTTCAGAAAAGATATTTGCAATGAATTTTTATATTTCTGTTCAATTTTCTTTGATGTTAGAGTATATTTATCAAAAAGCTTTGCAAAAAAATGTGGGAGCCAAGTTAGGAAAATTTATTAACGGCGATAAATATCATTAGACTTTCAGGTCGTTCCATTTTCTTAGATCTTTTCCAGGGCCGTAATACGCTGAGAGTGTTGGATTTCAAATCGCACATAAACTTGGCGTACCCGCTGCTGGAGAGACAGCAAGAAGTGTCCTCTTTACAAACTGCGCAACTGGCGCGAGACAAATTTAATGCGCTACCCTTGGAGCAAGATCTAAGCCATCAAAAGAGGCCAGCAGATCAGCTCGCGCTCAGCATTGGTATATTTTTGTTTGAAGTCTAGCTCTAGGTGTCGGACAAACGTCGTGCATCAGCAGACAGACAATCACACAGCCAAAGATGCTATCTGACAATTGGCGGCCGCATTTAAAACTTTTAATGTTTTGTTGCGTCACATTCAAGGGCTCTGCTCTGGGCAGGAGGTGCGTCCGCCGCGCGAATAATGTTCTCGCAGGGCTGACGTCATTGCCTGCCTGGGCGTGGTAAAGTACGCCTTTGTTCTGTCACATGGCGATGCCGGCTAACCCTTTTTGCACTCTGACAACTCTCCAAAATGAGCAGCGCCTGCACCACAATGGGACTGTCTGGCCGCCTGGCTGCGCGCCGCCGCCGAGAGAGCGCGAAACAAATATAACCCTTTGAAGAATATCAATTGTTGACGCGCGTCTGATGGGCCGATTAAAGAGCGAATATCAAAAGATCTCTCATGGGAGCTATGCTATTGCTAATTGTATAAGAGCACTTTCAAATGACAACCTGAAAATGATTCAGAGTCAAATTTTGATAACAAGGATGCAATAGTAAAACTAAAAGGACATAATTATTTACTTCAAATTTGGGCCACTGTGAGTGAAATATGGAGTACAATATATTTTAGCAAGCATTTTTGAATGAAAAATTAGAAATTATTTCCTTGATATAATTGGAAAGATTGTGTTTAGATATACTTTGATCTCTTGAATAGACTTCCGGAGACCAAAGCGACTCCAAGCCTCACGCAGGCGTAAAAGAAGAATTTGATTTGTGAGATTTTCAGGTTTTAGAAGATTAGAGGTTGCAAATTATCTCAATTAAAAAAGCATAAATCTAAAGAAAAAGCTCCAAATAACAACTGTATTATTATTTAATATTTTTTTTTTATAAAATTTGGAAATTCACTATCATGGAGAACGATTTATTGAAGTAAGAAATCATAACGATCCGAAACCCAGCAATATTGATCTCAAATTTGTAGTTTCAAAAATTCGTTGGCAAAAGAAATACTTCCACCACGGTCTTTGGTGGCTGCGCTGGAGATTATCTTGTTTTTCAAATACGTTGAACAGCGAACTTTTAACGGACTGGCAGGTGGCCAAAATTAAAACTTGTCAAAATCAAGGTCTCTTTGGCCAATGACGGATGGGGTGGGTTAAATTGTCACTCCTCGAGAAGTTTCTGTATTTATTCCATAGCACTTTTCGCCAACAAATTATGTGGTGCGTGGCGTCGGGGCCTTTGCAGGTTTTGCGAGAACTTTCCATTGGTGTTCGAAACATTTA